TCTCTCTCGATTCTCTGGAAAGAATGATGAGAAAGACAAAAGATGACCTATTCGAAGGCTACTACTGCCAATTGGACGTATGTGTATATAACCGATGACAAGTGTGTATCTTATTGATACAAACTTAAATATAGAAAAGAGCAATCAAGAAGCACTTGTCTATAATTACAGTGATGAGTCGTTAGTACAATGCCGCTATAGATGTCCAAAGGCTTTCTATTCGCTAATTCTGAGCATCTGTGAGCAGATTCATTCTTTCCTCACATCGTCGTATGTCATGTATTGTGTCGGCTAATTCCGGAATACGTAATCTACATACATTCATATACCAACATAATGAGACAGAAAGAAAAAAGGAAAGAGGAGAATTGCGCGAGCTACGCAATAGTTAGTGCCATCGGCTGTACACCGTACAATCATGTTAGATCTCTGTTGGATGAAATAAACACGCACTCAATCAACGAACAAACGAGCACTGTCATCATCATCATCACCATGATCATTGAGAATCGAAAAAGGTTATTGACGAAAGTATTATATGTTCATCTATCTTGAATCAATGAGTGTCAATAAAACCTTGGTTAAAACAGCATGAAATTTTATCACAAGTAGCTTCTCATTCCAATAAGAACAACAATAAACAGCTGCAGCTAATTTTGCCTCTTTTTTTCCTCTCAATCGATTAATTGTAAACAAACACCTGCCAATCAGTTTTTCGAACTTTCTATATATATAAAATAGAACAGTATGTGCTTAAAGAACACACTATGTCATCAAATTTTATATTAATATATATTGATGAAAAGAAATGAGAACGAAATGAATCATTAAATCTCATATAATATAGGTTATTTGATTGAATTTTAGGTCGTATGATGCCTAGTCCAATCGCATGAACAAACAATAGCACTTCTATTACATTCATATACAAAATGACGTAAAAAGTTCAATGCTTTCTTTGTACTTCCTTTTGACATCATAATATGGTGTATATATGAACGAGAAATTGGATCTTCTACCCTTTGTTTGACAAAAAAAGAATTGGAATAGAAAGAAGAACAAGAACAAGAAGAAAAAAAGGCATTACTTTCTCTGGCATTTGGTGTCCAACTAGCTTATTAATATGAGCGTGTGGTGTAATCGGCCTTTTCTTTTTTCTCAAGTGTACTGCAAAATATGGGAAAGTGTAATTAACTCATCGTCGATATACATATACATATATTCATATATGACACACACACATATACACGCAATCATAACAAGCTGGCCAAGGACATAAAGATTTCTACAACTATAGCTGACATTATTTTATTGTCGACATATATAATATGTTCTTTTTTTTGTTGGTAGATGTTGACACTCTTAGATATAAGATCAATAAAGATAACTACTGTAGGGAATATTCGATAATCACTCTAGGCTTCTTGTTATATCAGTATAATCATCATGTAGTACAAACAATGATTTTTTCTGCTTTTGTGTTTAGAAAATGCGAAAAGAATGTCGAAGTTATGTTTTGACAAGAGAAATATTATCTACGTATGTCCCAAGGTTATACGATGAAATAATTTGTTTTCTTTCACTATAAACAAAGTCAATAGATATTAGAAAAAAATATGATTTGTTTTTCTAGACAATAGAAAGAAATTAAATACGCCAGAATTATTATTTCGCTTGAGCAAATAGCTTATTTAATTATAATTGGCAAATTATATGTCCTTGCCTGATCTAGAAGATCATTACAGTTGATGAAATGAACCGAATAAAAGAATCTTTTCATTCATCGAAGCATAATTCAGGCGATGAAAATAGATAGATATCAAGACAAAAAAAGAATATCCTAAATTATCAGTCAACAAAACTGATTAGATATTCAGATAATTTCTACTAAATACTAATTAGAATTTTAAGCAATTCTTATCTATATGTGTAGGAATTATTCATTGAATATATTATCTTATTTATATTGACATTGAGAACTTCCGAATGTTCTCTCAAAGTAAATCAATATAGTATTCTAATTTTTACATATATGAATACAACTATAGTTATAGGTTAATTCAAGTGAAGATAATATAATATTGATTGATTGAAATATAAACATCTATTATTTTAATACATGTACTTTGGTAAAATAATTGAGATATACTGATGATCAAAGAAAAGTATGACAATAAAAGAATTGCCTTTGTATGTACGATAAGATAAATTATTTTATAGAATAGTAAGTATACAAGAAAGAGAATGACATAGAAATAGTGACAATGACCTAAATTCACTTGAACTATAAGTGTTTGATTTTTTATCGTTATTTTTGATGTTCAAGTACGAATAAATTCACAAATTTGAAATCTGTTATTCTTCTAAGAAAGAAAGAAAGAATCATCATCATTTTTATTACTCTATATAACTGATGTCATCAAAGAAACATATCGAGATAGATCTCATCAATCAAAAACCGATTCTAAAGATAAATCATATCTATCAATATTCTTTTTTTCTCTCAAATGTATGTAAGTCTATTCAGTATTCAATTCACTATGACATTGATTTTTATTTCCGATATGTTTTATAATTTAATAGAGAACGGAATTGTTAATTGTAATAATTAACTAATACATCTATCTGTCTTATTTACAATTCATCATCTGTAATTCATATTATGTATCATACTTGTAAATGATGTCAGACATATACGATGTAATCAGAATAAATTTTATTATCATACTAATCCAAGTCGAGTCATATTAATAGACAACTGTTTTATGCTTTTGGATTATTAATCGATATTATCGAAATCAACGTTGCATAAATTAAAAGATTTACATTTAAAATGAAAGATTATGTGTCAAAAATAGTCGTATATTTTCTTCAAGTCAGGCTTTGTTTGTTAAATGAACTGTTAAAATCATGCTTTACAAAGACAAACGTGATATTCTTTATTGCAGCTCGAGCAAACGAGCTGATTTTTTTTATTTATGATAAAAGTATATTCAAGCTTAATAATCATAAAGACATGTTTAAAGAAATCCTTTGTGAAGTGTAACTACTGATCTCAATAAAAATATTTTACTTTTTCACAGATACGAAAAAAATATATATGTTTAACAAAAGGTCATTTCAGATATGTATTTATAGTATAAACCTTGAATATGTCTCTATTTATCGGTGAAAAGATCAACTCATTTTTCATCCGTAACGCAACTTTTAGTCTATCTTGTACAAAAAACTAGAATAATAACGTCACTGTTCTAGATTTGCTCGGAATAGTTACAACTATAGATTGTATTTCATGCAATATATCTTCAGATTTCCTATTACATTCAAGTATATTTATATTTTTTTCAAGTTTTGTACAATTAAAATAATACATCTTGATTACAAAAAATATTTTAAACAAATGGTTTATCACAATTCTAACTAAATTTTCTATCATTATTTTATATTTGATGTCCATTTTGTAATGGTAATTGTGTTCGAGTTTGTTCATTTGTCAAGTTCATTTGTACATCACGGATTCGATTAACAACAGTACCAAGTTGTTGTTGTATCTGAACATTTTGTTGATTAAATTGTTGACAAACTGTTGTTAATTCTTTGAAAATCGGTACTAATTGATCAACATTAGCATTTTTTGATGGAGCTGTAATTGAAGATAAACGTGCATTCCATTTATTCTCAAATGAACTAATCATTGATTCAAGTTGCCTATATATGAAAAAAGTACATAGGTGAATTAGTTCATATTATTTTATTGATCTTACATTTGTTGATGATTAAACAATTCCTTAAGACGTTGTTCAGTCAATGGTCTTTGTGGACATTCAGAAACATGATGTCCTTCTTTATGGCATCGATGGCAGATTGGTGCCCAATAAGGGCGAACAGGACATCGACTACCATCAATGAGAATATAGTTTTGACCAAGAATTGATTTAGCAAAATTTTCTGATTTAAAATCAATTCGAATGGATCCAAGAGGTTTTCCATCTCTATCATGAACTCGAGAAATTTTCTCAATACCTAGATAATTGTGTTCTAAATCTCTCAATAATTTTGTTTCATCGATACCAAATGAAACCTTTGAAGCAATTAATGACCGCGGTGCTGGTTGTTGTGGTACAGGTGATGCAGTTTGTGACTGTCGAGGAGACTGTTGTTTTGAAGACATTGTATTGGTGAATAGTATCTACTATTATTTTTTCCATCGCTTATATACTGCTTTAGAAGGAAGAAATGACTAAGATTCTATGCAAGAAATATGATGAAACGTTGCTTAATAGTTTTTATTTTGGAAATTAACAAGCGATGGTGTAATATCGACGTGTTCTTTTCACGAATGTTGAAAAAAAAATAATTGCACCATCACTACTACCGAACAGAATAAGTAAATGTTTGAGTATGTCATAAAACAGAACAAGCCACAATTTGAAGTCTGATTCCGTTTGAGCCTGAAGCATACTTGGACTACGAAAATGAACCGATCTATAGCGGTTGGTTCATTTCCGGACTTCAAATTAATTCGATACTTGTTCATTTTTTTGCTTATCATGATTAATTACTTTTGATTATGTTTTTTTCATCGAGATATAATCTGAATATTACCGCATTCTGAGTCATATAATGTCACTAGGAAATTATTTCTCTAGTATACATAAAAAAAATAAATAAAGAATCTTCTAGAAAAGTCACGAAAAACATTTATTTTTATTGTGTAAGATACATGACTCATCGAAAGAAAGTATAGAATTTTATCTCATAAATTATATTCATCAAACTACTGAAAACATGTTAATAATCATAAAAGCTATTTTTTCAATTCATTATTTACAGATAATCTATCATTTTTGTGCATGTTATTCATATTTTCTATAATAAGTAAAAAATCTTCGTTGTATAATTTATTTTTCTCTACAAACATTTCAAATTCGATGATTTTGATTGTATGACAGCTCTTTCTATTATAGTGTTATTTAAGATGGTTGAAAAAACTTTCCTTTTCTTTTTTTACATTTCCATGATGAAAAAAAGTTTTCCGAAATGTAAATAAATAAAAAAAAATTGTTTTTCATTTTTTTATATAATACAAATCATCGAAAAAGAACAATAGGAAAAAAAAGAATCATTTTTTACTGAAAAGCATATTTCTAAAGTCATCATTATTCATTTTACTTGTCGTTGACGGAGTCGATTCACTTTTTGGTGCTGTACTTGTTGGTGTTGTACTTGCTGATGCAAGTTTTCTTGGTACAAGTGATAATTGAGAATATCCTTTACCTCTTGGTCCTGTTGCTTTTGGTGCTTGTCCTAATGATGTTGTTTTTTGACCAGTTGGTTTCGTATTTGTTTCTTTACGTGGTGGTGGATTACTAAGAGCAACTTTAATTGCATGTTCATCCATCATTGTTCCATCAGTTTTCATTACAGCTTGTGCAGCTTCATGTGCATCATTAAATTCGACATAAGCAAGTCCTTTTGGTTTGCCACTTTTTTGTGTAACTAATCGAATATCTTTTACAGTATATCCTTTTTCTTTAAATAAATTTTCAATTTGTTCTTTTGTTGCTGAAAATGGTAAATTTGATAGAAATAATTTATTTTGTTCTAATGATGTTGCATATTTAAATTTTTTTGTTAGATCATTTGATGCAGATTTATTTGCATCATAAGGATTAACATACATTGGTCGACCATTTATTGGTGTATTATCTAGTTTTAATGCTTGACGATAACCTTCACTTGTTTGAAAATCTACATAACCAAAACCTTTGGATTTACCAGACCATTCATGTTTAACAATACGGACATCTTTTATTGGACCAGCTGGTGAAAGAGCTTGACGTAGAGCTTCTTCATCGGCTTCATAAGATAAATTGGCGACAAATACAGTATTTAAATGATCTGTATGTTTTGAAGTATTGAGCGTAGAAGTTGAAGGAGTTGTTGATGATGATGATGGTTGTGAAGGAACAGATGGTAGTTGCGGTGGTAGTGCTGGTATTTTAAAACCTTCACTATCTATTGTTGGAACTACGGGTTTCTTTTTAAGATTCTGCGGTTCTTCTGGTGATAGTTTTCGTTTACGAGGTGATAATGGCTGTTGATCAGTAGTAGTATTACCATTGGTATGAACTGGCGGAGCAGCTAAAAGAAAGATAAAATTCTTATTTTCCTGTTAGTTCATCTTTAAATTAATAACTATAATTATAACATAAGAAACAAGAGTTTACCATATTTTTTATATGTAAAAATTCTAAAATAAAATCTAATTCTTACTTGTATCCATTTTATTATTTGCATTTTTAACTGGTTTTTTCTTATTATCTTTTTGATTTCCTTTATTCGGTTGTTTTTTATTATTTGTTTGTTGTTGTTGTTGTTGCTGTTGTTGTCTTCTTGGTTTTTCTACTGGAACAATTTTACTTTTAATTTCTTTTAATTTCTCTTTTGTTTCTTTTAATTGTTGAATAGTTCCATATTTTTTTTCATGTTCTAATAATATATCACATATTGCTAATGGATAATCCATTGTTTTTATATGATTTAATGCTCGATATAAAACTTTTCTTGCATGTTTTTCATCTCCATAATTAATTTCTGTATAATAATAAGCTTTCCAGAGATTCGATATTAATTGATTATGTGTTTTATTCATTAATGTTCGACCATTCCATATTTGTCTTGCATGATCAATTGAATGAAATATTTTTACCTCTAAATGTACCCAAAATAATTCCAGTTGTCCATTATATTTTAAAAATAAATTTGGATCAGCTGATGATAAAAATAATTCTTGATATTGATCACATGTATATTCACATGCACGACGAATTTCTTCTTTTAAGATTTCACATTGTTCTGTATTATTTGATAATAATTCTTGATCATAATGACGACGACGATATTGTAGATATGCTAATTGTATATCAACAAATGATATAAGATTTGTTGGATCAGAATTAAGTGCACGATCATAAATTTGTTTTAATTGAGAATGATCAACAGTCTTAGTTAATTCCATATATTCAGCATAACGAATCCATAATGTTGCTACCCATGTACAATTACGTAAAGAACGTTCATATATAGGTTGAAGAAGTGTTGTAGATGATAAATATTCTTCAGCAAAATCAATATATGAAAGCCATAAATCACCATCAAGACAATTGTCAACTAAAATTATACACAATTAATCTCATTAGAAAATTATAAGATAAGAAGACAGATGAATAATAATAGATCAAATTAATATGATTGATATTAATCCTTGCATTACCGGCCGAGCTGTTTTTGAAGGCCAGTAACGTATCTCATGAGACACGCAACTGGCCTTCAAAAACCGGGAAACTCCAAATATCTTCACTGATTTTTCAGGCGGAGTTAAAAATAACTCTGGCCGATAGTACGAGGAATAATCTATAGAATTTTAGAGTTCAATACTTTCTTATCAAAGTTTAGAACAGAAAGATCTATCAACACTTGTCTTCTGTAGATACTTTAATAATAAGCGAGACAAAATCTTTGTGATATACTTTAAGAAATTCTTACCAATTGCTCGTTCATATAAACATTGAATACGTGCTGGTTCTTTTTCAAATTCAATATATTTTCTATAAGTTGCTACACTTCTTTTTGTATCTTCTAATTCTTTTTCAAATTTTTCACATCTTTCTAAATGTTGAATAGCAAGATCATAATCATGTTTTATAACTAAATCATATTTTTCCGTATAATTCGATGGTAAATATTCTTTATATTGTTGACAAAATTCATTATAATCTTTATAATAAACATTTTTCATATCACGTAATGGAATTGATAATTGTCGACGATATAATGTTACAATATAATCAACATGTTGAAGAATTTTTTCTTTTAAATCTTTATTTGTATTATTTTGATTATAATTCAATATAAGTCCATCTAGAATCGCCTTTTCTGTTTCAATATAAGCAGCCCATATTAAACTTCCATCAGTTAAATGAACCGCACATGAACTAAGACCACGTTCAAATAAATTTCGTAATTCTTCAATTGAATTTAATGATACATAATATGGTATACGATATTGAACATATTCAATCCAGATCATAATTGATAAATAATCATTAACTGCACGTTCAAATAATTGAATCATATTTTTATTTTCTTGTGTATTGGATATTAATAATTGTTTTTCATCATGAAACCAATCAAGCCAAAGTTGTTGTGTTAATGGAAAGATTTCTGACATTGTTTGACGAGCTAAACGTAAATGATCAAGATTACCATACTGACGTGATAATGTTATATAATCAATATGAGATTGATAATTATATAGATTTGATTGAACGATATCACGAAGTGCAACTAATTCAGATTCTTGTTTACTCTCATCAATTTGTTCTTCAGATGAATCACTTGATGTATCATCACTATTATCATCATCATCATCCTCCATATCATCTTCATGTTTTTCCTTATTTACGTCCATTTCTTCATCTTCTGACGACATGTTTTTATAAATCTGAAATAACAAATAATGGATTTAACTTCTATCTTTCGAATTATTGTTTCTTCAATAGAATTCTAATTGTAATATCGAACTATTTCGATTTTGTTAATTAACCCTAGTACTCCCAAGCCTATTTTTAGCGATAAGAAATAGAATGCATTTCAAGAAGGACTTCATGAACCCCACCCTTCGTAATAAAAGACCCGGGGGTCTTCTATTATGTTTTGCACATCGCGCTTTTTTCGTGAAAAATCCCCCTACCCCTTACAGGGCGTTTTTTTCGATTTTTGCTCCATAAGGGTCTACTATTATGGGGGAGTCTTTTAATTCGGCAGGGCCTTTTATTACGAAGGGGGGTTTACTTTAATCCATAAAAAAAAGGTTTCATAGTATTTCCTTGCTTTTAAAAAACAGGGCCCATTTGGACCCTGGTTGGTAGTTCTAGGGTTAAAAGAACATCAATATTAACAATTTTCTCAAAGATTATTTTAACTAGACTCAAGAATATTTTTTTCAGGGTTGATAAAACGAAATTTCAATTTGTTAAATAAAAAATAAAATTCTTATTCAAAAAAACAAACCTATTTAATCTACGTATTATTATTTTATTGCTAAAATTATAAAGTCAAAACGAAAAAAAAAAAACATATCTGACAAATGTCTATAATTAAAAGCAAGAGAGAGAGATAGAGAAGAAAGTGATAGATGTAATACATAAGACAGAACAAAAAAATATATATAAATGTTCAAATTCTATAGGATATAGAATACAAAGCTTGCGCATATACACCGAGCAGAAAGCACTGATAAACAAAAACAAATAATGAAAGACTCTCTCTCTCTTTCTCTCGATTGAAATTTTATTTCAGTAATGGATCAAATTCTTTTGCTACTGTTCGATGTGGACTTTGAGTAAAAGCCGAATTTGTAAATGAAGATGAACCATTTGATGTCATATGATGATAAATATATTTATCATTATTATTAAAATCTTCAAATTTTTTTTTCATTGAACTTGATGATGAACGTGATGATGATGTTAATGATGGTGATGTTGAACAATATGCTCGTGTATGTTGTGATGAACGTGAATTATCGTTAACGGATATTGATTGTGTTGTTAAATCATCATTTATTGTAAATGTTTTTGCTGTATTATTTAATTGTTGTTGTGCAAATGGATCTGATATACTTTCAGATGAGATTTCTTTTCCTTTACCAGAATCAGGTGAATCACTTGATAAACATTGTTGATTTGATGTTGAAAATAATGATGGTAATAAAAGTAAATCAGTTGGACGTGTTGGTAAAAGTTTTAATGAATCAAAATTATTTACTTTTGTTAATTTGATTTCAAGTTCATTTGTATAGAGTAATAATTGTTGTATATGTGTTAATAATTCTCGATTACGTTGAAGTAATTGAGTATTTTTATTCTAAAAGAAAAACAAGATCTTGAATTTTTCAAATATTTCTTAATTATTAAAACAAACTTGTGAATCAATTCGTGCAGCTATTTCGATATTTAATTGTTCTTTGATTAATTTGATTTGATTAAATGCTAATTCGGATTCATTTTGCATTTGTTGTAATTGTTCTTGCATGAATTGCATTTGATGTTTAAGTGTAAATTCACTTGATGAATGAGTAGGAAATAAATTAAGTGTTTGGATTTCAGGAGTTGTTGGAGCCTTTATAGAAAAGAAAAGAAATAATGAATTTTGTTTTTTGAAAAAAGATTTTACTGGAGTTATTTCAACACTTTGTAAATAACGTTCGGCTTTTTCTTTTAGATCAATGTTTGATGAGAGAATTTCATGATTGATTTGTTTAGCTGAAAACAAAATGATTTATTTCGAAAAAAAAAATTTCCTTTGAAAGAATAAGATTCTTACGTGTTAAATCATTTTCAGATAGATTTGAACTGACTTTAGTTGGACTAGAAATTGCAGGTGGGGTAGGTGGTTGCCGTTGTTGCATTGCTAATTTATGACAAACTTCAAAAGCTTGACCAATAGTACGGACGATACGCATTGCTTCATTCTAAGAAAAATATATTTTATATTATTAAAGAAATAAGTATCATAGATCGACAAATAGTACTATCATCGAAATGTTTATCTAAATCTTATTGACATAGATCTAACGAGAAAATATTATCAGCGAGTACTCTCATATGTTTTTAATTAATAGGGTTTGTAATGTAAAGAAAGACTCTTCAAAGAATTCGTACCAATGAACCTTTTCTTCCTGAGTTATAGACAGTTTACTAGATTTTCAATTTATCTACAGGATATTGTGACGGAAACCAAATCAAGGAAGTTCTGTCTAACAAATTCAGCTAAAAGAGAAATTTTTATACTGAGATAACGTGCTAACAAGAAACCATTCATATTCCACAAAAACTCATATATTTAGGGCGGTGTGATCTGTTATAGAACAAATTTCTTTATTTTTGTTTCCATCATCGCACTCTATGAACAGGCCTGAAAATATAATACAATATCTATAGCTCAAGAAAAAACATCTATTGGCATGAGTATTTCTCTACACTATAAACTTGATCAATGAATAAAAGATGAGCTTTTTGTCATAAATAGACAATAGAAAAAAATTAACAATAGTTTCTTTTTCATTAGAATTCAACTCTATAACCTTTTTCTTCGATATGATATACGACTAATCAAACTCTTATGAATAGTCTTCGGAACTGTATGTATACATAAATTCATTTATTTCTCTTACATGTAATCGATCATCATCTTGATCAAAGTTAATATCATTCCATGTGATCAGCATCTTGTCCTCTAACCGAATGATCATCATTAATACAATTCTATTCTATCATTTCTTCTGATTCAATAATCTTTCTCTCTTCTGTTTCTCTCATTCTCATAAAAATGACAAAAGCGAAGGCGTACAAGAAAACTCTTTATCTTGTCCTATTCAATGATCTTTACAGAATATAATCATATTTGACATTAATTACCTTCTTATATGCTTTAAAAACATTACAACGAAATGAATTAGTAACATTATCACGTGCAATAAAACTAAAGATTTTCAAATCTTGACTATCATGTGAAACATAAAATACTCTAAAAACGAAAAGAAATCAAATATTTATTCATATTATTAATTAATTCATACCGATATATTGGATGTTCCATTAAAACAAGTTGACTATCATCAAAATAAATTTCTTTCTAAAAGAAAAAAACAAAAAATAATACTCATTTTTGTTTTTTTGTGTTTAAATACCTTTTTCTTTTTCCATAAAGATACTTTAATTCCATCGACTGATATTGCTAAAGTAGCCTTACGTTTTTTAATTGCTTTTGCTTTAAATTCATACTAAAGATAAAGATAGAAAAAAAGTGATTATAAAATTATCACATTTATTTTCTTACGCGAATACGACGCATAGCAGCAACAATTTCTACCCTACTTGCTGGTTTCGGTACTTCCAATGAACCGATAAACTAAAGAGAAAAATTAAATTTAATAAAAATTTCAATAATTTACTTTTGCATTAAATTGTATTCCATGTTGAAAAGCTTCATCATTATGTAGTGGAATTTTGCTATCATAACCATCTTCAGACATTGGATCGTAGTTACGATTTTTAGCTGACATAAGTAATGATCTATGAGGATAGATAAAAACATATTTTGTTTAGCAATGCACAAAGAAAATCTAATTTTGTTGCTCATTGGATTTCTATAGGAAAATAATATTGGCGAATTATTATTTATTATTAACAAAGTTTCATTATTAAAAAATATTATATAAAAAGAATAGTTTTTATTTTAAATTTATATAGAATAAAATCTAAAAGAAAAAAACTAACATCTAGTAGATGTCACTAGAAGCTAAAAATATGATTTACGGATTTCATCATACAAGTTTTAAACTTTTATTTATTCGTAAAATCTAAAGACACGTACTAACTATTAAAAGTATCTCATTCATATACATAACCTCATGTAATCATCATTATTGTCAAAAAATGAAACAATCTCTGAATATATTATTCTTCATTTATCATTTTTTCTCTAGACTGTAGTACTACGACTTTCTTGACATCTGTCATATTCTTCATTTTTTTCCTCTCTAAATGAATATGATCGATCCTATGTGATATTACTACATAGATATAAAGTGTTACGTCGTACATATACCTATATAGGTATGTACATACGTCGTTTGCTCATTACTACAAACATACGTATATTTAAAGACGAGTTGTTCTTACCAAATAATAATGATGATGATGATGATATCATATTATGACATACATATTTCTCTTTGCCTAATATATATCAGTCGTTTTACTCTCTAGTATCAATTTCTAAATATCATAGCACATTTATCAAAATACAGTATATATTTATATATAGAGAGAGAAAGGATGTATTAAACATTAGATATGATTTCTTTTTTTTTTCAATGAATGAAATATCCTGAAGATTAATCTTTAGATTTTATTGTTGCTTATTTAGTGATAATAAAAATATAAAAGAACAAAGCCTCTTCCGTTTTATTTAACATTGATCTCACAATTTATAAACGTATGAGTTAAGCCTTTTTTATACATAGACAAAGAATGTATATAGCAATAAATATCAGTTGATTTTATCGACATTTTTATGATGTACTATACTATCGTTTGATTCTATCATCAATGGCAAGGTCTTAATCGATATTTTATGAATAAAAATGTCTTTTTATTCTGTACATTAAGCATAAAATAAATCTTCCTGTATGATGTACAACATTGTGTCTCATCTATCAATTTGTATTTATAGATAAAGATTTATTCGTATGATTGTTGAGGTGAGGGGATTGAAACAAATCTATATATGTATCTTTCTGTCTACTACCTTCAATTACAAGGAGAATTGATATTTATGAGCATTGTCATAATAATATCTCTGTTTATGTCATACTTATATGTATCCATCGTCAAGAAGAGTATCTGTCTTTCAATATATCTATATCTCAGCAGTATAAATATGTTCTAATTCTATTTATAGAAGAAGAAAAAAAGATAAGTTTTCTACCGTATGAATAGTATAAGCATATTTTTTTTCTAATCTAAAAAAGATCATTGAAAATGAAATTATATTCTTGTTGTATAAAGATGTTGCGTCATATTCTCAATTGTGCTAATCATATTAGTAGTATCAAACTCTCTTATTGTCGGCTATAGTTTAGATGCGACAAAAAAGAGAGGAAAAGAATAGATAATCAGAAGTATGTTACATAATTTCCGTTTTACAAGAATGATGATTTCCGCTTCGATACTTAGAACAGATCATTTGAATGAAAATGACAAGTCTGATTAGGTGAAATAGAAAATGAAACAATTACGAATGCATTTCTATCTAATGCTTAAATCTCTGTTTTTCTCAAATACTATTTAATATGCTAACTAAAATCTATCAATAATCAATTATTATATTTATAAAACATTATGAAATTATCAAAGGGAATAGAAACATATTTGAAATCTAACATGTATTTTGTTAAGAAGTACTTCACTCTTATGTTCAATTGGATAACCACTAGGAAAATCGATTGTATAAAAGGACTACTACTTGAAAACTTACTTTAACATTGCCATTTCTTTCTTCTTTCGTTTATTTGAGTATGTTCGAAGATTATATTGATCGTTTAGTCGTGTAAATATGCACAAATTCAATATTAATATGAATTGATAAGTAAATCAATAAGATAACGTTGGTGATGAGAGTACGTGTACCAATCAACACAATGATCACATCATTCAAATGTATCTATCAATACACATATAGTATTTCTATTGATTAAATACTCTGTTATAGAGAGAAAAGAATAAGGAAAAAAAACGGAAAAAATAAATCTCTATAGCTCATCATCGATACATAAAATTCTCTTTTTTTCCCTCTGTCTGCATCTTAATCAAGTGGAAAAAAAAGAAAAAAAAAATGAATAGTAGAAAAATAGAACTAGATTTGTATATTCTTGTCTGTCGATGTCAGGCTTCTAACAATTCAATATTTGATACACATACGCGCACACCACATCTCTCTTTCTCCTAGTTTTGTCCCCTCTTTAATATAACTGGCGACAATGTCACCAAGGAAAATGCTAAAGATAAAATTGCATCTAGATAATTGATTTTGCGCAAAAGAAGACGACGACGACAACGACAACGACGATGACAACAACAACAACAACAAGAAAAAGAGGATTCTACTAGTTTTTCTATCTTGTCTGCTATTGTTATTTTCGTTCTTTTGTATAATTCTTGCGTATACAAGAGACGATGAATGATACAATTTGTTGAAAGAACGAGAAGAGTAGTGAACACGATGATAAGCAATAATGAGTGTATGTGTATGTGTGTGTGATCGAGTAATCGATCATTACACGCCGCAAGCGAGAGTATACTGATCAAATCATCTTTGCTATGTCTCATGTGTTTTACATGAGAGAATAAGAAGAAAAACGAACTTAAAAAAGAAAGGAAAAGAGAAAAAGAATGAGAAGTTTTTCTATAAATTTAATAATATAAAAAAAAATTGTAAGACTAAGAAAAATGAAAATGCCATATGAATGAAACAAGAAAGAAATTCTCATACATATAAAAGTAAAGCAAAATTTTCTTTCTTGGGTTCAATGATTTTATAACGATAATACGATATTAATATCTTTATGACTTATATAATTTGCTCGTTATGGTCTTTTAGACATGTAGAAATCTTATTTAGTCAATTTACTATGTTTTTAACCTTCGATTTCAACATATATTTTTTATTACTCATATATTTCAAAAAAGAATAATTGGGTATAGAAAAAAAAAGAAATTCAAGGTTACTCAAATGATTCCAATAAGAGAAGAGAATAAAAAATAAAAAGAGAAAAAGATAATATGATGCAACTCGATTATAATTGAAGATGACATCGTTGACTGTGCTTGACATCCGACAAAAAGCTTAATTAGCTTAATATTCTTTTCGATGTCTTTTAGTGTCCTACCCGAGGTTATTAAGTGACATTCTTGTATTTCTTACTCTAGAATTATATTCATCAAGAAATCTATTGTTATGTTTAGTTTAGTGTCAAAACAAGTACTTATATATGGTAAATGAAGGAAAATCGATAATTAGTTTACTCATAAAAAATATTTATTGGAAATTTTTTTTATATTAAATACTATTCAATATCTATTCTTACCGTTGTAAATAGAATTCTGTTTTTGTTCTTATTTACTATCGATAAAAAACAAAATATTAGGTTTTAATAATGAATCAATTGTCTCTTCTTCTTTTCTCAAGAGTATATCATTTCATTACAAAAAAAATTTATAGCTGCTTTGTTTGCCGGTGGCATCATAAATAATATAGGTCTAGTGCATACGCACGAATGAACAATACTGTTGATGAATAAAAGATATACATTGAAAAGAAATTGTGAACATATGTGAGAAATATTTCTAACTATCGTAGACTAATCTTGTTTTAAGCAAGAAAAAATGATAACAATTACATAGTCTCTTACTATTTTATTGCATCTGAGTATTACAATCTTCAGAATCAGTACAAATTAATACGCGATCATTTCTAGCTTAAGTAATTTGCATTTCTTTTAGAAGAATTGTATACATAAGGATAGTTTAGTTGTGGCGTTTTTTTACTAAGAATAAAATAATCGAAGAATTTGTTTAGTTGTCCTCGAATAATGATTTGTTTATATAAAGTATATATATGTGTGTTATTTTCAGACTGTTTATTTTATTATGTAGTTGATCGAATTCTTAATAAGCTTTATAATATAAATATTAGCATCATCTTTTGTTTGACCTCGAAATGTATTATCGTAAAAATATCTGTAACGAAAAATATAGATTCGTATATAATTCCGAGTATGTTATATGAAACTTTCTCTTCGCAAAATAATAATAAATAATAGATTAAAATAACTATCGCTTGAATTGTCAAAGGAAATTATAATATAGTATGTTTTCGATTGAGAAAGAATATATATCATAGAAATAACAATATGAAAGGCTTAGAATATTAACATTTTGAATTAACATTCTTTTCAGACAATTCATTGTTATTGATTGATTGACCTAGATCATCTGAATAATATATAGAGAGAGATAGCTGAAAAATGATCACAAAGTACAATGAATTATTACATATAGATTATTTCCGTTCTTCTTTGTTTTTCTTTTGCTTTTGTTAGAAAATAATTTTGTTATTCACATGAGCGAATAGTTAATAGAATTATTTACATGTTGACATTCTAATAGATTTCAGTTCGAACGACTATTTTTATGTACGCACTTTTCGAAAACATTCATCTTTCTTTTATGATTTTTATACACAAAATTATTAATAGATACAATGTGCACTGAAGAGTAACATATTTCTTTATATTGAAATTACATTCTGCATATGACAGTGATAATAATAACAATATAGAATATTTTAAAAGTCATGGTTTTTTAAGAAATTCATTTATTTCTCTTATTAATCAAGTTTATAAATACTGTTCAAAAGTATTGCCTTTGCCAGTAATAGAAAAATGTAGAGGGCGAAAGGTTTCTAAAAAAAGCCATGATGAAAGGTTTCTTTTTTTTAATTAGTTCAATTTCTCAGATAACTCTATCCTTCAAATTATCTATAGCTTTAGCTGTTGTTTTTTAGACATTTGATATTCACTCAAAGCAGTTCATAGTTGGCTAAACAACGCCTGCAATAGCAGATGGATTAGAAGAAATGGACTCGTTGATCTCCAGTTCCAACCAAATATCTAGAAGACTATAGTTGAAGGATGGAATTATTTAAGAAATTGAATTCATTACAAAAAAAGAAACCTTTCATAATTGTTTTTTAGAAACACTGTCATTCTGTACATTTTTTCTATAGATGCCACAGACAAAACAAAAGCTTGATGATATTATCTGATTAATTAGAAAGATAAATGAATTTCTCAAAAGATCATGGCGACATTAATGGAAACGAAATAACAATAGACATGAATATTATTACTGTACATCAAATTAACTATTCATTGTATAACTGGAATTCTTTGTTTATCCAGACATACTTTAGATATTTTTGTTTTCTATTAGATAACACTATGCATTCTAGGTACACGTTGCATATAATTCAGCACACAAGCAAAAAGAATAAGAAAAATGAATCTTTATGACATACTTGAATAGAATTTAATATAATAAACTAAATTTTTATGAAATGTATAAAAATAAATATCGTCCAAAGTACTTATTCTCTTCCGTGTCGTTCGTTATTAATACGTGTTGGTTTTTTCCTCAAAGTGACATAATGAGGAGAGGAAGAAAAACAAAGCTGGAAACAACCATGCAGGGTTTTTTTCTTCTCGTTCTGTTTGAATTTTATATGACTACGGTAGACATAAACGCACATTTTTACTTCGAAACATATATAAATGAGTGCAACAGCAAAGACAACGACAGGAGCAGCAAGTATTGGCGACAATCTATCACATCAAAGACCATTGATTACTGCTGCATGGGTAGATCAAAGTATAGGTGAAGCAGGACAGCATAAATACATAAAAGATCGTTTCGAAACACTTTCACCGTTTATTTCAAAATGGTTATATTTTGATTCATCTGATGAATTTACATCTTATATTGAAAGTAATTCTAATATGCGAATGATGAGTGTCATGTCTGGTGGAATATCTCGTTTATTAGTACCAAGATTATCATACCATGCTGCTTTACATATTGTTTACGTATTTTGTGTTGATGTCGAACGAGCACGAAAATCAATGGAAAGTGAAACTAAAGTTAAAGGTATATTTACAATTGAAGATGAAGTATATGAACAAATGGCTAATGATTTATCCAAATTATTAGTTGAAGAAGGAATAGCATTAGCTGGATTAGATCAACGAAGTCAAGCAAAATTGTATTATGAAGAAGCAAAACGATTGTTAAGAACGGAAGCAAAAAGTGTGGATGAAAACGAAAGGAAAAAAAGAACTGAAGAAATCAATATACGAATTGAGCAATTACTTGCATAAATTAATATTCATGACAAATTTCGTTTATACGCATTTAACTAAAAATCTATGTGATAATTTGTGTATGGACATTTTGTTTCTACGAATAAATTGAACTGATTTAGATACATTTTATTATGAAAATATCTCGAATGTATTTTCGAGGAAAGAATACATGAACGCAATTTATATCATATTTTTATTTACAAAAAATTTCATTTTAAAATCAATGTATGATTGGTATTGAGCCATTGTTGTATAGCTTTAATAGCTCCTGCTGGTTGAGGATCTTCACTTGAGAATGGTAATGCACCATATATTGCTTTAATTAAACCACCATTAATAAAAGCTTCGTTTAAATTGTCACGCATACTTTCTTCATCGCCATAATTAAAAAGATAGGATTCACTAACAGCAAAATGTGATTGAGAAGGATCAACAATAGTAATTTGATATTTAAGTTCCGTTAGATTATATATTGCTGCTCCTCGATTATCCATTGTAAATCCAGGAATTGAATAAGAATTAACAGCAGTCCATATAGGTGGAACAGTTGTATCTATACGTGAAGCATCAACTGAAGCCATAGGAACAATATGAGTAAAAATTCGTTCTCTTGGAATGTTATTATCATGACAGACTTTAGCTAAAACTTCTAAATAATTATGAATAATTTCATAACAGAGTAAATTAAAGAGAACATCACGAGTTATATTTCGATGTTGAGCTTCGATAATTAATTTTTCTTCAGTCCATCCTTGCCAATAGAGTGAAGCATAACCAAGTTGAGCACCTGCTTCCCATTGTTGCATTGTTATATTTCTTGAATTTACTGGCCATACAGCTGTTGGTAAATGAGTTGGATCAATTTGTCGATAATTAAGTATATTTGTTTCCCAACCGATATTAATACCAGCAAATAGATAAAATTTGTTTTGTTTATTTAGTTTTATTATCCATTGTGCAAGAGGTTTAGCAATACTTTCGTTGAATTGTATTGCTGAGAAATTAATAAAATTCGGTGCACCAATTGCAGGAAATGCAGAAGAGGGTGAACACCAAGAACCCCAATTAAACCACGTTCGAGGAATACGATTTGGTAATTGATTTTTATTCAAAGGAAACTCAATCCATTCTCGCATTGTTCCATTATTCCAATATTTAATTGTAGGTGCATCAGCAGTTGAATTTTCTTCATCAGCACCCCAACCATATATTGGATCTATATGAATAAAAAGAGGTGTATTCGTATTTTCAGCTAGAGTAAATGCTGTTTCCATTTCTGAACGAACAAAAGCATTTGATCGAGTAAGAAATCGCATTTGTTGTTTGCCATATGCATACATACGTTGAGCAGTAGGATTAATTTCACCAAATGTACGTTTTAATGAAGCAATATTAAGAGTTTGATTAGGACCGGGACCTTCATCAGGTCCACCACCTTCAAAAATTAAGTATTGAATATCACTTTGACCAAGAATAATATGTACAATACATATAATAATAGTAATAAAGAGAGTGTCAAACATTGCGTCTAGGTAAAGATAAACATTTCGTATTTGACATATAATTATTCTAACATAAAGATTTTTTTATTATATCTTCAGACACCTTTTTCTTTTTATCAACAAACCTTATCACACACAAAGAAGATAAGCGATTCATTTTGTAAAACCATGTTATTTATTTTAAATTTATAGTTTTCAAAAAAATATTGCTTAATAAATATAAATACAATTGAAAAAATTCAAAGGGGAATACACATGACTATATTTTTATTGCATAAATTCGATGTATAATAATGGATGATATCGTATTTCATTAATACTGTATGGATTTATATGAATTATTTGTGATATTAAACGATGCTGTATTTAAATTTATTTTTCTAAGATCAGTTACGAATTTAAGATGACGTATTAAATGTATTTGTTCGTCTTCTAGATGTTGTTTTAATTGATGTAATTTTTGCTTTCGTTGAATTATATTTTCTATTTTATCTTCTAATTCAGCATTTTCTTTTGCGATAGATATTATTCGAGCATGAAGTGTTTCCTCAACGTCCTATAGAAAACATAACTTTATTCTTAATTTTGAGAAAGAAAAAAATATTAACCTGATTAGCTCGTCGTTGAATTTCTGCAATTTTGATATCTGTCGATCGACGTTGTTGTCGAATTTCTTTTTCATAAGTTGATTTCACATGAGCTATTTCATGAACATGTTTACTACGTATTAATTTTATTTCTTCTTCTAAACGTTTAATTTCATCACTTTGTTGTTCTCGAATTATCTATAATTAGAAAATGATTTTTTTGAATCATATTTTAAAAATATTATACTCTATATCCATCCATTGTTTTTAATTCATGTTTTGCTTCTAATAATAATTGAGATTTTCGTATTAATTCTAATTGATATTCTATAAAATTAAATCAAACGATGATTAAATTGAATTATTTTTCTTTATGAAAAAAAATTAAAAAAACCCAAGCAGACAAGAATTTGGAGAACCGCGATTGCATCTCATTCACGCTCGAAAAAAACGCCGTTTTATCGATTTTTGGCGTTTTTTTCTATATAATCTCTAGTTTTTGAACGTGAAAGCGACAAAAAAATCCAGTTTTTGAGCGTTAAAACGTGCTTTTACTTCTGCAGTCTAGAAGCAGTGCATTTTAACGCTCAAAAACTGGACTTTTTTTATCGCTTTCACGTTCAAAAACTAGAGATTATATAGAAAAAAACGCCAAAAATCGATAAAACGGCGTTTTTTCTCTCGAGCGTGAATGAGATACAATCGCGGTTCCCGATTGAGCGTTTAAACGCGTTTCTCCAAAATCCTTGTCTGCTTGGGTAATGTTCTAACTATCTATTTTTAGCTTTACAGTGATAAGAATTATTGTATGAGAATTGTAATCGATTTCATTTACAAGATATTGGAACGACGAGATAATTAACGATGTACATAAATATTTTAACCTCGTTAACATATACTTCATTACTACGATGTTTTATAAAAATAGAACTGTTTTTGGTTCTAATGGGTTATCTGCAGAAATACTAATAAAGTTAGATAAAATACATTAACTTGATAATGACTATACTTAATTCTTCTATTGTCGGCTAGACTTTATTATCGTCGTCAAGAAAGTATGCGTCACCGAAAAATAGAAACAGTCTCATAGACATCATAATAAAACGAGAAATAAATATGGCATTGCTATACACAACAATCATAAGATATTTAGTGATTCTATCAGGTTATTGATATATGTCCTCAACTGTTTTAGTTTTATAGCATGGAAATTCAATTAAACCTTTCATTAAACAACTTATTGTTGAAATACCTTTTTTCTTTTGTTTATATTCTTTCGTCATATTTTTAATATCTCGATTAATATCTTCAATTTCTTGTCGATGATAATCACCTAATGTTATCATTTGTGTTTGTCGAAGATTGGCTTTTTTTGACATAAAATGTGTATATTCCCTCTGGAATTATATATTTATTTGATACAAGTTTTAATAAAAATATATTTTTACCATTTCTATTTGAAGTCTATCTGCTTCTTTATTAAGCCAAATGTTTTCTTGTTCACTTCAATGAAAGAAGAAAAAATAAACAAGTCAAATTTATTGAAATAAATTTTAACTTACGTAGTATGGACCCGCATTTTAATTTCAGCTAGTTGCTTTACTTTATTTTCAAGTCTAAACAAATATTAATCTTAAAAATCACCATTTTGAAATATTAAAAAACAAGAATTTACTTTGCCCGTAGAGCAATTTCTCTTTCAGATGGCTCGAGAACTTCATGTTTTTCGATAGATTTTTTCTTTTTTACTTTTTCTTTCTTGCCCTTTGGCGGCATTTTATTATTGATTAGTTGTTAAAAGCAAATTTTATATCGATTAATAGTAAAATAATATTCAATCGAGTTACCATTTTCATTATTATTACCATAGCGATATGGTTATACAATAGAGGTCGTCATTGCAATTGAAAATAATGAAGTTAAAAAAAAAAATAAATGCATTAAATTTATTATAAGCATTGAATAGGTTAGAAAATTATTGTAAGAAGAAGTTCATTTTAACTAATCTGCAAATTAATCTTTGGACTTTCGAAAAAGGATGAGTTATTTGATATTCTTACGTTAAAGAGAGAATAATTATCGGTATATTTGATGAATCTAGATTTCAAGGTTTCTTTTTTCTGATTAAGTATCGTATTTCATTCCTATTGGTAAAAAAAAACTTTCAAAGCAGTATGACATTAATCCACCTAATTCTAAAAATATATGTTTTTGTCCTTTTTATTTTCATCATTTCTTTCAAGATTGATGTTAACAAAAATAACCAAAGAAGAATTCTGTAAAGTATTAAATCTTTTATCAAGCCCTACATATTATAAACTACTTCCTAAACGACCTGGATTCACTTGCAAAAGAAAAACTAGCATCAGATGTTGTAGATGTGCGTGCCTTTAGATGAAATATTATTCATCCTTACGCTCTCACGTTTATAATATTATTGTTTTTTTTGATGCTAGCGTTTTTTTTCAATTATGTTTTCAGAAAATCAATGTTTCTACTTCGTCGGCTTTTATCTCTATCCTCATTCATTCTAGAACCTATTACATCTTTTTCTGCATCGAACAAATTTTTCATCAGTTGCAAAAAAATTTCCGTGATGTCAACAACGCCACAAAAGCCCAATGCAAATACAGAGTCACAAGGTGGAGCACCAGCAAGTAAAGAGCCAAATTTAAATGATAATAACAATCGTCGTTATGAAGTTGTTGAACGTGGTCAATTACATACACTTAATTATCGTTGTTATTTTCGAGATGTTCAAACAAAAAAAATTGTATCACCATTCCATGATATTCCACTTGTAAGTGAAGAATATACATCATCGAATGAAAATAAAGGCGAAACTATTTATAATATGGTTGTTGAAGTACCACGATGGACAAATGCTAAAATGGAAATTAATAAACAATTAAAAATGAATCCACTTGTACAAGATGTTAAAAATGGTTAGTTGTTTTTTGTAAATCATATATATATATTAAATTATTTTTCTTTCAAAAAGGTAAACCTCGTTTTGTTCATAATGTATTCCCATATCATGGTTATTTATGGAATTACGGTGCTTTACCACAAACATGGGAAGATCCAAATCATGTTGATGAAGATACAAAAACAACTGGTGACAATGATCCATTAGATGTTTGTGAAATAGGTACAACTCTTCATGCAACTGGTTCAATAGTACCTGTTAAAATCGTTGGTGTTCTTGGTTTAATTGATGAAGGTGAAACAGATTGGAAATTAATTGGTATTGATATTCGAGATAAACTTGCATCAAAAGTAATATTTCATTCAATATGAATTATATTTTTATTTTTATTTTCTCAATAGATTAATGATATAAATGATGTTGATACACATCTTCCAGGTTTACTTGAAGCAACACGTCGTTGGTTTAAATATTATAAAGTTCCAACAGGTAAACCACCCAATAAATTTGCACTCAATGAACAATTTGCTGATCGTGCATATGCTCAACGTGTTATTGATGAAACAAGAAAATATTGGGAAAAATTAGCTAGTGGTGAAACAAAAGTTGATGAAAAAGTTTGTTCAATTACAAATACAACACTTAACAATCGTGGTACAATTAAAAATGAAGATGCAGAAAAAATTATTGAAGCTGATGAAAAACATCATAAAGAACCAGCAAAACTTGATACAAATGTTCATCAATTATCTTATGTTCAAGATGATGAAGAACGATCAACAAAAGACAAAAAATTCTAACTTATCGATCAAAACCCGTGATTGTCATAGACAAATATATATCCACTCCTACGAACAGTCATATTATTTTTTTGTGTTCGTGTTTGTGTATTAGATTTTTGTTCTCCAAATATAACCTTGGAATAATTGAAATTATTTTATTTGATAAAAGTTTTTTTCTTATTTTCACTATAGAGTTATGACACAAAAGTCATTTGTTCGTCTTAATGAGATATCTAAAACTATATGGCATATATTACTAAATCGTCCAGCATATCATAATGCTTTTAATACAGAATTAGCACATGAATTAATAGATCAATGTCATCGTATTCAGACATCGAATGATAAGCGAGCAGCTGTAATTGTTTCTGGTCAAGGACGTTCATTTTGTTCAGGTGCAGATCTTAAAGAACGTCAATCAATAACAAATTCAAAAAAATGGATGGAACAACATCATATCTATGAACGTATGTTTAATTCGTTAGCAGAATTAAAACAACCAACAATTGCTTGTGTCGAAGGATTTGCTTTAGGTAAAAAATTGGTAATTATGAATTTTTTCTAAAAAATAAATTTCTTTTCTAGCTGGTGGATTTGAATTAGCTCTGAATTGTGATATGATCATTGCATCTCGTTCAGCATCATTTGGATTGCCAGAAGTAACTCGTGGTATTATGCCAGGTGGTGGTGGAACTCAATTACTTGCTCGTCTTATTGGTCCAGCACGAGCTAAACATATTGCTATTACTGGACGACGAATAAACGCTCAAGAAGCTTTTGATATGGGTATTGTTCAAGTATTAACTGATGATGGTGAAGCATTGAATAAAGGAATTGAATTAGCAAAGACTATTGCTGATAATGCTCCATTGGCTACACGAGCTATAAAACAAGCCATTGATGAAGGATGGGGTAAAGATAATAATGAAGCTAAAACAATTGAATTGAAATATTATGAAACATTAATTGATACGGAAGATCGTCATGAAGGTATTCGAGCGTTTAATGAAAAACGAAAAGCACAATGGAAAGGAAATTAAATTATTTTTTTGTCAAAATTTTATCATCAAATTATATTATATAAACAAAAAATTATTTTTATTTGATTTTATCACGATAGAATAAATTATGTCATAACGAAAGTTGGACCATTTCTTTTATCTATCAGAGTTGATACGATATGTATAATGTTGTCAATAGTTTTACTAAAAAATACTCTTTATCTGAATGATTTATTTCAATTGTCGACAGATTTGTAATTTTTAAATACTCGTTTTTTTCATATATCATACAAATGCATATTCTTTTCTACGGACGGTATACGTGATTAAATTATACATGTAAAATCTGTAGCTATTTTTTATAAAACATATTTTAACGACAACTATCATGATTGTATTACTCTGCCAATAGCTAATTTGAGTTCTTCGTTCTTCTCTTTTTCTTTTTTTTTATTCTTACTTATACCAACTGGTATGTATTACAAATAGTTGTTTTTTTTTACATAATCATAACCGCTGGTTTCTACTACTCAAAAATGTTTCGTAAACGTGAGCGTACAATTCATTGATAGTCACGATTAAGAAGTTTATCAAAACAATCATTAAGTGTATTGTTCTCTTAAATCTTATCGTTATCTGAGATCAGAATAAGTTTAATATTAATGGATAAATTTAAGGGAACAACGAAATCAACGAAAGCAAGATATTTAATGAATAATAATCTTATATTATAACTTTTATTCGTTTTTTTCTTTTGCAACTTTACGGCTCTTCTTTTCTTCTTAGAAAAAGAACCAACTGTGCATTTTACACGATATATTTACCTTTTTTTCAGATTCAAGGATATATATATATAGAGAGTAAATATAACTATGCAAACAGGCAAAGTTATCGATCATATTGTTAAATGGTTAAAAGATTATGCAACACATCATGCAGGTGTTAAAGGTTTTACTGTTGGAATTTCTAATGGTATTGATTCATCAGTTGTATCAGCATTATGTGCTCGTACTGGTTTACCTGTACTTGCCATTGAATTACCTATTAATCTATCGAAATCAAAAGAAAAATCAAAATCAATTCATATAGAATGGTTAAAAAAGACCTATGGTAATGATCAAATACGATCATTAAATGTTAATTTAACAGATGCTTATCATAAATTAAAAGAAACATGTACAGAATTACAATCCAATGATAAAAGTGAATTAGCTTTGGCTAATGTTCAATCTCGAATACGAATGGTAAAAGAAAAATATTTCTTTTTTCTTGATTTTATAGGTTTTATTTTTTTCGTAAAGATTACTCTTTATTATTTTGCACAAATTAATGGATATCTTGTAACTGGTACTGGAAATAAAGTTGAAGATTTTGGTATTGGTTTCTTTACAAAATATGGTACATTTATTTTTCATTTTATTTAAAATATAGAATAAATTTTTTTCCCCATTAACTAGGAGATGGCGGAGTAGATATTAGTCCAATTGGTGATTTACTTAAATCAGAAGTTCGTGCAATAGCTCGAGAATTAGATATAGATCGATCGATTATTGATGCTCCACCAACAGATGGTCTTTTTGGTGATATGCGAACAGATGAAACTCAAATAGGTGCTACATATGATGAATTGGAATGGGCTATGAAACAACAAGATAATAATGATAAACAAATGAATGAAAGACAGAAAAAAGTGATGGAGATTTATTTAAAACGACATCAAGCAAATAAACATAAAATGAAAGAAATTCCTGTTTGTATTATACCAAAAGAATTAAAACAATCAAAATAAAAACTTAATTTCAATATTTATTTATACAAGCACAAATCATTATAATAATATAATACAAAATTCAATTTTTTCATAGTTTTAATCATTTTATTATATTTTATATTGTGATATATATATGTGAATATTATTTTATTTCAATTTATTTTTTAACCTTCAAATCAAGCGATAAAATATTTAATGAGAAGAAAAATAGAAATAAATGACTTTGATGTTTTTTTTATGAACACAGGTATATCTGTTATTACGAGAGGATTTTGAAATTTGAATCAGCAAAATACTTTATCGGGAACGATACGTAAAGTATAACGTGTTCTTTTTACCAAGGTAAGTTTCAGAAACATATTGTTTTTGTCATTTTCTTTTCTATCATACAGATATCTAACCGTTCACAAGAATAGAATGACAAAAATAATTTTCTGATGTATTTATCGGGTAGAACCAGTGAACAAATATATTGACAAAATAATTATTGATGAATTTATTAATTTTTTTAGATAGAAATAAATCTTCCAGAAAGTAAAACAACTGAAAAAACATGAAATTTACAAATAAACATAGTCAAAACTATTTCACATTGTAAAAGAAGCAGAAGATAATTTATCAAAATATTATAAAATGGAATATATTCGTGACTTCTTTTGTGTTTAACTTAGTTGTGTTATTAACAAATCAATAATTGATATCTATTATTGATGAGCAGACTTGTAAGAAGAGACTGTAATGCACTTTAGATGATATATAAAATGCATTATCTATTTGTTTGTTTTTTTGTAAATTTTGACGATAATGATCAGAATATACGATTAATGACAAACCATTTTGAGCGTGTAGGTGTGAGTAATACTGGTTACTCTACTTCTATCCACACCAAACTAGTCCACACTCACAGAAAAAAAAAATTTAAATGAGTTTTAGTTGTTACTCACGAGGGAAGGCCACCAATTGTCCCCTCGCTTTTGGACTGAAACTCAGTTGACAATAGGTAATGGAGTGTGCTGATTCCGAATATCACAATGATTTTTGCCCGCTTTCGATTTACAGACCCGTTTTCTAAAGAACTTGGTTGTTCAACTGAAAAACCATTTTCACTAAAAAATTGTTTTGACTTGTCCAAATGGAGAAACACATCATCAAACCTATTGAAAGCGATTTTGCCAGGTTCTAAGCCAGGTTTTGAGCGAGTTGTCTGCGTCTAAAACTTTAAAAAAAGAGACAAAAACTGCCAACATTCTTACACAACTTATGAAAAAACTACTTTTTTCCTTGTGTTCTTTTTTAAGTTTTAGACGCAGACAACTCGCTCAAAACCTGGCTTAGAACCTGGCAAAATCGCTTTCAATAGGTTTGATGATGTGTTTCTCCATTTGGACAAGTCAAAACAATTTTTTAGTGAAAATGGTTTTTCAGTTGAACAACCAAGTTCTTTAGAAAACGGGTCTGTAAATCGAAAGCGGGCAAAAATCATTGTGATATTCGGAATCAGCACACTCCATTACCTATTGTCAACTGAGTTTCAGTCCAGAAGCGAGGGAACAGTTGGTGGCTTTGCCTCGTCAGATTAATTTGCTGCGCAAATTGTCATTCACATATATAAAGTATAATTTATAAACTACTGATAACGATAATGGTTCAACAAAAAAATCTTTGTCAGCAATAGGGTTGATTAGTAAAAAGTTTTAGTTGAACATTTGCTACTAGCATACATGCGTAAATACCATAATTTTAATGCGTATGTGTACGTTCATCTAGTGCTAATTTATGATATTATAAAAAAGTCAGGACTCCGTTCACAAAGTGGCGGAACAAATTAATTGATTCAACGTATTTTTTTTTGAGATAAAGAAAAAAAATTATAATGTGCGAATAGAAATGAATAAATAGTGTCTACTTTGTTCATTTTACTCAACAGTTAAAACAATGATGTTTTTCATCAGTTTAATCTATTTTATACTCTTACCTTCGATAAATCCTCAACTTCAAATCAATCTTCATTTAACCGATTGGACAAATTATAATGAAATAAATGTTGATTTGCAACATGATTGCCTTCATGTTCCTACTCATTTAAATGAAGATTATATTGAATATCATCAAATCATTTCATATTGTATGGGTGAATGGCCTTCAAATTGGAACATAGAAGAAAACAGTTTTCATCAAAAATACAGTTTTTCTCAACTTAAAATGCTTAATATTACTAGTCAACAGTTATATCTTTGGTCAGCTCCTATGGATATTGTTGAAGAATATGAATCCTATTTGAATCAAAGTTTAATTTCAAATCAATCAACATCAGTAATGGCAATAAAGTTATTCTACAATTGTACACAACCAAGATTTGGGCCTGTATGTCAATATTCATTAGATATTTCAACTTCTTCTTTTCCTTCATCACTCAGAGAAATTATTCATGACTTTTACCTGCCGGTATATAAACCAACAACTTGGACATGTTATACTCATTTAGAATGTGATCGTGGTACAAGTACAGCTTGTCTTGATTGGGCTGAAATTTGTGATGATCATATCAATTGTCTTAATGACGGAATTGATGAGAAACATTGCTGGGTACTTGAAATTAATGAATGTGAAGAAAATGAATATCGATGTAAAAATGGACAGTGTATACCGAACAAATTTGTTGGCGAAGGTTCAAAATCTGTCGATTGTATTGATAAAAGTGATGAAGACGAAATATTGTCCGGTGCTACTCGTTATCTTTCACATGAACCGATAATTAGAATCGAAGATATTATATGCAACAAAGATATCCACCTGGAGCGGACTATCTATTTTACAACTTCATGTGTACGTAGTCGACATGATCTTATTTTAGAAGACATGTTTTTGAACAAACCAAATTCAACATCTGACGAATGTTGGTTTGCATTCAGATGCTTTTTTCGTATTCCTAATGCATTAGATCCAATGTGTAAGACTATTTTTATCAATAGAACATGTCAAGAAATTATCAATGAAACATGTCCCGATATATTGTTCATTCCAAATGCTCCATTGCTCTTTGGACACATTTATTTCGCTTACACGAAAGAAGCTGCAGTACAGACACTTGTTTCATCACTTCCACCGCAGTATGTATGTTATAATGATCAATTATGCGATGGATTTTACACAAATAGAACATTATTAACGTTTGATAATCTAACATGTCGCCGTCCTCAAGATTTTCCATTCAGATTTTCTGCTATTGCAAGAGGCAATTGGTTAAATACATATGTTAAACCTGCTCACAAAGAATTGTATAAATGCAATACAATTATTCAGAATATGTCCGCAGTTTGTGACAATTCAAGGATGTATCGATGTATTAACTCGTCTAAATGTATTTCAAAAGATCGTATGGATGATGGTTTCATAGATTGCGATTACGGAGATGATGAAGATCCAAGTGTGGTCTATGATATTTGTGTAAACAATGAATCTAAAACGTTTTTCAAATGTACAACAACAGCTAAATGTATTTATTATCGAAAAGTAAACGATGGTTTATGTCAATGTGGACGTAATGAATATGGTTTGTGTGATGACGAAGATGCAGAATGTCAAGCAGTTGGAACACATTTATCATTTCCAACTGTTTGTGATGGTTTTACCGACCTTTTTCCTGTTAATATCGATGGACGAAATGAAACAGATGAAACTGAATGTGAACTATGGCAGTGTAATAATACGTATACTCGATGCGACGGCATTTGGAATTGTTTTAATGGAGCTGACGAAGTTCATTGTAATACATCGGTATCATTCAGTTGCCCATCCAATCATCATATATGTATTTCGCCTATTACGAATCAACTTACATGTTTACCCCTTGCCAAAGCGAACAATGGAATTATCGACTGTTTAGGCGCTACCGATGAGCCAAAATTATGTCGATCAACCGGTTATGCTCCGAGCGGAAATAAGTTTTACTGTTTGAATGATAACTCGTCACCTTGTGAAATATCTACATCTCTTTGTAACGGTAGCAAAAACTGTCTCAGCGCAAACGACTATAAACCTTTGTGTTCTTTAACACGAAATTTTTCCATCGATTTTTCTATTTGTTATGCTGACAGCCGTTCTGATGTCCAAAATTTTTTTTGTGAACACGTGGTTCTTGAGCATAACAGAAAACCTGTGCATTTTACACTGGATGCAACAGAATTCAACAAAGACAAAAACGCAAAAGTAGACTATCCACTTTTCATTAGACCTATTTGTGAACGCATACGTGTTGAGCATAAAAGACCAGTTGCACATTTTCCACTGGATACAATCAAATTAAACAAAGACATAAACACAATACGCTCAATTCCACCTGACATGAAATCTATTGTTTATCATGAGCAATACCGTTGTCATCGTGGTCTGCCTTTGCGTATTTGGCTAAATCAAGAGAAGAACTTGACTAATACCACCTGTCTTTGTCCACCAAGTTTTTATGGTAACATTTGTCAATACCAAAACCAACGAGTTAGTCTAACTATGAGATTTCAAGCATATTCGGATTCTCGACGAACATTATTCGCTCTTGTGATTACACTTATCGATGATAGTGACAAACGGATTACTCATTCACATGAACAACTCACTTATTTGTACGTTCGAGATTGTCAAAAGAAATTTAACGTTTATCTACTTTATTCTACTCGACCAAAAAATGTGACACAAAATTATTCGATACATATTGACATCTATGAAAAGTCCTCATTAACTTATCGAGGAAGTTTATTAATACCAATTAAATTTCCTTTTTTACCTGTACATCGTATTGCTGTTCATCTTTATATTCCACGTATAAATGACGATATTCAAAGTTGTACAAATCAAACATGTGTACATGGTCAATGTACGATTTATTCAGAAGATTCAAAAGGCACTGCATTTTGTCATTGTAACAAAGGGTGGTCTGGAAAACACTGTACTATACCATATACTTGTAAATGCTCACCTGACTCATTATGTGCTGGTTTATTAGCAAATAATCGATCTCTTTGTGTTTGTCCTATAAACAAATTTGGTCCTCGATGTTTATTTAATCATACAGTTTGTCAATCTAATCAAAATAATATATGTTATAATGGTGGCAAATGTATACCTATTGATGAATATATGCAAAGAGAAGATAAGAAATTCTTTTGTATGTGTCCGAAAGGTTTTACTGGGGGACGATGTGAAATACCTGATAACAAAATGATACTATCATTTCACAAACAAATTCAAGTACCACAAACATTGATCGTTCATTTTATTAAAATCAACAACGATAGTTCTCCTAAGAACAGCAGTACTCTGAGTAGAATTCCTGTTCATCAAAAGGCAGCTATTATTTATTGGACAAATGAATTTCATATTGCTTTTGCTCAACTTTCTGATAAAGATTTTTATTTAATTACTGTTCAAAAAATAAACAATTTACCATCAATATTTGAAAAAACAATTAATCCATCGAATCGTTGTGAACATATAAGTAAAGTATTGAAAGAAACGATTGTTCGATTACATCCTATTCGTCGTATTAAATATTATCATGTGCCATGTAATGAAACATCATCTTTACCTTGTTTTTTTGATGATGTTCATTTTTGTTTATGCACTGATTTTAATCATCAACGGATCGCCAATTGCTTTGAATTTAATTACACGAAAAAACTTGATTGTTTCGGTGGAAGCAACTGTAAAAATGGTGCACAATGTTTACAAGATAGTGGCGAATGTCCACAAACATCAATGTGTGTTTGTCCTCAATGTTACTATGGAACACAATGCCAGTTTAAGTCAACTGCATTTCGTCTTTCACTTGATGCCATATTAGGTTATCATATTTTACCACATATTATGCTTATACAACAACCAACTATAGTCCAATTCAGTTTGGCATTAACTATAATTATGACTATAGCAGGATTTATTGATGGTATTCTATCGGTGATGACATTTAAAGATCAAGAACTTCGAAGTATAGGCTGTGGTGTTTATCTATTAGGATCGGCAATTACAACACTATTTACTATGAGTATGTTTGCATTAAAATTTTCAATACTCATTATTACACAAATGTCATACACTACAAATCGATCATTCCTAAATTTTCAATGTATTTCAATTGATTTCTTGTTACGAATTAGTCTTTATATGGATCAATGGTTGAATGCATGTGTAGCTATAGATAGAGCAATTACTGCTGTGAAAGGAACTAGTTTTAATAAGAAAACAAGTAAAAGATTGGCTCGATATGTAATATTAGCTCTTATAGTATTCATAATTAGCACAACTATATATGATCCATTCTATCGGGATCTATTGTATGAAAATAGTAATGATGATGATGATGGTGAAAAACGAATTTGGTGTATTGCTAGTTATTCCTCTGGTGTTCAGGTTCACGATTCCTTCGTTAATATATTTCATTTTATTGCTCCATTTTTTATTAATTTAATATCAGCAATAATCATTATTCGAACGACTATTGTTTTACAAGTTAATATTAACCGTCATGAAAGTTATCGGAAAATTTTATTAGCACAACTTCGACACCATGGCCATCTTTTATATGGATCTGTTTTCTTAGTTATCCTTGCAATACCACGTATAATCATTTCTCTTCTTTCAAATTGTATGGAAACAATAAATGATCCTTGGATATATATCATTGGATATTTCATTTCATTTATCCCATCTACACTTACTTTTATTTTATTTATATTACCATCAAAAAATTATAAAGGAGTATTTCGGAAAACAATTCAACAATATTTAACAACAATAAAGAGACATTTACATATCGCTTAGTAAAAGTCAAACAAATAACTTAAAATAATTATATGCTTGGTGTGAAAGTTGTGCTTTGACAAATTGACGCATGAGATTACACGTTCGCTTTTGTAATACAATGTATAATATTTTGTCTAATAGCTTTTTTAGAACTATCAATCGATTGCGTCAATGTAAAATAATAATTATGCTGCTTCAACATTATAGCGCGACGAATAATTCGCTATTATCTCTGCTTCAATCTTTTAAGCTTTTTTATGTCAGTTGAAATAAATTTTATAGTACAAAATTCATTTGGTAATGATAAAAGCTTTGAAACATATTTATTCTTTGAGCTACAGAATTCGCATGGTATATAATCATATACATATGAAAACTATAACACTTGACATCTTGAGGGTGTTGATATTGCTGCTTTTTAAACAGGCTAGTCAAAACAATCTGCCATCAGCTATACTTTTTGAAGTACACGTAACACTTGGATTTCAATCCGAGGTTTCCACATTTATTTAATAAAAAAAGTTGTGTACTCTTATTCTTGCAAGGAAACTTTCCGAATTGTTCAAATCGTTAAGAGCCTATCTTTTGATTATATATAAATCTTGACAAAGTATGAAGGCGCAACAAAGTTCAGTTGTTTATGGAAATATCGAGTATTTGGATAAAATAATTGAAAATTCGATATCTCAGGAATAAAGGCTCGAATTATTTTCTAATTTTTCATACTTCACTATGGCCTATTTATGATTCTACACTCACACCTTCAGAAGTCGTGAGAATGAAATCATAAATGTGCGTTATTTTTATTAAAATAAAATTCATTGTCATTAGTTATATTTAATTGATCTCTTAAAAACTTTTGTCGAAGAGTATCACTTGGATTATCCTCATCTAATGTTTATAAAAGTTTTCTTTCTCTAAAATTGATACCATGTATCAAAATCATCATCTTCAAGACTTATTTTACAACTTTACCCATATAATTTGTAAACCATTCAAGTAATTTCTCTCTTGTTATGGAAAGATTGATTTTCATTTTATAGTGAATACTTGATGTAGCTTAAAAAAATAAAAATCTTGATCTTTGAATACTGATGAGGTTATTTATTCACTACTATGCATACCTTCACCATTATCATCACGTTTAACGGATGATATTATTATTTCATTAGAACTTCATCAATTTAATACACATGAGAAAGTTTTAGTTGATTGTTAATAAAAAAATATAGAATAATAATATAAATCAGTAGTGAATGAGATTTTAAAAAAATTAATTAATTTCGTTGATGATGGCTTTATTAGTTGCTTTATAATTCCAATAAGAATTAAGTTGATCAAATATTTCTATTTTTAATTTCTTTCGGCATTCGATATTGAAATACTTTTAAGAAGAAAATGTAGCAACTACATTTTATATACTATTCATCACCTTACTTTTTATTTCATGTCATGTAAATATGCAACATACTCTTAACGATACCAATCTTTTTCACTTATTCTATCATAAGAAAATCAAATAGAATATTTTTCAGTAAAATATTCATCGAGTTATTATGACATTGAATTTATTGGTATATGATAATAATACAATCTGTGATACCACCACTAATAACCACAAGTTATGGTACAACTGCAGAGAGTCACTATCATCGAAATGCTACCTTAGAACGTTACATGGGGACGTCGTGAAGTAATACTCCAAAGCAAATAGGTGATGGTGATGAAGGTGTGAAATATATCAACGGTAATTACCCGTGTTTCAACAGCAATGAATCACTGACTGCATGACGATTTCTAGTTAACATTCAATATCGTCACAGTATAATAAACTTTAAATTATAAAAAAAAAAGATATTTTTATGTAGATAACAGATATCATCGTGTTGAGTATTAGCATAATATAAAGAATTGAATTGAATAAAACTAAATCTAATTTTATTTCATAAACAAACATAAATTAACAAACGTTAACTTTGTACATTTATCTGCGATATAATGATACATAACACAAAAAAAAACAATTTTTTATTAACTATTAGTACCATTATTTAAATTAAAAACTTCTGTTATTGACATATTTGAAAGACCATAATCATCGGAATTTTTTAGTAATACTTTATTAATTGAATTTACATATAAATTGTTCTTTACGATATTTTCTAAGTTATTTTTATATGATTGAAGTTGAAAAAATTGAGCTTCTAAACGTGATCCTTTATCGTTTAATTCTTGATCTTTTTTATAAAGCATCTCTTGTAATAAGTTTTGATTTTCATTTAATCGTCGTATTGTCATTCGATTTTTATCACGTCGTTTCTCACGTTTGAAATTTTCTGAACTTAATATTAATATATGTTTCGATCGATGACTAGATAAATTTGTTTTTTGATACGATTGTTTTTCAATTGGTTCATATTTACATTCTTCAATTACCATTGAAGATGAACTATTTTCATTTGATAATGATGAAGTTAAATAATCATCGGAATATAAATATGAAATATCGTTCTTAACCATTTTTCAATATAATTTTGTAATTGAATGAAACAAATGGATGATTGTGTGTAAGGTAAATAAATAAATGTGAATAGCATAATAAATAATATGACACGCTTCGATTTATATATGTGTGTATATATTATCCTTGATCGTGTCACTCTGATCGTAGATTTGACATAGAAAATCAAAGTGCATCGAAAATATGATTCTAATCAACGTATTGACGCAGTAAAAAAAAATATATATAATGACTTATCGACTGTCGAAATAAAAAGGTGCACATGTATTGAGATTTACTTTTTTTTAGTTACGATAAAATCAATTGATGACTAGTTTTGTAAATCATATAAAGGCACCCAAAAATGACCATATTATATTTTTGATATATCCTAATCTGAGCTCAAGGCTATTTTATTAGTCTCCACGTGTGTACTAATTAATGTTTATTACAAACGAAAAAATCTTATTATTTAATGATGACTCAGCATTCTTATTTTTTTCTTCCTAACAATATTCATTCTATAAATATTATCAGTAAATAAGATGAAAAGAAAAAACCTTCATTTTTCTATACTTATGTAATTATCTATGATATAAGATTTATTTAAAACCTTCTTCTAATGAAATATTGATCATATCAATTAATATTATAGCATATTTTTTTATTTGCTTTATTCCGTGATAGCAAAAGAGGTAGTAGTTTGAAGTACGTGCAGAAATATTCATATGAAATAATAATAGGTATACAAAAAAAAAAAGAAAAGAAAAGAAATGAAAGGAAAATGTGATACTTGATTGGACTACTGAGATATACGGGTGCTTCGATCATATACAAAAGCAGAATTAAACAACAAACAAGAACGTTTTATCACAATCAATTTTTTTTTCTTCAGTTAAATACTTTGTCTTTTTCTCAAACAGCGGCATTGTTATTCATATTTATGATTGATGTTTATAATGGCATTTGAGTAAAGAGATAGGAGACTGATTCGCCATTATGTGTTCGACGAATTGCTTCAGAAAACATCATTGATACATCAATTACCTAAATACAAGAAAATACATATGTTTACTTATTTAATGTAATGGATAATTCTTTTTTAGTTTTTTTCTGAATTCTATCATAGAAATTAAAAATTGATTACTAGTTATATTAATCTTTATTATATTGATCATTTTTTCAAGCTATATTTATAACGAAAGGATGTGTCTCATTAGTATTTTATCCTTTTCTCGGATAATACCATATTCTTTCAAACATCTGTTCCTGATAATCATTCTGTCTGAATGTCTTTTCCACCCACACATATAGATACAATAACAGAAGTTCCTTTCCTATAACTAGATAAGTTGAAAAACTCTGATATTTATCTGGAATTTTCATGAATCATCTTTGATCTTAATGAGGTTTTGTTCTTGTTAACGATACTATTATTTCATACGATCGACAAATTCGATTGCCAGAAGTTACAATCATATAGCAAACATAACTGTAATCTTTGTTTATTAGGGCATATTTTTGTATATATGAAAACTGACAAAAGGGTACATGTCACGGCCTTTTATTTTTGTCTAACTGCGTAATTGTAACGGCTAATAGAAGAAAGGAAGAGACGTTTCTTGCATATTGTTTTTGTTATATCCAACTGTGGCGCATCAAAACAATACATATCAATGATGAAAATATAGAAAAAAACAAACGATTCTCTTTTTCTATTATACTAATTGTCTATAATATTATTTTACAAAGATTCTTAATTAAGTTATATCAGATTTTTTCTACCTGAATTTTATTTGAATTTTTCATATTTTCTTCTTGCGGAATTGTATTTGTAACAACAACAGCTTCGAATGGCGAATTATTTATTCGAGATATAGCTGGTCCACTAAAAACTCCATGACTACAAATAGCATAAACTTTACTTGCACCTGCGCTTAATAATCTATACGAAATTGTTATCAAAAAGAAAAGATAGAAATGTATATAATAATATTTAATAAAATTCTTAGACGTTACTTTTGTGATGCACATTCAAATGTTCCACATGTATCTAAAATAACAGATAAGATATATATAGACATAATTTAAATTTAGCATACCAGCCATATCATCAACTAGAATAGCAATACGTTTGGTGACATCACCAACTAGTACCATTGAATCAATTTCATTAGCTCTTTTTCGTTCTTTGTGAATAAGTGCGAAATCAATATTCAAACGATCAGCAATGGATGTTACACTGTACGAATAATAATACTCGTCAAAGAAAAAAAAATTCATTTCAAATGTACCGTTTAGCACCTAGAATGCAAAAAAATAAGAATTACTACTAAATAAAAGAAATTCATTTTTTGTTTTACCTCCAGCATCAGGACTGACAATAACAGCACTTTTGAAATCTGGAATATGTAATGATATCCAACGAATAACAGCCGGTTCAGCAAAAAGATTATCAACAGGAATATCAAAGAATCCCTAGAGAAAACAATTTCTATGTATTACATCAAATTCTATAAAAAAACAAATATTCTATACTTGAATTTGTGATGCATGTAAATCCATTGTAATTATATGATCAGCACCAGCTACACTCAACATATTTGCTACAAGTTTAGCTGAAATTGGTGCACGACTCTATTATTCAAAAAAATAAAATAAAAAAATTCCTTTTTTTTATTATTTTGTTCTATATGAATTGTTTGATAATTATGTTGTTTATCTTTAGAAATAAAATTTTTTCTCACTTTATCTTTTCGATCTTGTCTTGCATAAGGAAAACATGGAATGACAGCAGTAACTCGTGATGCTGACGCTATTTTACATGCATTAATCATAATCAATAATTCCATTAGATTATCATTGATTTCTCCACAACCACTTTGAACAATAAAAACATCTTCACCACGAACAGATTCATTGATTTCAATACTTTTTTTTATCAATTATATTAATTTTATTTAGTTTATGCGCAGAAGAAATCTATTCTACCTTGTTTCTCGATTACTAAATTTTTTTGTTATGACTCGTCCTGGTTCCAAACCAAGTCGAGCACAAATTAATTTTGTTAATTCAGGATGTGATGAACCACCAAATACTTTTATATTAGGCATTCTTGACGTTAACGATGGACGATGTTCTAAAATTGACGGTGATAAAAGACTATAGGATGCTTGACTGCTATTTGAATCTGTTCTTTTTTTTAAATAATGTTCATCTGGATGAAGTAATGAATTTTCATCTAAAAAATTTCAATAGCAAAATGCTATTTAGTTATATGCATGATATTATAGAATTATATTAGGCAAATACAAGGACATAAGGGTTTCATGCTAGAATATTATTAAAAATAAAAATTAAAACTACATATCACGAACATAGATACTTACTTGAAATTCGACGGTGATTATGATCCATTTTTTTCGTCACAAGATGTTATTGGTAGCAACAATAATAGTAGTAGTAGTAGTAGGAGTAGGAGTAGTAATAGTAGTATCGATCTGGACGAAGAGAAAAAAGAACAAGAAGGAAAACACGTTTCTTCTAATCTCCATAATATTTAAGCTATTTTCTCTCTCGTTTTCTTTTCCTATGTAGAAATTCCCGAATCTGTCATATGATCATTCTAATAGAAAGACAATCTACAATAGGAGATAAAAACAAAAACTGCATGAACTTTTTTTTTCTTCTATATTCGATATTCAATTACTGTATTCTCTTACTCTTTATTATTCAGGACCAAGTGCAATAATGCTTATCTTCCAACAATGAATTATTATTATCCTTATATTTTTTTCCTATAGAATTTCTATTAGATTTCGATAAGAATAAACAGATCATGCGACTTTGTATATCGAAGAAGAAAAAAAAGAATCGGCTCTAGTTCTTTTTTTTTTGCGATAGGAAATGTATTCGAACAGAAGAAAAGCATTAACATAGATAATAGACGACAAAAGTCACATCATTATGTATCCATATATCTGTAAGATATTATTATTGCTAATACTAATATATCGGGTCGTCGTTGTCGTCGACGAAAAACAACATAAAATACGAGCAAAAGCATCTTAATTATCGTTTTCTATTGACGGGAAAGAAGCGTTAATACAAAATAAATATGCTAGTTTTTTTTCTGAGATTTTTTGTTACTTTTCTCATTACTCAATCGATCCTATGAAAAGAAACAAGATGACCTTTAATAATGAACCTGTATCATTGGTGCGTATCAAAGGTTTTGAATAAATCGATATTACTATTTAATGTTAAAGATTACCTGTTGTTTACATATTTGAAATGAGAAAAAATCCAGCTTTTAAAATGAGTAAAGATTGAAAATAACACTGAGTTAAGTTAAAAAAGAATTGTTATATGCAGTTGTCCTCTGTAAGAAAATTTATACAGATGGCGCTTTACAATATTTTATTAATAGAATTTTAGAGTAGAAATTTCATTTTATAGATTTTTTATTTATTGTTTTCAAACAAATTTTAAAAAATAAATCAGTATTTTGATTTAATAAATCAGAATCCAATCAATAATCGAATACGTTAGTCATGTGAAATACTAAATACAATTGATGGTTTCGTAGAATAACGATAACACATACAATTCATTAAGCAATAAATCATTATTATGTCTTATCATATGTACGTCTTGGAATATGCTTAGATCATGTAGCCTAATAGAAAGGTCTTGTTTTCAACACCAGAAGACACATGTTCTTCAACGTGATGAATCGTAATGTGGTTTATATCTTCTGACAACAGTATTTCTAATAGAAATCTAGAGCAAAATATATCAAAGTATACATATGTGAACTTTAAGATCAGATTAGGAAATGAAAAACAGAAGAATATTCATGGTATTCTTTCACAAAACAATAAATGGAGATACTAGAGATCTATGATTTTTACCGGTTAAAAGAGGACGTCTTCTTTTCCAATATTATAAAAGAAGAAATTGTTTTCAAATCCGTCCTTTCTGCAAAACATTAGAAAAAAATTCATGGATACAATCTATCATTCTGATGATATTTCGATTTTGACGGTAAACGGATAGTTGCTCGCGGAACTGAATGTGGGTGTACTGCTTGTTTCCATTTACTTAAATACCAATATTAAGATCAAAATTTGCGAGAAAATGCCTTTGCTAGCAACTGTTCTGCGAACAACTGTCCTAAACACGATTTTGACATGTGACATATATAGAGCAACTTCAGATCTATAGATAAAGATATAATTGGAATGGTTATCTTCTCACATTATAATCTTAAGCAAATAACATCTTCTATTTACTAGCGCGAAAACTGTGGATATTTAATTTTTCGTATTTTTTCGTCAAAATTTCATCCACTTGACAGATTATTTTTCTACATTTTTTCTTATTTAATATTGAACAGAAACACGTCTCATTGTATCTTCTTTTGACTGATGGAAACCGCATGTTTCTAGCTATTTTCATTCTTGCGTTATTTGGAAAAACAGTGGTGAGCACTATATTGTAAAATGGATATTAGTTATAATCGAAAGAAAACTTTATTCTACTTTCTTTGCTTTTTCAATAACATATTTTTATATGTGATATTCATCATATGTAAAATAAAATTCACTAGAGTGCAAATGTAGAGAAATACCCGACATTCACATTCTGAAAATGATCACTCGTACAGTTTTACGTGTCGGTATTTTTTATTTTTTCCTAATCTGTTGAATTCTACCTCATCAATAATTTTGTCATAATTTTATTTAAATAAAACTAATGAAAATGTCAAAGTAATCATGAAAAAAAATCGGAACAACATCTTGCAAACATTTGAAATTATTGAACTATGTTTTATTGACAACTAACGACACCTATTGCCACTCTCTGAATGATGTACAGAATATGGATATAGTATGGAGTGATGGACTAAAGTTATGCTCACTTCTATACGATCAATTGTTTCTGAAACTCTTGTTTTTTTTATTAATAAATATTAACTATACGATGATATTTTATGCAGATTTTAATTTATTTAATATTCTAAATTGATCTTTCGAATCAACGATGATAATAGTTTAATTTCTAATGACAATGAGTACAAATCAAATTGCAATAAATTCAAAAGAAAAAAATGAAGAACAACAATTAACATCGAAAGAAAAACGTGCTATTTATATGTCTCAATTACGTGGTTCAATTGATTCAGAATATCGTCGTATTGAACGTGAAAATAATGCACGTGCAATGCGTAAAAAACGTTTAGAAAATCCGCTTTATCGTGAACAGGAACGTCGACAAAATCGTGCACATATGGCTGAGATCCGTCGTGAAAATTCTCAATATCGACAAAATGAACATATTAAAAATCGTCATCGTATGGAATTAAAACGTAATTTACATCCTCAAACTTTATCAAAAACAAATACTTCAACATCTAATAATAATAATAGAACGATTTCAATATATCAAACATTAGAAAATAATTTACAATCATCACATATATCATTCATTCCATATCAAACAAATATTGATTATTATCAAAGATTATCGAATAATAAACAATTAACTGAATATGAACTTTTACAACAAATTGATGAATATTGTCGACAACAAGATATTGGATCTAGTTCAGATAGTAATAGTCGTAGTACTAATTCAACATCATCATATTAAATAGAATAGACTATGTATATTTATTTATACTTTGTTATTCAATTTAAATATTTGTTAACAAAAAATGATAATAACATCCTCTTAAAAAGAATATATATTGCAATGGAGTTTTTATTAGATTTCTGTTTTTTGTTTTTTTGATAATATAAATATATATACATACATATAAACTTTGTCTTTAACCCTCCGGAGGTGTTCTCGCTTAGTCACACGAACGATGTATGTGGGTCCAAGTGGACCCACACGTAAAGACATAAAGAAAACATGAAAATTCATCTGTATTGTACTATATAAGATAGATCAAGGTCTACATCATGATCTCTTTTCAGTCACTGATGCATTAATACGCTTGTACTATACGTAAGACGCTGATTTTTCAGGAAAAAAGAAGGATTGCAATTATTGTGAGTAAAAGTTAAGAGAATGGTGAAAATATTTCGATAGATAAAATAAGGATAGAGAAACACATTATTCCTCACTGGCAGCAACAAACTAATCAACCTTCAATAGATAGGCCTTCGAAACAATAGAGGGCATACGTAATACGAATTAAAATCATCTATATAACACGAATGTTGTCAGGAAGTCCAAACGGACCTACACTCTAGTTTTTGACTATTGATAGTTTTGCAAGAAATTTTATATGGTTCTTATGTATCATTAGAAGACTAACGATTAGCGAAAAGATCGCTTCGAATTGCATAGATCTTAAAGTAGAAAAAAACAAAAAGACACTACTGTGGGCCTCTTGGACCCCCAAACACCGCCGGAGGGTTAATTATCAATAGTAGTTTAAAAGTTCTCATCTGTCAGATTTCTTAAATCACACTTTGCTATTTCTATATTTTACAATTGATAACAAGTCAATGATACATCTCGATATGTTTTATCTAGCAAAGAGGATTACGGGACATTTTGCCCTCCCGAGATTTACGACTTTTGCGCCCTCTCGAAGGCCAAATCTTGAATAAAACACTGCCAAAAGAATAGAACTTTCTGACATTATTAAAGTCATAATCATCATTACAGCAAAATGTTTGGATAAACTATCAAAGTGATTATCGAGAAATACTTTCTTGTTATTATTTTTAGGTATCTTATTACAACTAACATCTGTTTGTCATGAAGAAAAGTAAACTAAAACAAAAAATACGACGGTATAAATCGTTGGAGGGATATCGTTTTAGAACAGTGATAAGAAATATCCAAAAAATAATTGATTTTCATGCTTCTATTTCTTATTGAATTTTATGAATGAAAATTTGTAATAATTTACTTTATTTTTCAAAACAAATGCCAATATGATTTATATTTTTAAACCAAAAGAATGTATTTAATACATATGTACAAAAAAGAAGAATAATAACCGTATGAAATAATCAAAAAAAAAAACAAAATTATTCATTAAAATAAAATAACTATGAGATAAAATAATAAATGAGATCATGTTTAAATATGTTCATAATAATAAATAAAGAAACGAATTATTCAAGTAACAGAAAGTGTTAATGTTCTGTATGGATTAGCTGATGAATTATTAAAACCATCTGTATATGGATCATCAAATAATAAAGCTTCATCAGGATTTTCATTTAAATGAGCACGTGATGTATCTGGTTGTCGATATTGTCCTAATGATGAATTGTTATTTGAAATGGAAAAGAAATTATATCGGCCACGTTTATTTAAACGAAATGATCGTAACATAGTACTAAAACGATTACTTATATTTGATGTATTCGAACTATTTCCTGGATTTGATGGTAAACGACGTTGATATTGTTGATTTACACGTTTATACACAAATAACATACTTATAAGTAAAACGACTGTCAGAAGACAAGCAAGAAAAATGAGAAAAATACGACGGCCATTAACCAGTGATGGTTTAACTTCATCTAAATAATTTAACAATAAAAGGAAATTTTATTTGTTATCAACTTTACTTTTTATTTCAATACATGTGCCATTTTTAGTTGTATAATTTTGTGAACATTTTTCACATTTTGGTGGATCAATATGACCTCCGGGACATGATAATGATACGTTTGATGTAGCTAAATAAATATCCTACTGTTACTGTCAATATTCGATATATAAATATACAAACTTGTTTCAGAAATAGTTGTCGTAGTTGTATTAACGGATACTGATGTTAATGTTGAAATTTCGTCAGTTGTATTTTGTCCTTAAGCATAAAATCAAGTGTAAAAAAAATAACAGAAATCAAATAATTGAATACCTTGTATAGAACAATTGAACGAGAAGAATAAAATAAGTAAATAACACAGCGAAGTTGTCAAATGCATAATTTTTTTATCAAATATTCAATGTCAAATCTGAATATGAGAATATCGTTACTCACTCTTTGTCATGGATCATAACAACGAATGAAAGAAACAGTCAATATGAGTAGCTGATCGATGAATCATTAACTATTGAATAATATAGGTGGATGTTGATTTTACATTGATTGGAGAAATTAAAAGTAGAGGTCGTCAGTATTCTTTACTCGTAGAAAAAAATTAAAACTAAAATTATATTTTTAATTATTCGTAAAAAAAAGAAATTTGATCGAGCTCATTATAAAGACATGAAAATCGGATTCTAAAAAAACAATCCGATCATATTCCGCATAAAACTCGAATAATTATTTTTAGACATGTATGAGTATCAACCTTTTATAAACTTAATAGCGCTTCAATTTACTTTACTTACAAATATTATCGTATCGTCTTTTAATAGCCTATCCAGCTTTCTCCGTAATAATTATATATATATACAAATCTTTAACACAATAAATATACGAGAAAAACTATTGAGATGAATACTGAATTTATACAAAGAATAAATACTTTCTATCAAGGTTACATCTGTTGGCATTAACAAACGACGGCCTTCTCACACCATCTATTAATTATTCAAAGGAAAAAGAATCGTCTATATATATTATGATTAAATATTATATTTTGTTGTAATTTTTCACAGAAAAGAAAAAGATCCTCGAATAAATATCTTCCGTATCATTTTAAATATAATTTGATCGTTCGTTTCTTTTTTGCTGGCTATACATGTTATAGAAATAATTTTTACTTTAAATACAAATAAAAGATATAAGTACAAATAAACAAAACACCAAAAATACATACATTAAAACAAAGAAAAACACATAAAAAGAAAAAACAACAAAATCTGACACAACACTCAAAATAATATTTAAAAGACAACAAAAATATAGAATCACCGGATACAAAAAAAATGTCTTTTATTTGTCATTTGATGCTGAATCAATTTTCACAAGTGTTAATTTAAATTCAGTAATAAATGATTCACTAAATTGAAATGTAGCTAATCCAAATGAAATTCTAAAATGTCCCAATTGTGGAAATTCTAAATCACAATAACCATGTGGATGAATTTCATTATCAATAATAGCAAATAATTGTGATATAGCTATCATTAATTGTTCACGTGTTAAACCTGATTGATTTTGTAATGAAACATAATCTAATGTTTGCATATTAAATGATGATAATGTTGTATTTGCTTCAATATGTGAAGATTTTCCATTAGCTTGAAGTGATAATGAAAGTGCCGATGAAAGATTTGGTTTTTTTATACGTGATAAACGATGACGACGTGCAAATGTTGTATCCAAGACAAAAAATGGTTCTTTCATTAGAGAATTTTGATTATCCGATGATGATGATGGATAATCAATAATAACAAAAGCACCAAGTTCTGGTAATAAACATGGTTCATGTTTAAGTAGTCTTTTACGTATCATTTGAGAAAGAAGTTCCCAAAGATGACGAAGATCATTTTCAACTAAAAAACCATTTGTTTGTTGATCATTATCATTAATAGAAAATGATCGAATATCTTCCGAACGATTTGTTTGACTAATTAATCGAAATAATGTTTCTGTTGTAAAACGACGACGATATTTCGATGAATAATTATTTGTATGTGATGATCGCATAATCTAGAACAAGATAAACCTATCTTTTTAACAAATTTTCTTCATTTTTCTAATGTAATAACAAAAAAGAACAAAATATATATAACAACATTTGCTTTTTTTTCTCTATGAAGTAACAATATGTTGTTGATGTGTATTATGAAAGACTTGGTCTTGTTGAATATCATTTATAGTTGTTAATTCATCATGATTAATATCTGTTTCTAAATCGGGCATTATTGATATAGGTGCTGGATAAGCACGGGCAATAAGATCATCAGGTAAGATTTGATGACATTCTTCAAATAATGATAGAAGATTTTTCGATGAATGAGAAAGTATTTCCGATGCTTTTTTGCATGTTTCACGAAAACGTTCACCTTCAGATTCAACAAGATTTTTTGATGCATTCATTGATGGTACAAGAGGATTTTCAAGATATATTGGCCAATCTTTATCTTTACCTGTTTGAATTAATGATGATTTGGACATATTCTTACGATTTAATAACGTTATTAATGATGATTGAAAATCAAAATTTTCATAAAATGTAAAAAAACCTTTGAGAAGAATAGCTAAAAAACAAAAATATTAAAGACTCAATGTAAGAAAATAATTTCTCACCGAGTGAATTATTATTAGCTTTATTTGATTGAACGTAACGAATATTTTCAAGTTCATTCATAAGTATTGTATCATCACTGAGATCACCTAAAACTAATAAACAGAATTTTTTGGATTTATTCTTAATAAATGTATACAAGTAACGCTCCTCCGAAGACTCGCTTCGCTCTTTCTCGTAAAAATGCATTTTCTGCACATTTACCGGAAAAACAAATGGAAATCGTGAAAAATTAGTTTTCGATGTTTTTTTGATCTTTGATCCCTCTTCACCCCCTTCCCTCCACACGGTCACTCAATAGTCCCCAGATTCGAACTCCTCGTATCGAAAAACATATAGAAATCTCTTTTTCGATGTTTTTTTGACTTTTCCACCCACCCTTAACCATGGTCACCCAATAGACCTCTAATTCGAACTCTACGCATCGAAAAACCTCTAGAAATGTTTTTTCCTGAAAATTGGTTTTCAATGTTTTTTTGACCCTGCGGACAGACAACCAGACAATTTATGTTTGCAAGACTCTTCTCTACGAGAAAGAGAATATACCATTCGCTGCAAGAATATCTTGAGGTGATATTGTAGTTGGTTGTTCATTAATATAATTAAGTTTAGGCAAAATTTCAATTGATTGAAGATAGAAAAGAACAAGTAATGTCATTTGAAAATTTGAAAACCATGGACCAGGTGTACTCTGTGTTATTGAAGCTTCACGTGCCCATCGACGAATAACAAAAACAAGTGGTGCAACACGATTATCAATTGAACTTAAATTCCATAACAATTTTGACATATAATATGATGATCTAGAAAAATATTCTTAAATAATTTAAATTTGATTTATTTTCTTACTTAAATTCGCTCATTGATACATCACATTGAAGATCAGATAAACGATGTTGAAAACGTACAATAGGTACACGTGCTGGAAGAATTATTTGTACATTCGTACATTCAGCCATAAAATGTTTTAATGTATCAGCAAGAATCTATTTAGGAAATGAATTTTGGTCCAAATTCAAGATTAGATAGAAATTCACTTTAAGATAAGCTTGTGCTTGAAATCGATCATTTAAATAACTACGTTTTGTTAAAAAACGTAATTGTGGAATTTTTCCATCACGTTTTATCTAATTATAAAATCAAATAAGAAAGAAATTTAATACAACAAACAAATATTTACATTTTTTTCTCGGAAATCTTCAAATGTTAATAACATATCAAGATCACAACGAGATTTTCCAAAAGTGTTTACAGATGAACCGAATGGAAGGCAGACAGTATCAACAAAAATACTTCCAAATGCTTCTGCAGAAACAAACTATTTTGTTATATTTAATTAGAATTAAATCGGTTATAATGTTACCTTCAACAAGTGATGAAACAAAAAAACGAAGACGAGTATCAAGTTCAGTTAATTTTGTTTTTTGCCAAAAAAATCGAATTTGATCACTAATCTCAAGTAGAAGAATTGCTTTTTACAAAAATAATTAACAGTATTTGATTGCAAACCTTACGTTACGAATATCATTTAAAGATTTATCAATAATTGAATCATCGGGTTGTTGAACTTCACGACCAATAGGATGATATTTTAATCGTGTACCTGTTTGTTGAGACTAGAAAATGAATATTAAAATTTAAAAAAAATGTTTTTTTCCTATAAAATAATAACATACGGAAAAATAAAGATTTCGTGATGCACATGGTAAACGATTTTCATTCGTAAAATGACTGGTAATCTTTAGAAGATTATTAACACTTTGTTCATTTGAAAATTCAAGTAAAGCACATTCCTAAATAATATTTAGATTTTAATGTGATGATATGCCTTAGTCTTATAGACATTCATTAGAAAAATAAATCGGAATTTTTCCTATCAAGATGTTAACTATTTTTCTATTCCATCTGCTGATATTTTTTTTCATTAGTATTTAACAAAAAATTTGTAATTAACCTTTTTATTAGCTGTATATAACGTCATATTTGTAATCTGACCAATACGGGAACATAATTTATATAATTCTGATTCCGAATGACTACGACCAAGCTAAAATATATATAAATGTATGTTTAAAATAAAATTATTGAAGATCTTACATGAATAAGTACTGTTCGTCTTGCTTGTTGTCGTCTAAAATCGAGCATTGTATCAAACGTTTGAGTAACATTACTGGCTAAAATTTATAAGAAATAGGTTTTTTTTCTATTTTTACTTAATTATTAATGAATACATTTATTTATAGATGAAGGTGAAAATGGAGGTATAGGTGGACGGATTGATGATGAATAATGTTGAATTGCAAGTGCATAATGGCATCGATTTAATAAAATACGTAATGACAACGAGGAAGATTGATGTAATGATATCAAAGGTAACATCTTAACTACTAAATATATCTAATAAGACATACTTTTCCGTCGATATACAATCAATTCAATGAATGGTTACATTTATTGATCAATCTATATGTGTATTCGAAATACATCGGACAGATGACACTAGTTTGAAAAATAAATTAACTAAATTTTTAAAAATAATATTTTAGATTAGTCTAATAAATATATAAAAGATAATTGTTTGATTTTAATTGAAAATATTTTTCAAAATATTTAATTAAATTTTTGTGGATGTTGCTGAGTAATATCGATTTACTTAGCTAGCTGAATGGTATTGAACACCAATCCATGACGTGATTCTTTGTCTTATTCTAGTAACATAAAAGAAGAAGACAGTAAAATATCTGTGATCGAAAAAAAAAAGAATAATGAAAAGTTTATTAATCTCAACAAGTCAACAAGAAAAATTAATACAAAATGAAACAGAACGTCGACGAACAATTCGTCTTCTTCAAGTTAGTTTAATTTAATTTTTTTCTCAAGAATAGAAATATTATAATTTTCTATAATAGACACGTCAGATTGAAAAAGAACGTGCTGCTCAACTTCGTCAAACAATTGCGGATGAAAAGAAAAAACAAACATATGTTTTAATTAATCAACTTCAAGTAAATTATTTTTAGATTTTACATCTCTTATTTTTTCTCTTACATAATAGAATGAATGGGCACAAGAAAAAGCTGATTTACATGAGAATCTTGAATATCAATTTCGTGAAAACCTTATGGAAATGGGAAAAGGTCATAAAGAAGCGAATGATCAAGTAAAATATACTTTCTCGAATAATTTATTCGTATATGAATATTATTTCTTAGCCTGATTATGAACAAGAATGGTTGAAGAAGACATTAGATAATGATGCACGAGCATCTGAACGAGGTCATCAAGCAATTGATAAACTTCATGTAGATATGATGCAAAATGAAAACGAACGTAATCTTCATATTCTTCATCGGTTTGTTTAAATTTTATCTAACTAATATACATATATATCTTTTCTCTATAGAAAAGCAGCACTTGAATTAGAAAAATTACGAGCGCAACGTATTGCTAAATTACCTGTACCAGAAGATCCTTTACGTGATCTTCAATCAAAACCAAGTAAGTCCATTACTTAATTTTTGGTTTTTTAAATCTTTATCAACTAAGTTCTACACACTGCATGATAAGATATCGAATAAAACTTCTAGAAAAAATTGTCAGACGTTACTCTGCACTTCTATTAATCGATACCTCAAGGCACAACTATTGTGTACACATTATTTCATTAATAAATTCGATATATTTTTCTAGCAACAATTGTTACTGTTCATGATCCATATAATTTTTCAACAACACGATATCATCTAGAAGAACGTCTTGTTACTAAAGAAGATGATCAAGAAGTAAAATAAATCTATTCAATTATGATTTAAATCTATAAAAGAAATTTTTTTTCAGGCTGATGCAGCACAAGATGCTATTGTTGAACAAGAACGTGTAGATACATATGTTTCCGATAAACAACGTTTATGGAATGAACAACAAGAAAAAGCGCGAGTTCGTGGTGATAATGCACTTAAACGTGAAGTTCTTGACAATGTAAGATTTATTTGTCTCGATAATACAAAAGAAAATAATATTCTTTTTTTTTATTAGGCATATGATAATGTACTTGATGAATTAAGTAAACTTGAAAGACAAGATCGAGAACGTCGTCAAAAAGAAATACAAAATCTTCCTGTAAATATTATTTAAAATATCAAATAAAAATTTCGATTTGTTTTTTTTTCTTCTTTAGAAAAGTATATTTATTCCTCCATGGCGTCGTGAAGAAGAACGTGAAGATAAACAACGACAAATGGAAACAGCATTTGAACATGCATATCAAGAAACTCATCAAAAACGTATGTTGAGAAAGAAAATATCGAAATAAATAGAAAATACTTTATTTCGTTTAGAACCAATTCCAATTATTCTTATGAATGAAGATGAAAATATTGATGAAGAAGATGCAGCTAGTGATCGAACACTTATAGCAGATAATGAACAAGAAGTAGAAAATCCATCACCTGAATATCGTATGGCAACAATAACTCCATCAGTTAATACAATGCCACTTGCAGATGAAAACCATGAAGATGATGAAGCAACATTAGCTGATCCAACTATAATGACATTACAAACACCATTACCAGAACAGCCAGTTATAAAACAACAAAATATTCATCGTTTAATGGAAAAAATTCAACGACAAAGACAAGCAGCACAAAATCGAACTGATCAACAACAAACACTTGTTACACCAACAATTAAAACACCTAAACGACTTGTTGTTAGTCCTGGTTATGAAGAAAGTAGTAGTACATCAGCTGATTCATCAGTAACACAACCAAATATACGAGATGAAGAAGAACAACAATCATCAGCAAATACGACAACTGCTGAAATTGAAGAACGACGAGTTCAACTTGAGTTTGTTCATGTTTTTATTTCTAATATTTCAAATCATTATTTTCTTTTATAGATTTCGAAAACAAGCACTTGAAGAACAAATACGTATTTTATCTGCACGAGCAAATATTATGCCACAAATGTCTACTCAACGTCCAATGGTTTCATCATCATCTGATATATCTATTGAAAGTTTATTGAAAAATTTACGTATGACAAATAATACAGGTAGTATACCATCATCATCAGCATCATCAGTATATGCTGTTGGTAAACGACAAACAGATGATCATGAACAATTTGCTCAAGCTGTTCAAGCTATTGTTAGTTCAGATGAATCACAATTACAAACATCATCATCCGGTATTGCCATTGAAGATGATGAACGATCCCATGAAACTATGTCAGATGATGCGAATAGAGGAAGACTTTTATATGACAGATATGAAAGTCATTCATCAGAAGATCGAGATCATTCATTAGAAGATCTTATTTCACGTCTTCTTGCTACACAACAACAATCAAATAATAAACAATATCAAGGTATCTATTAAATCTCATTGCATTCTTTTATATATAGACATTTTTTTCTCCGATATAATTTAGATGAATCACCAATTCATATGGTATCATCGAATAATGAAATAAGAAATCCATCATTAATCATAGATGATCTTGTTGATGATGTTTTATCTTCAATATCATCATTATCAAATAATACACCTGTTGATCAACGATCAATATCACCTGAAATTGCTCAATTACTTGTATTAAATCGAAATATTGATGGTTCGCAAGAATTTCATGTAAATAACAATGAAGAGAATCGTTTTTATGAAGAAAAACGTTTAATTGAAAAAGAATTAGAATTAATTCGACATGAACGTGAAAATCTTCTTCATGAACATGAAAAATATCGTCAACAAGCAATGTAAAAATATTCTTATAATAAAAATATTTTCATGTCTTTTTTTCTTTGTTCTTCTTCGTATAGGACATCATCGGTAAAACAACAAGCCCAACTTCAACCTCCTCCTCCACCATCTCTTCTTCGAGCTAAATTAAATAATGTTGCTACGAATGAAATACATGAATTAAGTACAATTCAAGAAGTTGATACACCTGTTAGTTCAAGAAATACATCAGTATTTCATCATCGTAGTCCATTAAAATCTTCATTTGATCTACAACAATTAGAAAGAATATCATCGGCTGATTCATCATCAACATCAGAATCTGATCATAATGAAATTCTTACTTCACAGCGATCGTCAAATTTTATTATACAACAACAACAACAACAATTATTACCTATGACTGGTTTAGAACGTGATGATTCTGGTATTTCACTTTTTGATGGACCACGTTCAACTGCAACATCTCGTACAACACTTGCTAATGGTGGTGGTGGTGGTAAAAGTTCAAGTAGTGGAATTCAAAGTTTATTACCAACACGACAACCACGTGTACGAACAATAACAAATGAAACAACAACAAATACATCAACAAGTACTAATTTACCTATGGTTGTAACAACACCAAGATCAAATACAGAATCTGATGATCAATCATTATCAAGTATATCGAAAAAATGGCGAGATATACTTGCCAATGAATGTTTACCACAATTACCTCAATTACCACAAACAATAAATTTGAATAAAGATAACGAACCACAATTAACGCATTCATTGGGTTTTGGTTCATCAAATGTTGAAGGTTAGTATTTAAACATATATAGTTTTAGTAAAAGTCAAGGGGGAACAAACTGATTTCCTGATTTCTTGATTTCTAATTTCATTTTCGTGATTTCCCATGATTTCTCATGATTTCTGTTGATTTCTTGTGATTTCTAGCATGGAAACTAATTGGGAATATGTGTGGGTGTGCGTGTGGGTGTGACCGGGTGGGTGTCTGTGTCCGTGTAGATACTGTATTCATCTGACACCCACGCCCATCCACACTCTACACCCACCCAAACTTACACCCACACCCTTTTGATTTCTGTTGATTTCTTCTGATTTCTTTGATTTCTTATAATTTCTTTGATTTCTCCTGATTTCTTTGATTTCTCTTGATTTCTACTTGATTTCTAGCATGGAAATCAGTTTGTTCCCCCTTGGTAAAAGTACTAAATATTATCCATATTAGTATCGTCGTTTAAGGCATTTCTCCCTTAGGAAAATCGCGATCTCAGCCGAGATATATAGACTAAACAAGGATATAAAAAATATCCCAACTTGCTTAGTTCAGACCTAGATACTTCCTTCGATTGTATTACCAGTGTTAGTAAATGAATTACTAAAAATATGAATCTTTTTATTTAATTTCAATAGAACTTCTATCATCATCATTAAACCATTCAAATAATATGTTTTTATCATCACCAAATTTGCCAACTCAAGAACAATTTCTTCGTTCTCAATATGATAATGAACAATGTGATTTAATGTCATTAATTAAAGTACATGAATATTTAACAAAACAACAACATCATCCATCATCAACAATGACAGCTATTGAACAAATAATGCCATCATCAGCATCATCATCAACTCCACCAGTACATCATCAATCTTATTCAACATTAACATCAGTTACATATCGTTCATCACTTGCTAAACAAGCACCTGCTAGTGGTCAACCTATTTCAACATCATCACATCATTCTTATTCATCATCAGAAAATCTTCATCATCATATGATACAAGATAAAAATGAACGTCATCATAGTATTGTTAGTGATATACATCATTTAACTAATTCACCAAATACATTTGAAACATCAATAACATCAAATTCATCATCGAATTCAAGTAAACATCATGATACATTATCTTATTTAATTGAACAAAATCAACGTGCTATGCAAAGACTTATTACGAATCATAAAGAAAACCCAGTAGGTGACTCAACAACATTTTTTTCATCAGCATCAATACGTGCACCAGATTATGAAAGTGGACAATTAACAACATTATCAAGTGAAAAAATACAACAAAAAAGTACATTAATTGAAACAGGTTCATTATCAACATTAGATTTCCCATCTGCTATTTTAAATGCCGATGATCAACATTTATATGAAACAGCACAACTTGATTGTAAAATTGATTCAGATGAACGTGGTATTCTTGATGAACCATCATTAACTCTTCTTTCGAATAGTTATCGTTCATTAACAACAACTACAGGTCAAAATCCAACTCCTATAATGACACAATCAACATCACAACAAAAGAAAAAACAATGTTCATCACCACTTTCAACATGTGATGATAAAACAAGTGCTTGTTCAACACCAGCATTATCACCCATTAAAAATGAACCATTTATGACATTGCAAAGAAAAAATCGACATGAAACATTAACACCCGTATATTTAGCTATGCCAGCTATTAGTCAATATTCACCCTTACCTTTACCATCATCAACGAATTCATCTGTTCAATTATCATCACAAAAACAAAATAAACAAGCGAGTAGTAATGATACATCTTTACTTTCATTTGAACGACATGAATTAAGTGCTGGAAATGCAACATTAATGACAACGAATGATCATGATGATATTAAATCATTTGAAAATCATTCATTAATCTCAGATATAGCTATAGGAACTCGTCTTCCTGCTACGACAGATGCTGATTGGTCTTATTTTATTTCAGTTGGTAAAGGATTTGCAAAAGAACTTGAAAAACCAGCTCCTTCATCATCAACATCTTCTTCTTCTTCAGCATCATCATCATCACCAACAACAACAACAACATCATCATCAGCAAATAGTAGTAATCAAAATAAATCTCAACAAAACCGACATGTAGGTGGTCTTGAATTTTTTATTAATGGAGAACAACAAAATACGTCTACTCGTAAGTCATGCATTAGTTTTATTTTCAATTAAAATAAATTATTTTTTTCAATTCTAGCACAAATTGTTCAATTACCAACTCTTCAATCTGCTTTACAAGCACATCGAGCTAATTTTGTTGCAACAAGTCAAAAACGTATTGATGAAATCAAAGCTAAAGATTATACTACAATCAATACTTCTCATGTACCAGTTTCAACACGTCTAAAATCACAAAAACAAATTCCAATACAAACATCCATACCAGCAACATCATCATCATCAATAAATACAATTGAAACCGATTCTGAAGAACGACAAAGACGTGTACGTGAATCGAAAGAACGTTCAAAACGTTTGTATGATCAATTAGCTGAAGTTCAACAAAAGAAAAAAATTCATGAAACAAAACAACAAGCACAAGCTTATCGTGCACGTATGAATGCTTTTCAAACAACATTAAATAAAAAAAAGACAAATAACAATAATAATAAAAAATAAGACAGTGAAACGTCTGATATAAATTTATCTTTAGTGTGTGTAGTATTTCTTCTTCTTCATCTTTTTTTTGTGTATATTATCGGTAGATAGTTTTGTGTGTGTGTCTTGTCTTTACACAAAATAAATTATTCATAAAAAAAGAAATATTTATTTCTATCAACATTTCATTATCGATAATGATAATGATTGCTTTTAATATGATCGAGACTTGGAAGTAATGGTTTATGTGTTGAATTCCTTGGTTCGTCTATTTTCTGATTTGAGTGTCGTTGACCTTGATGTTTCGATGTTGTTAATGTATGCGGTGTCGGTGAACCAACTAATTTCGAGGGTGTAGCTAAACGTAATGTTTGACTTGGTATTGGTCGACAAAATAACATATTAAATAATTCATGTCGACCATGTTTACCACTCACAATTGAAACAAATACATTAAATGCATAATTAAATAATTCGAAAGTTTTTAATAAATGTGGAATATAATGTGTAAAAGCACAATGCGGAAGTTTTTGGCGAAAATTTAAATAAAATTGAAGAAGATATCTATAAAATAACAAGATTTCGAAATAAAAAATTCAAATTAAATTTTCTTACCGAGGTGAAATTGTCAGTAGAAGAATACATGAAGAAAAAAATATCATGGGTGTTACTTGTCGATGATGACCATGACGAATAAGTAATGATGGAGTTAATTTCGATGATTCTTGTCGTGTTCTACGTACGCTAATAAATAATATTATATTTGCCGTAAAAAGTAATAAAAATGGTACAGCAACACGAAATATAACTATCATTAATAAATATATACGTTTTGTATTTGGAGTTAATAATGAATGTTGTTTATTAAGTGTTATATTAGATTGTGACGTCTGTTCATAATGACAAACTATTTGAATACTGTTTTCTCTGTATGATCTAAATAGAAATATTTAATTAGATTAGATTTGCATAATTTTAGTCTTTTCTCTTTTGAAGTCGAATGAATCGCTCTTTCTTTTTTTGTATTTATTGTTAGTATAATTATTTTAATTATTGTCGATTATTATAAAAAAAAATCAAGAGTATTTAACTCATTCAACCGGATGTAAAAGACAGCCTTGTCGTTCGACGAACTTATAATAAAACAATATTTTTCTTCAAACCTATTACTGGTTTCTAACCTTAGATAGAGTACGGAAGGGACTTCATATATCTCATAGATACATATGAAAATATTGTAGTCTTGAGAAAAAGTCGAACAATTTTTTAATTTAGTAATATTTGTATAGAATAAATATTTGAAAATAGAACGTGTCCTTGATATAAACTATTTGGAAACCAATTGACAAGAAATGTTTGACAAAGAAATAATATAGTCTTTTGTCTTCTATTTGATGTACTACTACTGACGATACTATTACTTAGCATAGTTTATAATACTTTGTAATCTTTATATGCAACATTGATCTCAAAAGAATATAAATTGATACAATAAAACAAGTAGGTGGTATAGAATACAAATTAGTCTTAATCCTAGTAATACCAGGTCTTTTTTACACTTTGTACTTCCGCGGATCAGTTCTGTTGTTGCTTCGGATTTCCTCTAATCATGACTCACATATATAGTATACTCACTCATACTCCAACCCGTATAACCTACTTTGCCTCAAACTTATTTGCAAAACTTAATATTAAATGACTCACTTGGTACTATAAGAATTAATAATTCATAAATATATTGTTTCTCACCTTTTCACATAAAATCCAGGTTGTAATAGTAATGAATTAACGATGCACGATGCAAGAATAACACAAAAAATAATTATCAAAGCACGTCTTCCTTTTGTATCCGTCAGTGTCTGTAATGGTTTATAAATAACTAAACATCGTTCGAAAGTTAAGGAAACGGTAAGCCAAGCACTAATTGAGCCTGCAACGAATTCCGTATACATTTGTGTTGGACATTCAAATGAATGAAAGTGTAATTTAAATATTTTAAAATCAAGTAAAAAGAAAAGACACCAAACAGTAAGACGTACAAGATCAACAACAGCAATTGCTGAAAAATAATATGAATATGCCGAACGACGAAAATTACGTGAAGTCGCAAAATAATAAAGTGCGATAGGATTAAAAGTAAGACCAAATATAAATAAAGCAATACCGGGTACTAAATGTCCATATAAATAAACTGTATTCGTTGATGATTTACACAAATTAGTATAAGTTGTGTTGGATAATGTTGTATTAGCCATAGGTATATTGTTTGCTGTGGGAAAAAAGAAACGTCATAAAATATCTATGTAAATACTTATAATGAGTTTCCTTTCTATTTTTTTCTATTGTCAATTTTGAATAACCAATGCTCTTGATTCTTCATTGATTATGAAACATAGTTCATAATGCTTTTCTTTTTATGTAAGATGAAGGAAGCGAAAAAGGGAAAAGCAGAGAGAGAGGGAGAGGGAGAGAAAATTTGAGAAAAAAAAGCAAGTAACAGTAAAAAGCACTCATTCTCTATACTAATAGTGCATGACATTCAGCTTTTATCTCGATTGATGATTCTGTAGTGTCACAAAAAAAGAAGAGAAAGATGAGTCTGTATATATTTTTGAGATCCTAATTACACTAATAATACTACATATTTCCACATGCATGAATCAAAAAACCTATTATTCCTTAGTGTTTCTAAAGACAATATGTGGTTAATAATCAAAAAGAGAATTTCCTTAAATTCTTGACTGCAATTAAACTAGAAAATATCTAATATTAATCATATTATCAATCGTGTCATTTCATAAATATGTAAATGCTGTCAAAATATTTTTATCCAACGAGTATTTAATTATATATTTCCAGAAACGTTTTTTTCCTCTCATCGTTATTAATCATTAAATATGTATGTTTACAATAGATTTTAAAGAGTCGAGTAAATAAATGTGAAAAAAAGCAAATATTAATTTTACTTTTTCCAGGAACTCATTTTAACTTCTTCAAATAAACTCATTTTTACTCAGACAAATGTGTAAAAAAAAATTGCTTGTTTATCGATCTAAAGATATTCTATTAACATATTTCTTCTAGTATAAACAATAACTTTTTCTTGCTATTAATGTTAATTAACATCGATATATAATAAATAAGAGTTCATGAAATGTCAACTCACGAACAAATATTTAGTGAATTTAACGACGAAGAAAAATCAAAATATCTGGCAATTACACATTAATAATGCATTTAGTATACTATAAAAAAAGAGGGTTTATTAGTGTTACTAAAAAAAACTAATTATAAAATATTTTAGAGTGACGTCTATGAAACTTTTAAAAATTGCTCAAAGAACAAAAAAGAATTATAAAACTAATGACTTAACCCTGCTAGATGTAATATCATTCATTAATAATTAAATTTTATTTATTTACCATTGAAATTCTATAGGAAAATTTTTTTTTTTGAGAATAATAGTCTAGGAAAACTAGAAAGAATAATTATAACAAAAAAGGAAGGGGATGAATGTACTTGATATATAACATACGATGAAAGATTTGAATAGAGTGAATATGACAAAAGAGAAGAAAAATGATTTAACACATTGTTTTGCATGTCAGCTCATCAAAAGTTAATATTGCAATTCAGAAAATAATTGTCGACAGGAAACTGATGATTTCTAACAAGTCTAAGTATATTTAATTTAGAAAAAATATATAAGAAAAACTGCAATTTCAATCCAGTCCACAATGTAGTTAAAAATAAATATATACGAGCTATTTATTTATTTAAAAAAATTTAAACCAATGATATGAGATTAATATTTTTCATTGAATTCTTGCGCGCCCGTTAATAATTAAGTTATTTTGCTATAAGGCAGCTTACGCACCAAATCTATTCTATAGTATTTTGTTTCTTTTCATATATTCTCTTTTGTGTTTTGTAATCTTTAGCAATGCTTGTTTTTTCATCCTTTCATATTTAAACAGCTTATGTATATCTTACTTGTTAATCATGATAACAGAAAAACAAGTTGAACATGTTATTATACCAATGCCAAATGAGCATATTATTACAGTTATACCTATTATTACTATTATCTCTTTAACCATTATTTTAATTATTTTTTATGTACGTCAAAGTATAGCGATTAGACAGGAAATCGATAATGATTTCAATGATATATATTCAACATCATCAATGCCAAATATTCATTCGAATTCATATCCAAAGACTTTATTCAAACGTTCAAAATCAATAATGACTTTTTAATACTATAAATATCTACATATCATGTCATAAGACTATTAAAACATCTCTACTGATTCTGTGATGTTGAACTAGTTTTAATAATGTCCGATTGATGAGTAAATCATATAAAATAAGATCTATTACGAATTTAACAGAATTTTTATATTTTTAAAAATACATCACAGTATCTAAGAATAGTATTTCTCATTTATTTTTTCTCTTCTCGATTTTTTTTCTCATATTGAAATTAATGACGATAAAAACTATGTCAAGAAAAGTAAATATTGATTTACATGTCAATAGTAAAATAAATGGTTATTATGTATCTGGAAAAAATAATTCTCAACTTGTTTGTAATCAATTAAACGCACTTGCGTTTAATCGTTATGAGAATTTACCTATCGGTGGTGTTAAATTCAATTGGATAACGCGAAGTGTTGATATCGATTGGACAACATTTGATTCAAATTTTCAAATTTTAAATCATATTTATAATGAAAAACATTTATCTAATAAAGGTTTATTAGTGAATAATTTAAGAAATTATGATAGACATATTCGAAAACTTGATAATTATCTTCCATTGAATAGATTTCTACCTGAAACATATTTATTAGATAATATAACTGATCGAATTAATTTTAAAAAAGCCTTTGAAAATAATTCAATATGGATTTGTAAACCAGTTGGACTTTCATGTGGAAGAGAAATATTTATATTTCGTAATGAAAATCAACTTGAAAATATTCTAAATGAATATCATAAAAATCTTTCGTCTTATTCAACAATATATGATAATCGGCTTGTTCAAAAATATATTGAAAATCCTTTACTTATTAATAAACATAAATTTGATATTCGAACATATTTTTTATGTATCTGTTTATCAAATGATATTCTATGTTTTGCTTGTCAAACGGGTTATCTTCGTTTATCAATGTACGAATATGATTTAGATAATTTTAATAAATTTATTCATTTAACTAATCAAAGTATTCAAAGAAAAAATCAAGATTTTTCTTCAATGAAAAATCATACGGGAATGACAATGGAAGAATTTAATGACTATTTTAATGAATTTATTCAACCAAATATGTCTTATATTAATAAAGATTGGGTAATTAATGAATTACCTGAAAGAATTACAAAAATTCTTAATCAAGTTGCTTATTCAATTAGAAATAAACTAGTGATACGTGAAGGATGTTTTGGTTTTTATGGTGTTGATATTTTAATTGATGATAAACTTAATTGTTGGTTACTTGAAATTAATAGTGGACCTACATTAGATATGACAAATACAGCATTAGAAAAAGTTATTCCTATGTGTTTTAATGCAGCTATCAGTATACTAAGAAAACTTTTTTTCGATTTTATTTAACGAATTTAGTACTAATTTAGATATCGTCATTGAAACTTTGGGAAAGTATCGTTCATCGGGTGTTATTTTTCCTCTTCAAGAATCAAATCTCTTTAAATATCTTCCTTTATCAAATAATTTTGATCAATCACATCATATTCCAACTTTTACATCCTTTAATAATCATCTTATTAATTTAACACCAGGAGTTTTTACTTCAATTCATCGTTATCGTCGACCACTTTTCTCTTCAAATCCACATAAATATGTTGATAAAGCTCTTATTCAAAAGACAAGATCAAAACTCTCTAGAGAACATCTATCGCATCAGCTTACAAAACTTATTCAAATAAACAATAAATCATAAAATATGTAGTTATTATGCTCGATTTATATACAAATGGGATTAGGAGATGTACAGCTCAATATTTTAGCTGAATAGAATATTCAAGTAGTTGAACTTTTAACATACAGTCTTAAAGACACAATAATATATTTCCAAGTAAACTTTTTATCATCATCATTATATATAATTTCAGAACAAAATAAGAAAAATCTTCTTTTTTACCATCGAATGTCTTATTCAGTAAATATCCGTCACTTGTAGTTGACACGATTCATATAACTGTCATCTACTTTCTTCTCTTTATATAATTCATTTTTTAAACTCTGTTTTTATAATAACTATTTCTATCGACAGCTACAACATATATTACTAGGGTGTGGGTGTATGTACGATTACAATAGCACCCATACCCATCCAGCCTTTGTATTTTAACTATTACTTTGAAATAGGAATAATCGTAGATTAGACATGCAGCGAATTTCAATTCCAGTCTGACTGAGGACCAAACCGTTTGAATTTTGGTTGGCGCTTGATATTAAGGTTCGAGTTGGAGAACTATTTAGTTAAGTGTTCTACCCAGGTGTAAAAATCCGATGACGAATTCTGCAGTATTTCGTTGGATCCTGTCGGACTCCATGTAGGATTCGATCTGGTCCAGTGGCCGATTCATTGGCTTGGGTAGCGTTGAATATGTGGCAATTGTTCTTTTATTTATTTGACTTGATGAACGATTGCTGAAATACTCTAAGGATGTGGGCGTGAGTATGACCTATGAAGGAGATGATACTCACATTCACTCTAGCAGTGTGGATGAGGGTATGGGATGAATGTAACATACACACCCACACCCACATCCTCAAGATATTTAATGATTTTATTAGCTGAGACCGAAATGACTGTTTCATAATGTCTGGAGCGATTTACGTATGAAATGTAAATTTACACTCTCAAATAAACAGAAAAAAGTCAGATTTCAGAGGTGTTGAAGACGTGAGACTGCGTAAAAATATAGAATTAGTTATACAAACGACGAAATTTAACACGATCATGTGATATGGGTCCGTGCTTAACTTTCACAACTTGATAATGGTCTTGTTGATCGAGGCTAATAGACTCAATCACGAATGTTGCACCTCTTGCTATCAAAAATTCACATTCCGTTGGGAACTTTGAGATCCATGATACATCGGCTCCAACAAGTGCTCTATCGTTATCATCTTCCTTCAAATTAATTTCTAATAAAGAACCTTTTTCATGCATAAATGTAGTTGCAACTTCTCTGTCCCATGACGTGCTGATAAACGTACCATATCTAAACACTGGACTATCCTTTGTAGAAAACTTTTTGGACAGATTGTGATTGTTAAACGTCGATGGATCAACCTCAATGTCATACAATCCATGGTAAACTACCGCTGGACGAGGTCTTTTGTCATATTGATCGAGAGCCCAAATTGCTGAATTTAGTAAGCAACCTAATATTGGCCAATTTTTCTGCATTAGACTGGACGTTTCAATGTTAGCAAAGTCTTGATTTGAGTAGCACATCTCATGATATCGTAAATCTTTATAAACTTTCGAATCTGTATATAAAAGAATCGCCAACATTTGATCATGTGACAGAGGTGATCCCATTTCTCGATGTCGTGGATGATTTAACTTTTCTTCCGCTACATCGTTCAAACTCTTGTAAGGTCCGGACTTAACATCCATTTCGTTAATAAGGTCATTTTGTCTCAGTTCTTGCAGCAGATCGCCATCTTTAACTATTCCATTCCATAGACCAGTTCCTTTTGGCAAATCGTTTCCCCAATTCTGGTAAGCAGTAATAAATTTTTTCGATCCAAAATTCTCAGTAGTAGTAGTTCCACCCCTTCTGCCTGCGTGAAAATGCTTAGAACAATGCTCAATATCATCTGGTCGATATCCGTTGTGTATTAATCGTTGAAATGCGCTACATTGGTTTCCGTCATGACATTCATTTTCAGTATGATAATGTTCATTCGCATCATCTCTGACAATAATTTCATGTTTCGATGTCATATTAGATCTAATAACAGATTCATCTGGTTTGTGAGATGATAATGAACAATTGCCCATCACAACTGTATAACCTTCTAAATGATACTATTTATAGTTCTTATAACTATGTGAGTTATGATCAATTAGCGAAAAATCATATTAGTTTATTTCAAAATAAAATCTTGCAATATTTTAACTATATACGGCTTCAAAAATATACTTAAAATCGATAAGTCTACATTCAAAAAGATAAAATAGAGTGTGGGTGAGGGCGAAGAAGAGTCTTCTGCTGTCACCTACATCCACATCTACCCCTATGGTGCGCTTTCGAATTTATCAATGCGATAAGGCGTACCATAGAATTGTATTATAATAAACGAATAAATTCTCTGAAAAATAGTTTCGGTCTTCTATTATGTCGGCGTTCAAAAAGTTAAAATGAATCTAGGCACAGATCACAAACTTCTAATCAAAAGCGCTAGAGCGATTTTCTTTAACTTAACTAATATTATGGATTATAAAATGACGAATTAACACTGGATTTCTGAAAAAATAGAAACTATTATGCTCTTCAACTTTACGACTTCTCAATGTTTTGCGCATATGTAATACGACAAAGCATTCATATTCCAATTTCTACATGAGACAATTAAAATCGAATTCTTTTAGGAAAATATCAAGATGATTAACGAGAAGGACTAAGCGTACGATGTTTCAGTACCACTCTTTTAGATCAGCAGTAGTCAATGCCGAACTCTTCAAAACTGCTGAAATCATAAAATCAATAGAATAACATCAATCATCAGAACGTAACAGAACTCACGCAACCCGCAGAGCGCATCTGGTGGGTGTGGGTGTTGATAAGAATGTGCCTTGCAAATGAGATGTAGGTTTGCGTGAGAGCGTGCAGTGCGGATGTGAGTGAGGGTAAGTGTGTGCTCGGTAGGTGTCGAGCTGAGTGTGGGTTAGGATAAGGGTATGATCAGTAGGTGTCGAGCTGCAAAATAGTCGTATTCAACTTTCAAGCATTAAACTAGTGGTCCCTGCCCGCTTTCTATGCACATGCTCATTCACACACGGAGAAACTAAACAATCACAATCTAGAATTCATATTATACACATATGAATATTACTGTTTTTTCAATGTTTTTCTCGGATCATCTGTTCAGCAGATGCAGGTATTCGTATTCTCAGAAAGTCAATGCTCTCTTCAGTTTCATACACCTTTCAGATTTCGCCAGCCCCGCCAAATTCGTGAGTTTTGTGAATTTCTCGAGTTGTATGGATTCCGTTGGTTCTTTGGGTTCTATTCAATTCTTTGGATTTCATTGATTCCATTATTTTCGTTAAATTCTGCGAACTCTGTTGAGTTCCGCAAGTTCCGTGGATTCCGTGAGCTAAGGGTTGGGTGTGGATATAATGCAACCAACGCCATATCCACATCCATACCCTCAAGATGAAAGACCCTCTTGTAACTTGTTAACGGTGCGACAGAATAGGAGACCCCGAGTCTTATAATGTATCGAGGACTTTAACGCAGAAAAGTAGAATCATTTTGACCACTTGTAAGATTGATATTACCCCAAGAGAAATATGAGATATACTTGAGAATAACACTACTCTTGCTCCACTAGTCAAAATCACTTTCTATAGTTTTCAATTCCTCTCCCTCAACCATTCTCTAGAAATTCGAAAAAGAAAAGAGGAACGTTGTAAAAGAAGATAGATTGAGTAATACTTACCTACTTTGGTTATTTGCACGTTAGTTGTTATTCTACTTTTTTGATGTATGTGTTGTCAATGGTTTGTATCGTCAGAACGAATAAAAGAGCGAACAGTACACACAATCTGCCGTTTATATATGAATTTGAATGAAATTTTATATTATATTAAATTTGAAAGGACAACAAACAAACACAGTACTCAAAATTGATAAGAAACACTCATTTTTTTTTCAACTGGTAATAATATTATTTATCTTGGAAAGATTTCTTCTCTGTTTGTACATGATAACAGAAAAAGCTCTACAAATACGTTTGAAATAATATTACACAACACAATGGATCTTTAAAAATAATAGCTCTCTCTTTCTCTAACAATAACAAGCAACATATTTCTTTCGCCAAAAATTAGCATAAAGGAAATAAGTCTTGAGAGAGGGTGTGAGTGGACGTAGGTTTGTGTATGCGTGTGGATATGTATCGGTGTGGGTAGGTGTAGGTTTGGGTGCGGATGAGAATGTGGGGAGGTGTGGGTGTGACTATGGGTGTCGGTGTGGATGGCGGGTAAGAAAAAATCTACACCCGACTACACCCACACCCTCATTGTTTGCTGTGTGTATGGCTTGAACTGGAGTTACTGTGTAAAATTTACTAGTGAAGTAATGAACAAAAAAGATTCTTTTTATGTGTCTACTTCCTTGTGAGACGTAGTTTTTTTCTTTAACTCTTTTTTGATGTTGCTATAAAGAACAACAGATGAAGAACGACAAGAATTAATTGATGAAATATTGTTATATGCTTGCCGAACATCGAACTATTCCGAGAAAAAGAAATATTTTCTTTCTTTTTACGGAAAAAAACGTGTTGAGTTATAGTTGTTATTGAAGAATCGGACGTGGAGAAAAAGTATTTATAATGACAAATATATGAGCAATTATACAAGCTGATTACATGTTTTCTGATCGCGAATTAGGGGACATAGAATATCACACACCTTTAAAATAGGTGATATCATTCTCATTGCTGTATTCTTTTAACTGAAAGCCTGTATGTGATCATTATGTATGAAAAATTTAAATAATGTTGAGATTTTAATTAATTTTAATGACATTGAAATTTATTTAGTTTCTTTTGTAAATCGTTTATTTTCTATATAATATGGAAATTGTCGATCTTGATATAATCATACACCTACACCCACAAGATGGAGTGGCGGATTACAAGGGCGTCCACGACCGGTTTCAAATTAACTGTGGCATGTAGAAAAATTTAGTGATGACCAAAAGGATCGAGTCTTTCACCCGAAGAATTAAAGTGATCATACAGTCTGTTTTCTTTTTGAGAAAATATACATGGTGTTAAAATTGAAATCACAATTTAATAAGCTCCATCTGATGGTGATCATCTGAGATCAGTTGAAAGTCAAGCGACTCCTCTCGATGAACACTACTTGTTTTATAAGCTGGATCTTATTCTGAATTTTTAGTTTTAAATATATAAATAAGATTTGAATATGTGTGTCAATGAGCTAGAAAATAGATCTTCAATAAAATAGAAATTGAGAGACGAGAATTCAGTACGGAAAGATAATAGATGAAAATGAATATATATTTGTTCTTGGTTATATTCCGAATTGAATTACATGCAGCTTTGATTGATGCATGAAGTACTGGCAGAAACATACTTTAATTCACTTTGGCTGCTGAAGAATATGATAGGACAGAAGGAGATAAACTGATGTGTGAAGAAGGATTTATAGTATCGGAGGAAATACGACTGAAAAAAAATTCTTCTCGAAAAGGACATGAAGCTGCCTATCCTACACACCTGTACCTGTTAATTATGTTTGTGGTATTGTGTATTTTTCCGTCAAGCTTTTTATCGCTCAAACTTCAACTTGGCACATTTTGAAGAGATTCTCTGAAAATCTCAGTGTTCGGTTTTGATTATTATATGTACTGGACTCAACAGCTTACTAGTCAAACTAGTAGTTTCTTTCAGAAAAGGGTGAACAAATTCAAAGATGAGCGTTACTTGTTACTAATAGTTTCACTGTAATCAATTAGTTGAACATAGACATATTGGTACACAAGAGAAAAATTATTGAATTTTTGCATTTTTCTTTCTGACTAACCATATAATCATAAACAAGGAGAGACGATGCAATATTTTTCTGATGGTAATCAATTTATTTTGTTGAAGTATCTCTACAATAATGCACTATTCTATGTGTCGAAGTCATTCTTAAAAATTAGAAAAAATTGTTTCAGTTATTTTTTCTAACTCTTTTATTCAAGCAAGATGTCACTTTATCAGATATGTTCATATTGATCAGTATTGGTCATTATATTGTATATCATCAGATATGATAATACGTTCATTCATTCGTTCGTTCATTCAATACTATAAATTCATCAATATTTCTCGTGTAGTTTAATTGCACAGCATTCTTAATGTAAGTATTCATTTGTATTATTGTTCTTCTGCATGAGCCTTTCTTGTATCAGAAATATTTTCTAAAAGTATTTCACTCTTATTTAATTTGTAATGCTATTTAATATACGACTACTATAAATAAACACATCTACATCTTACAGATCATTACACAATTTAGAAGATTTTACTTTAATAGAATCGAATTATATGAAAATATGTTTTAAAAAAGTAATTAATTCTTCTTTATTCTAGACTAAATCATTCGAAGAAATGTCTAACAATAATAAAAATGATACTATTGTTAATCTTGATCAACAAGTACTTACAGCAGAACAAAAACAACGTCTCATAAGAATTTCTGATGGTATGTAACGAAATTTAACACGTATAATCTATTGTTTATTTTTTTTAAAGGACTCAAAGAAATGACATCACTTATGGAAGGTGTTATTAAGTTTCTGAATTTTCTTGGCGTGTTTTTATGCATAATAGTTTTGTTTATTATTATGTTTTGGATTATAAAACATTGGTATTAAAAATTATATCGAATATAATTATAACTTGTTACATTGTAAAAAAAATCTTGTAGAAAATAAAATAGTTACCAGCCTTAAAAAGAAATCAATAATATCTCTATGATGTGATGTTTAACTTGTATGAATACGATTCAGTTATGGAATTTCGAGTGTTATTTTGAAATCATAGATAAAAGATTCATCGGTGAATTTATCTTAAGTGGAGAAAGTTGATGTGTTTTGATGTTTGACAACAATCAAGCAACTTCTATTTTAAAGAGAAAATGTTCATATGTCATATCGTAAACGTTAACTAAGTAGATAGCAATCGTATTTCTTAATTCATCTTGTCTGCTTGAGGCATTCGTATAATTTTTCTACTTAGACAGATATGAGTGTGAATAGAATCAGTTGTTACACATCTTAGAAGTTACTATCATTATGTATTGATCTATTATATACAAAAACAAAGGTGTTAGTCTCACAAGATTTTTATTTAATATATATATCTATTAATCCATCATTTATCTCTAAAAAAAATACTGTTAATATTATCTTCAAAACTTTGAATCAAAATAAAAATAGAATATATTTTAATGCAGGCATATTCTCTTTTGTCAAAATATTGCAGTTCAACAACAGATAATGTCTTTTTTTTCCGTTAAACTAATTGTATGTCCTTGAGGGTGTAGATATGGATATTATATTTTATTCATACTCACACCCACCCCCTAAATAATAAGGATGAATAAGAAAAAGAAAATCCTCCCATGTTAGTTTAATATCCATCTGTCAGAAATTTTGTTCTTTTATGCGTATTTCCGTTTTGTTTTCATGATTTAGGTTTGTTGATGTCCGGAGTAAATAATGAGATAACCAAGAATCAATTTTTTACATCTCCATTACGAACATTGTTATCGAAAAGATGTCTGCAAGAATATTTTTAAAAAAAGAATTTCATTGAGACAGTTTTTAGGAATCGAATGATATTTTGTTTATCTATATGTTTTGCTGATTTTATCGAGTGAAACAAGTTATTCAAACGGATTGTTTTTTATCCATTTTTTGTTATCTTCAATATTTTATATAAGAAATTGCGTTTTAAAATTATTTTCCGCCAACATTCTCAAGGATTCTTTTTCTACGTCACATTTGAATACAATCTGTTACAATGTTTTAGTCAGCTTTTTTTTATATTATATTTTCCTGATAAAAATTATCCGGAACTGCGTCAGAGAAACAAGTTAAAATCATGTAAAAGAATGATCAACATTGTTCAACTATATAAATCATCAGTATTGTAATCATTTTTCATTTTATTATGCTGATAAAAATATTTCAAATGAAATATCTATTCTATTTTATTCTTATACATTTGATTATTGGTGCACCACAAATTAATTTATATTATACAGATGAAGTAAGTGAAATTAATAATGGAATACAACATGATTGTATACGCACCAGTGCGTCACTCGAAGAGGCGGATATTACGCGACAGATAATGACCTATTGTATGGGTGAATCATCAGCGAAATTTAACGCTGCAACGGATAAAAACTTTCCAAATTTTACTTTTGCTCAACTTTCGGAAAATAATGTAACCAGTCAAGAATTATACCAATGGTCAGCATCGATTGATCTTATTGAGCGATACGAATTTTATTTAAATCAATCAACAAAATCATCACTCGAAAACAATGTATTTTATAATTGTACATTTCCAAGATTTGGTTCGACGTGTCAGTACGAATTAAATAATTATGATCCAAGTCAGTTATCTTTATATGAATTTATTGATAATTATTATCATAGTTATGAATATGTACCAACTGATTTTACTTGTTATATTCATTTGAATTGTACACGTGGATATTCACCAGCATGTTTAGATTGGAGTGAAATTTGTGATGGAAAAGTTGATTGTCTTAATGGACCAGTTGATGAAGAACATTGTTGGCAATTAGAAATGAATCAATGTCAAAATAATGAATATCGATGTTATAATGGACAATGTATACTACGTGAATTTTATCACGATGATTCAAAAAATCCTGATTGTATTGATAAATCCGACGAAATTTTTCAACTTTATGATATTAATAATTATGTCGACATTTTAGAGTTTGGTCACATTGTTAAGCACTGTCGTGCACATGAACCATCATTTGGATGTGAAGATATCATATGTAAACATACACCGCTAACAAGTTCTTGTGTTAAAGACCGTAGAGATCTACTCATGAAATCGATGTATTCAATTAAAGATACTTCTATACGTGATGAATGCTGGTCAGCAATGAAATGTCTTTTTGGTGTTCCAAATCTCGAATATCCAGATAATCATATTTATACTGCCATGACAGTATGTGCACGTGCAGTTTCCGAGACATGTCCGGAACTGATGTATTTTCCAAATATTCCAGTTTTATTTGGTCATCTGTATACTGCTTATCACAAAAGTGATGCACATCATACGGGCGGTTGGGCATATAGATCTCCTTATATATGTTCTCATAATTCTCTTTATGATAATTATTTGGAAAAAACTACGAAGATTTCATTTAAAAATACAACGTGTTTTCGTGCTAAAGTAAAAGATGATCACCCGTCTAACATAAATTGGGATTGGAAATATCATAAGCATTTGAACGAATTATTCCATCTGCTTAAAAATCATGATCGATTTACAAATTACACATCTGAAATACGTAATGAATTGAACTTATACCAATGCATTAATTCGTCCACATACATTCCAATGCATGACATTATGGATGGTGTACCTAATTGTCCTCGTCACGATGATGAGAAGATCTTTGATAGTAATTATACTAATGATATACTGGAAAAAGTCAAAGAAAAATATTACAAATGTGAAGAATCTGGCAAAGATATTCTTATAGATGTTATCGGAGATTGTAAATGTGATTGTCAATCTAATACGTATTACATATGTGAAGATGAAAATAAAGATTTTATATACAGTCGAAAAAAAATATCATTTCAGACGATTTGTGATGAACATACGGAATTGTCAACAATAAATATTGAAGGAACCAATGAAACAGATGAAACCGAATGTAAACAATGGGAATGTAATAATATTTATACTCGTTGTGACGGATTGTGGAACTGTCCTAATGGAATAGATGAAGCTGGTTGTAATTTATCGCCATTCTTTAATTGTTCTTCAGATCAACACGTATGTATTTCACCACATACATATACATTTATGTGTTTATCGATCACGAAAGCAAATAATGGCAAAATGGATTGTCTTGGTGGTATGGATGAGCCACGAATCTGTCAAAGCAGTACTCTTTTTAATGTAGATAATCGTTTTCATTGTTTCAATCATACTTCTAATCTATGTATTTATGACTTTCAAGTATGTAACAATGAAAATAACTGCAAATATCGAGATGATGAAAAATTTTGTGAAAAAAATCGAACAGCAGATTTGCGCGATATTTGTGGTAATATTAACAAATATTTTGTTTCGAATGTTGAAAAGTTTATGTGCAATCATTTCGGTAATAAATTAAAACAAACAAGGAAATATTTTACAATTAATCAAAAGCATAAATCAGTCAAAAATAACGTTTCTACATGTTCATCAATCATTCGAAGACCTCAACACCAACCTTATTGTCATCGTGGTCTTAATGTACTTGTTTGGTTGAACAATTCTACAAGAATTACATGTCTTTGTCCACCAAGTTTTTATGGTAATCAATGTCAATATCAAAATCAACGAATCAATATTGTTACCAGATTTCGAGCATTATCAGAATCGAGACAAACATTATTTGCAATCGTTATTTTACTTATTGATAATAGTAATGAACGAATTATTCATTCATTTGAACAATTTACTTATATATCAATAAGAGATTGTAAAATGAAATTTAATAATTATTTATTTTATTCAACTCGACCAAAAAATTCAAACAAAAATTATTCAATACATATTGATATCTATGAAAAAAATTCGACCATTCATCGGGGAAGTTTATTATTTCCAATTAATTTTGCATTTTTACCTGTTCATCGTCTTACGCTTTTAGTCAATATTCCAGGAAATGCTCATTTTATTCAAAGTTGTTTAAATAATAAATGTATTCATGGAAAATGCATTAAATATTTTAATAATTTAGAAACATTTTGTCAATGTGAACCAGGCTGGTCTGGAAAGTATTGTAATATTCAATATAATTACACATGCTCATCGGATTCTACTTTTATCGGCATTTCTGCAAACAATCGATCTGTATGTGTTTGCCCAGCGAATAAATTTGGTTCTCGATGTCTTCTTGTCGAGAATACCTGTAAAACTGCATGTAAAAATGGTGGTCAGTGCATTGTTAATGATGATTATATGGTGTCGAGCCCAAAATATACATGTATTTGTCCGAAAGGTTATGATGGAGATCGATGTGAAAAAGCACAAGCTAATAATAAACTTCAAATAACATTCGGCAAAGGTATTCTTTTAACAGAATCATTATTTATTCATTTTATAGAAGTTCATGAAGATAATGAACCAACAAGAGAAACAACATTACGAAGGATTTTTGGTATTAGAGAAAACGAATTTATTGTTCATTGGACACGGCCATTTCATTTAGTTTTTCTTGAACTCCCCAGTAATAATTATTATTTAACTGTTATTCAAGAGATACACAATCAATCAGCAACGATTATCAAAACAATAAATCCATCAGATCGTTGTCCACATATTAGTGAACTATTCAATACAACATTTGCTCAATTGCATCTTCTTCGACGTATTAAATATTATCATATACCATGCCAACGACAACAACTAAATCTTTCATGTTTTTATGATAATGATCATCTATGTTTATGTTATACTTTTGGTCAAAAACGTTTAGCTAATTGTTTTAATTTTCATCATAATATGACATTCGATTGTTCTGGAGAAAGTGAATGTGAAAATGGTGGTAAATGTTTTCAAGATTCTCCAGATTGTCCAAAAACATCTATATGTATTTGTTCTCCATGTTATTATGGAAAACGGTGTCAACTTAGTACAACTAGATTTGGTTTATCGCTGGATGCTATTATAGGTCAACATATTCTACCAAATACTAATTTTATACATCAACTATTTATTGTAAAATTCAGTTTAGCATTGACAGTGATATTCATTATTGCAGGATTTATCGATAGTATTCTTACTTTTATTACATTTAAGAATAAAACTATATGTGAAGTTGGTTGTGGAATATATTTATTAGTATCATCAATAACTACTTTACTGACAATGATAATGTTTGGATTGAAATTTTTTATTCTTCTTATTGTACAAATGACAAATATATCGAATCGATCGTTCTTACAAGTTCAATGTACATCATTAGATTTTCTTCTTCACATTTGTCTTTACATGGATCAATGGTTAAGTGTATGTGTGGCTGTTGAACGATGTACTACAACAATTCAAGGTACACGTTTTAACAAGAAAAAAAGTGCAAAAACAGCTAAAAAAGTGATTGTTATACTTTTAATTATTATTATTGGTACAAATATTCATGATCCTATTCATCGACGTTTGATTACTGAGGAGAATAATAATGATGATAATGATAAACGAATATGGTGTACAACTAATTATTCACGTCGAGTACAAGTATATAATTCTATTATAACTACTTTTTATTTTTTTGCTCCATTTATACTCAATTTAATCTCAGCTATTATTCTTATAGTAAAAAAATCTCGTCAACAATCAAATGTTCATGTTAATCGAGATTACAGAGAAATTCTAAAAGAAAATTTTCGAGAACATAAAAATTTACTTACTGCACCCATTGTTTTAGTTATTCTTGCAATACCACGTTTAATTATTTCTTACATATCAAAATGTTTAACTTCAATGGATAATCCATGGTTATATCTCGTGGGATATTTTATATCATTTATTCCACCAATACTTACTTTTATTGTATTTGTATTACCATCAAAATTTTATAAAACTCAATGTCGCAAAACTGTCGTACAATATCGAACTATGATACGAGAACGGTTACATCTTAATTCATAAAGGTAAAAAAAGGAGTTGATTTAACACAGCAATTAAGTATTAATTATCATGTATTGAACTTGTTTTATTTTAGATTACATATTCAACTATTCAAAATCGAATACCATTAAAATGAACACTACATTGTTTTGCTTCTGTCTCGTTCTATGTCAATCCTTTGTATGCTATTTTCCTTCTTATAACATTAAATATTTTTTGAAAAACCTCATTTGTTGATCTTATTTTTTATGATGAAAACCAAGATGCTACACATCTTTTTGTCTGAGAATATCTCTTATGTGCACTCCTTAACTATTTCATACTAATAGCAGTTTTTTTTCTAAAAATCGGGTTTTCAAAGAACTTGGCACTTCGTCCACAGTATTTAATCGAGTTTCGACCAGGCCGGACCGGACCGGTTTCAGCTCTATCAGTGTCTGTTAATCTTAACGGGAACAATAAACTTAAATACTAAAAAAAAGCCTCGAAAGTAAGATATTTTTGTCGAGAAGCATTTTACTCTTTATCTATGGTAGATACTTTAATTAGACAAATATGGTTGACAATTTCAGAATAAATCGTTCTTCGATTAGTATTAATGGATGATATTCTATGGAACAAAAAAACAGTTTTTATGTCTTTCTAGGATTTCAAAACATTTTCAATATCTCAGAAAAGAATTTCGCAAATATTGCAAGTTCTGAGTCTTTTAAAACAAATGTCTTACACGCAATAGCAGTAAATGTTTTACTAAGAACTTATTATTGTTTTACATAATGTAATAAAGTTGATAAAAAAAAAGAAGTGATCAACCCACGTATTAGTTCATTTTTGTTACTCTGACAAGACATTTTTGAGCATACGTTCAGTATTAATATTTATTATTTCAAAATGAAAACAGGAAGAGAAAGGTGTTCTTGCTAATAACTTCATGATAAATAGTAAATGCTTTTACTTAGATATTATTTTGAGAGGACATTATTTCAAGAATTAAAACAACAGATGGAGAATATTTGTAATTAACAAAGATCATACGTTCTTCTATTCGAGAAATTCTATATAACATAATATTAATTTGTTGTATCGAAGCACAAAAACTGATTGTAAAATTTTGAAAATATTTTTATAATTTCAATTTATGGCAATAAATACAGGTGATATATTGAATTTTTTATCAACAATCGGGTATGTGTTCTTTTCATTTGAGATAGAATAGAAATAAAACGTCTAATTTTGTTAGACGTGGAATTGTTGGGAGAAAGCGATGTTTATGGATTAGTTTAGGTGTTATCTTAGTTATCGCAGTCATTACTATTCCAACAGCAATCGTTTTGACAAGAAAAACAAAAACGATAATAATCATGGAAACAACGAGAGAATCACCTAGTAAGTGAAGATACTCTTTATGTGTCATGGTATTATATTAGTTATTGCAGTCATTACTATTCCAACAACGATCGGTTTGACAGTAAAAACAGAAGCAACGACAGAATTGTCTAGTAAGTGAAGATACTATTTATGTATTATGATTGTTATCTTAGCTATTACAGCCATTACTATTCCAACAACGACCGATTCGACAGAAAAAACAGAAACTACGACAGCATTGCCTGGTAAGTGAAGATACTATTTAGGTGAAGTATCAGTTCACTATCAAATAGAACATTCAGTAACCTACCGAAATATTCATTATGAGAAGTTGTACAATGAAAGAAAAGAACACAGTACCCACACCCACACCCACCCTTTAATGACACTTTTGAATACTAAAATATTGACCTTCTACTTCGGTGTGAGGAAAGTCAATGCTCTCATTTTTGTCCTAAGCCTTCAGTTTTTAAAGAGAGTGACATTGATTTGTTTTTTCAAATTCAGTTTGAAATAAAAAAGAATATAAACTTACAAAACGACTTTATTATCAAAGAATAATATTCGTTTTTTTCTTATTCAGAGCAATGCACAGGAAAGTATTCCATAATAACAAATGATCCACGTAATCCGGAACATGGTTATATGGTATCAGGTGATATCAACGGCGACAATCTATTAGATATTGTTATATCAGATTCTTCGAGTAGAATAGTCAATATCTTATATAATAATGGTAATGCTACGTTTAGTGTTGTATCCATGCAGTATGATAATACGTTCTCACCAATCAGATTAACAACGGCTGATGTTAACAATGACAAAATGATCGACATTATTATCTTAGATAAAGATATGCCACAAATTCGAGTTCTACTTAATACTGGCCATAGTACCTTCGACGAAAAAATTGTTCTCTTTAATGGCATTGATTCGATCTTTATTACAACAGCAGATCTTGATAAAGATAATAATTCTGATATTATTGTTGTGTCTCTAGGTTCATCAGATATCAGTATTCTCTTCAACACCAATGATGGCGGATTTACTAAACAGATAAGCTACGTCATTCCTGGTCGTTCGTACATTGTGATCACAGCAGATCTGAACAACGATGGCAGCCACGACATTATTGCTACATGTTACGAGGAGCACAAAATAGCCGTTCTATATAACAGTGGCAATGGAGCATTCGAACCTTACAAGATCCTATCTGTTGATGCAGGACCTTTCGGTATAATGGCTGCCGATATCAATCGTGATAATAATGTCGATCTTATTGTCTTATATCCTGAGATAAACGAAGTTCATATTATCTTGAATAATGGTGGTGGTATATTTTCTCGTCAATTCATCTTTGCCACTGGAGTTAATCCAGGATTTCTGGCAATTGCAGATATCAATAAAGACGACAAACTCGACATTATTGTGACAAATATGGAATCTGCTAATGTAGGTATTTTCTATAATATCGAAAATGGTATTTTTGCTAAGCAAAAACTCTATTCAACAGACATCTATCCGTCTACAATTGCGATCGTTGATGTCAATACTGATGGTCAACTTGATATTATTGTAGTGCATGATGCAAGTATTGGAATTTTGTACATTGATTGTCACTAATGAATAAACTTATATTGTAGAAGAACACTAGATTTAAATTTCATTCATGAATGCTTATTGCCCTTGCGTTTATTTCGTCTCATTTATTTTATTTTATCTCTCGCATTTGTTATGCATTGTTCAAATTTCAAATAAAAATAAAAGATTGAATAGACTAATTATTTTAATATATTTTGAAGGTAGATGTGGCTGTGGGTGTCAGATGAGTAGCATACTAACATCCACACCCACCCCTATGATTCAACTTAGATTCTTATTAAAGTTGGATGTTTAATGCAGTGGTGGATTTAGGGGGGGGGGGGCGATCGCCCCCATCGCCCCCCCTTCCGAATTTTTTTTTGATTTTTTACAGCAAAAATGAACGAAAAAATAGGTTCACACTACTTCAATTGGACTCAAAAAATAGCTTTTAACCAAAATCGCCCCCCCCCCAGGTATCGCCCCTTCATACTAAAAAAATAAAAATCCCCCACCCCCTCCCCAGGTATTGTCCCTTCATACCAAAAAAATAAAAAATTTCGCCCTCCCCTTCCAAAATCCTAGATCCGCCACTGGTTTAATGTGAGTCTTCTTTGGCCCTGACACATACATGCAAATCTATTTTATTTCATAAGACCTTCCCTTCAGTTAAGGGAATATTTTGCTCAAATCAAATCTCTTCTGTTTTTTTGTCAGGAGGCTTTGCATTTCCTTCTTCAAGTGATGACTTTCATTAAAAATAACATTAAATTTAGTCTAACATTCTGTTTTCATATCCTTCCTCGGTAGTTTCAACATCATGAACATTCATTGTATTGACAACATAATAAATCACATTTGATATGACTTTGTTCAAAAATTAGTTTGAGAAAAACGGAAATCAATTATTTATTTTTATACATCAAACGTTTCAAATGTTAGATTTGTCGCATATGTTTCAATAAAAATATTTTACATTGACGTCATTAGGTAGGAAAATAGAAAAAAACTTGTTGTTGTTGTTTTTGTAATCTTTAGTTTTCAGTCAGATACTTAAGAGTTTCTTTTTCTGATTTTAATAAATTTCATTATTAACTATTAGATGAATCTTTGTTTTTGATCATTTTCATCGAAATATGTGTTAAGAAAAGGTAAGGATTTGGCAATAATAACAAATGGAAAGATATATGAGAATCGTTTATTTATTTTAACCGAGAAAAAATACTATTCCATTCGATTATTTTCGATCACTAGAAATTCAAATATTTGTTTTTTTCGAAAAGACTAAATGGTAAAGTTAATAAATGTTAAAAATGATTTAAGAGAAAAATCTCAAGATCTTTCCTCCAATTCTTGATGATAGATCCAGATACTTGACGATAAATACAAGAAAATAATAAAATTTATAAAAGAAAACCCTCTTAAAAGTAAATGAAATCATATTAGAACATGAAAATTTTGTAAAAATGTGAATATTTTTGAAGAACTTTTATCAAAACTTGTTCAATTGTTTTACTCATCATTAGAAGTCAAATTGAATTCCTCAGCGTGTGTTCAATATTTTCTGAAAAATATTTTCTTTTTGATATTTTAGTATAGATCCAGAAAAATCAACAGCAAAAAAAACTAACGTACCGTTGCCGTGATCATTGTTAGAGAAATGTTGTGAATTTTAAGGCTATGAGTGTTCAGGACTTGTACTGTTGCTGCTAATCGATAAATTCCGTTGAGTCTCATAGATTTGCATATGTAAACATCAAATTTATGTATTTTTATATTGCCTCTCAACAAAAAAAACCTGCCGCTACTGCGCTACCATGAACATCTTCATTCTATATGTGTGACATGTTTTTTTAGATTTTTTACTGTAAAAGTATTGAAGAACTGTTCAATTAATTATGATACTCGACAACATCGAAACTTGTGATGTAATTCATTTGTAAAAATAACTTTGATTGAAATGAATTATTTTAGAATGAACAAGTCAAATTAAAATCAACTACTCAATCAAGATCTTTGTATGTGTAGTGTAATAAAGAATTTAAATAATTGATTTAGTTTAGATCACAATGTTTTCAAAAAAGAAAATTAATATGGATTATTATTTTCATTGTCGTTATTATTTTAATAATAATTATTCCAATTGTTATTATTAAAACAAAAAAAAGCAACGTCATACAAATATCAGCAACAGTAGAAATAACGACACAAGAAACTACGGAAACTTTGAATGAATCAACAACAGAAGGTAAAATTTAGAGAAAAAATAGATAATATCTTTGTTTTTTTTATCAAATTTAATTTAACTTTACTCTTAGAACGAATTCTACCAAAGTATAAAAAGTGGAAACAACAAGGAATTACTGTCGCTGGAGGAAATGGAGACGGAGATCAATTAAATCAACTCGGTTTTCCTGGTACCATCAATATTGATGAGAACAAAACTATTCTTATTCTTGATAAGAACAATCGTCGTATTGTTGAATGGAAATATGGATCGAATAGTAGTCAAATTATTCTAGGTGTATATGATCGATTATTTTATCCAACAGATATAGTCGTTGACAAAGAAAATAATGCTTTGATCATTTATGACACTGGTAGCAGACGAATAATTCGATGGTTTCGTGAAAATCAAACTATTCAAGAAATTCTCGCTTTTAATCCTAATATTTATCTAGCAATGGATAAAAATGGATCTATTTATATTTGTGACTATTACGCGAACGAAGTGAGACGATGGAAAGATGGAGATAAAACACGTGGAACAATTGTTGCAGGTGGAAATGGATATGGAACTGATCTCAATCAATTTCGTTCTCCTCGTTGTATCTTTGTCGATGATGATTATTCTGTTTTTGTATCAGATTGGGGAAATGATCGTGTAATGAAATGGAAACAAGGTGCAACAGAAGGAATTGCTGTTGCTGGTTGGAATAATAACGGAGGTAATCTCGACCAATTGTCTAATCCTGAAGGAGTGCTTGTTGATCAGTTGGGTCATATCTACGTAGCGGATTATAATAATCATCGAGTGGTGCGTTGGTGTGACGGGGATATATATGGTTCAGTCGTTGTTGGTGGAAATGGTGTTGGAAACGGATCAAATCAATTGAATTCACCAGCTCGTTTATCATTTGATACTGAAGGAAATCTTTATGTTGTTGATCAAAGGAATCGTCGAGTCCAAAAATTTGAAATATCTCATGATTAAAATGTATTGTGAAATGAAATGATTTTTTGAAATAAAATAAAAATTCTTTATCTAAATCTTTGATTTTGATAAAAGTTGAAATGTTACATGTAGTTTGAATGAAATCATAGAAAATAATGGAAAGAAAGGTTCATAAAGGATAGAAAACAAAGATCGATTATACATAATATTCATTATCCATGTAGAAGAAAACGATTTTTAGGTAAAACATTAAAAAGTTAGGCGAAATGGGTGTGAGTGTGGTTTGAGGGAAGATGCACATCCTCATTCCAATCTTTGATGAATTAAAATGAAAACAGAATATATTTTAATACAGACATATTCTCTTTTGCCAAAATATTGCAATTCAATAAAAAACAATGTCTTTTTTTTTCTTTTGCTTTATACTAATTGCATGTCCTTGATAATCACAATCAAATTTTTGCAATTTTTGTGGCAGTGATATAAATAAAATACCTAGATAAGCAAGTTTTCTAGCTGTATATGCATAGTCAATTTCTAAATACAATGATCTAAGATTACAAGATCTTCATAAATTATATGAGAGGATTTAATTTAATGAAGCAAGTTTTTCTACAGAGATGAATATTTTCTAATTTAAATATTTTTAAACGATCATAATTGGTAGCAAAATAACGAGTAAACGTTAAATATTGTTGATATTCCTCAAAAGGTATCGATATTCAGATGTAGATGTTGATGAATTACATCTCAAACATATGAAAGAGAGATAATTAAAAAAAGAGATTCTTTTATGAATTGTTCAAATTTTTCAGTAAACCCTAATTGAGCGACGTTTACTACAATTAGTTTGAAGTATGACTTTTGAATATATTTATCTTCCATTGTTTTTTTTTCTCCAAATTATCTAAGTTCATAAATTCGATATTCTTACACATTAAATTCTATGCTTTTTATATGAGAAATGACAATTTTTTATTTGTCGTATTTATCTAGCTGATGATTATAGCCAACAATACTTTTTTAACCATTTACTTTCTCCTCTTATTACACTCTTAGTCATCTTGTGTAATTTCAAAAGGAAGAGAAAGGAAAAAATATTTTTTATAAGTAAATGACTCATTCAGTAAATACTGATGATGTGTACATACATATTGACGACAGTTGATACGTGTAAAACTGCCATCGTCTACTGGCTATATTTATAACCTTGGAAGTTTTCTATGATCATCAATTTTACGTTTTTTTTTCTAGAATAAAACATGTCGACAACTACAACATATATTGCTGATTCACAACGTGTATTCGCCGTATCAAAAGAAAATAATAATTTTCAATCACTGGCTAATCTGATTTCCATTTGCGAAAAAAAACACAGAGAATTTCCACGTCTTGAACAAGCTATTCTTCAATTAGATTTTGATTTCTACAATGATCTTCTTCCAACAATAGCTCAATGGGCTTCTGATCATACACAAGCTAACCCTATTCAACCACTTCAAGCAAATACAACAGCAACAGTTGTTTATACACCATCGCAAGCACGTTATATTCTTGCAAATGCTTTTTTTCTTAATACAATACAAGGATATGGAAATATTGATCTAAATCATTTATATAATACATATGATGAGAAATTAGCTATTGCAAGAATACGATGTTTAATAGAATATTTTCGTTTATCATCATTACATCACGATGATGATAATCGACAAATATCAATTGAACGATATTGTTATGGTACTGAATTACCAGATTGGAATAAACAAAATATTCTTATTCAATCATCGAAAATTAATATATTTACTGATCGAATGGAAGATGCAAATGAAGCACAAGGTTTTGTTGATTTTGCCAATAAACATATTCATATACATAGAATTATCCCATCAGCAACACAAGAAGAAGTTTTATGTAAATAAATTTATTTTCATTTAATTTATTTTGTTATTTGTTGCATTTTTTAGTTAGTTGTTGTCCAGAAGCATTTTTATCAATTCTTATTTGTGAAACATTAGAAGATGATGAAATTGTTATTCTTCGTGGATGTAAACGATTCGTTGATTATACTGGTTATGCTGATACATTTTGTTATAAAGGTCACTATGAACAATCAAATTCAAATCATATTCAAGATATTCTTGTTATGGATGCTGTTTTTTCTGGACAATTTACACGAGAAAAGATTGATCGAGATCTAGGTAAAGCATGGGCAACATTTAAGAAATCAAAAGATGAAATAATTGTAACTGGTAATTGGGGATGTGGAGTATTTGGTGGTGATTTGATATTTAAATTTTTACAACAAGTATGTGCAGCTATGATTCTTGGGGATGATTTCAAAAGATTAGATTATTCAGCTTATCATGAAGAAGATTTAGCCATGACATTGAAAAATTTATTGCAAAAGCTAGAGCAACAGAAAAAAACTGTCGCTGATATTTATGAAATGATGAATAACTATCGTCAAACTAGTGAAATGGCTGCATTACGACCGACATTTATTGATTATGTTAATAATTGGCTTAATAAACCGTAATTTGAATCAATAAACACTAATATTTTTCTATTATTTCTAGTTAAATATATAAATAATTTTTTAAAAATACGATCTATATGATCAAATAATAAATTAATCGCGATATTAACGACTACAGATTTTATATAAATAATCACTTTTCATATTATAATTATAGTAGTAAATTGTAGGATGTGAAATCAAGGAGTAAAAAAATGATATGAACTATAAAATGACTGAATCAGTATAACAATTGTAGACAACGCTTTTGTTATGATCGTTTTAGAGATATAAAATGGTATATAATAGACATAAATGTTATTGTATTCTCGTTAATAATTAGCAAAAATTAAATGAAGATATTTTGTAAAACGGAACAGAATTTGTTCGTCAGAAACATTGTCAAAATGTATATTTCTTTTTATCGAGAAAAGTAATGTTATAATTAAAAATGTTAGAAAATAAGTATTCTAATTTATTATGAGGATAATCAAATATAGAACAAATTTTTATTAATATAAAATTGGAATAATTGTCTATATGTTTACCTATGTAGTTGAAACAGGAACTGCTTCTTCGTCCAAGATAGTAACTGAAGGTCGAAATGCTTTAAAATCTTTCAAAAATTGTGTAGATTGTTCATGTGCAAGTTTCGTTATATCTGATGGAATTTCTTTATCTCGGTGACAAATATCTAAACAAAATTTAATCGACTTGAGATTTGGCAACCATTTTGGATCTGATATGCACCTATACCAAACAGACAGATGATTTGCTAAAGTGGGTGGTCCTCGAAAACGTAAAACTTCTACATTGGGTGGGAAAGAGACAGGTAGTTCTATTAAATAATTTTCTTCGGAGTCATCGTCGGACGAGTTATTCACAGCAAGATCGAGAGATTTAATCGAATGACATTGAGCCAATGCTTTGCCAAAACATTTTTCATCGTATTCATGAGAAAAATCACAACCATTCGTACTTTGGATTTTTAATTCTACGAGATGATCAAGTAAAGAGGTTTTTTCTTGAAATTTGATAAAATGATCGCAAGCATCATTTTCAATAATAGTTAGTTGTTTTAGTTTACTTGGACTATCACGAGTACATAAATCGAAGGACAAACCACAGCAGTAATCAAGTTTTAAAGAAGTAATGGTCTGTAAATGAGCTGTATTGATAGATTCACCAGCTGCACTTCCGATTACTAAAGACTGTAAAGGCCATGATGAACCAACTTGATCTAAAGGTGTGATGTTGCAATATTCATCGTATCCACTGAGCATTTCCAAATGAGAAACATTCTTCAGATCTTGTAGTGCCTCCCAAATTGCTAATGATGGTGTGTCACCAAGAAATTGAACCATATCGATGGGTTGTTTTGCAAGGTTACGTAAATGATTTAGAAAAGTTGAATCATCAGTATCTGGATTTGCTTGTCCGCTCGAATCCCGGTTAATGATGAGTGCATGATGCAGATGAGATGGATACAAGGTATTGTTTATAGTAGTAGTTATTGGTGCATCTATGGGAGTTATAGTTGTTGTAGTCAGCATCCTACGTATTAAATCTAATTCTGTATTGACAAAAAAAGAAACAACTGGTCGATTTCAATTATTGTCAAATGATTATCAATTATCCGATGTAAAATGTTTTATACTAAAAAAAAGAAAACTCGTGAGTCATTCGTGAAATATGATGATGTCAATAGACTTTTTTTTCTTCTTTTCTTATCATAAAGTCCTGAGTCATTCGATATCGGTAGACGCAAGAAACTGAATAACAGTGAAATTTTGATCTTATTGACAAAGATAAATAGATGTCGTAACAGCGTGCTTTCTCAATAAAAAAATTACTGTTTCGTATAAGCAATAACATTGCCACGGTTTTTCGAAATATACAACGTTATTTCTTTCATATTTAAATGCTCCAAACCTGAAAGTCCGATGAATCATTATGACACCTTTCTAATCCTGTTAAATATTCTTACAGCTATCGTTGTAATTGACAATGCTTGGCGGGAATACTTATCTAGAAATTCATTTTCGTCATTGTGACTAATTCCCTTATTGATAACTATCCTGTTTCTTATTAGAAATTGCGTTTTATTGTGAAATATTTGCTTCTGTATTTAATTTCTTATTACACTGCACTAATCAAACAGTCTTTTTCTCACGCAATTGTTATATGTACACCTTTTCTTTCGAAAGAACAAACAGATTCATAGGTTATTTATTGTAATACGATGATTTATCTATATGGACGTTAGTTAGAGAGAAAGAAAATGCATGACTATTTTTTCATATAATGTTCGAACAGTTTTATTGTGTCATAGCATAATAAATAACTATCATTAAGAGATGTAACACGCACATACACTCACTCACCCTAAAAAAAAAAATCAAAGTATCATCATTTCGAACAATTTCAGTTTTAGTCCTATAAACTATTCTAAAAATATCGACGGGAACTTTTATCGTTATTCTTATAGAGAATTTTACAATGATAGTAGCGATTGTTTCATTTGGAAGATCTTCTAATTTACTAATCAGCATTTTTCATATAAATGATTTTAAATGAACTTCAGATAAATTCCACACGGTTTGATCGCGATTGAATTATAAAAACTGATTGGTTTAATATCAAATAAGTTCGATGATCTACTGTCATTTTATATGTAAAGTAGAATGACGTATATATGTAAAAAAAAATCAATGTTTGCTATTCGAAGGTAATAAACGGCCAAGAAGATATAGAGCGTATTTAATGATGTCAATGCTTTTCAAAACTAAATGCATCATCAAAAATACTTTATATTCTCACGTGCTATAGATACAATAGAACGTATGAATATAGAAAAAAATATATATAATACAAAAACTTTTTTGCGTAATATCTGCATATAAACTAATATTAATTGATGCTAAAGTTTTAATATCACTAGTAAATAATTATAAATGTAGTAAATATATATATATATTTTAAGTTTTACGTATTTCGGAATAAAAACGTATTTGAAATATTATTTACCTTACTCTTTTTACCTAGAGCAAGTATATAAATCGATTACATGCACTTTATCATATCTTATTTTGTTTACGTCTATATAATAACAATGATAAACAAAAATAAACGGAAGAAAAAAAGGTATTGCTGTATATTTGCTTGCCTATCGCAATATATATATTTTATTTTATGTTACTAATTACTTGTATTTTATAAATATTCGAAACAAAATGTCAAAATTAATTTTATCATATTTGTTCAAAACAAATTTATCGGTATTTCGTTCGGCTATTTTAGAAGAAAATACCGATAAAATTTGTCGTATTTTGGACTTTGAACGTGATTTTCTCCATAAAGATATTGATCATGAAGGTAACACAGCACTCTTATTAGCTGTTGATCATGCATCACCATTAATTGTTCGTTTATTACTTGATCATGGTGCTGAACCTGATAAAACAAATACAGTTGATTCAAGAACACCACTTAGTTTATTAGCGTCAAAATCCTATGATGATTATAATTCACATAAAGCACAAAAAACACTTGAAATGGCTAAAATTCTATTAGATTATGGAGCTTTTGTAGACAAACCAATACCATGTGTATATCAAAATGAAAATGATAAAGAACATCCTGGTAAAGAAACACCTTTAATGATAGCTGTAAGAAAAAAAAATATACCATTTGTAAAATTATTACTTGAAAGAAAAGCAGATGTGAATTTTACGGATAGACAATCCGAAGTTCGATCGTATGTATTCGAAAAAAATATTCTTTTTTTTAATAAATTTAAATATATATTTAATTTAGTATTCATTATGCAATAGCAAATGGTGATGAAGAAATGTTTGATTTATTAGCAAATGCAGGTGCATTAGATTCTTCAATAGTAACTGTAGATAAAAATACTTTATTACATTGGTTTTGTTATACAAAAGAAAATGATAAACAAATATCTTTATTAGAAAAAATAATTAAAAAAGGATATGATATAAATGCACAAAATTGGCAACGTCGTACACCATTAATAATTGCAGTTAAAAATGATATGACAAATACATGTCGTATACTTTTAGATAATGAAGCAAATATAGGGAAATATGATTGCAATGGACATCAAGCTATTGATTTATCTGTACCAGGTAGTGAATGTTCAAAAATACTTCTTCATGCAATGAAAACAGAAAGATATAAATTACGATTATTATCAACTCCAGTGAATAAATCAAGAAATACAATGATTCGTAAACAACGAATCGGTAGTGCACGACGATTTACAACTGAAATATGTAATACTGATAATAATAATAATGAGACAAAAGACCAAGATAATTTATCAAAACATTCTCAAGAAGACAAACAAAATACTTCAACGTTTCATGCATATTTATCTCTTAATGACATAAAAGATAATAGCGAAATTGAAACGAAATATGAACGTGTCTGGGAAAAATCCTTCAAACCAAGACAAAGAACATTACTATTGAAAGGAACCCGTAAAGGACGAGCACTGTCAGTTGATACTGAAGATACGTCACGATTTTAATTGATTTTTAAAATTTATATAATGATATTTGATTTTATGTTTATGCGAGCATTTTTTATAAATATTTGTTTTCTTCGAAGAATAAAACAATCATATTAAGCTATACATGTAAACCTGAAAGTAAATACTATGACTGGAAAATTCTTGTATACGAAATATTTTTCATGATTTACCTGTGCAGTCAGTCACATTTATTCGATAAATTTATCGTAATTTATCTGTAGGTTTTGATTGATACACATGTCAGGTTTTTTGACATTACGATAGTTAATTACTATTCTGTTTTCAAAGCAAAAATAAGAAGTATGACGAGTTAGGGATACAGTAAAACATGTTTTTTTAGTATGATTAATACCGGGATGTTTAAAAAATTGTTTACTATACAGCGATAGTCACTTTGAAGAACTTATTATGAATTGAACGAAGATTTCTACTTGTTATATCGAATGTTGATAAAATTCTAATTATTTATTTTGCTATTTTATCTACTTTGATCTAAACTATTTAATGTGAAAAAGTTTTTAATTAGCATATAAATTTATAATAGACGTACATGATGTACTCATTTGTGATGTCTATTCAATAAGATACAAAAAAAACATTGCAAAAAGTATTGTTTGAAAATAACTAATATCTAGCACTCATACTAACTGATGATGACTTTCTTTGTATGATAGTAAGTGTTTCAATTATGACGATCGACATTATAATGTATTATGATTTTTAGTGAATCAGACACCTTTTCTATTTCAACACAAGAGATGTAATCATATTGAGTTCTTTTCTGATGAATCCGTAATAAATATTAAATTTCATAACAGCTTTATAGAAATATCCTATGTTTATTTTTATTATTCTAAAACGGCCTTTTCCAATAGTCTTTTAAAGCATCATCATCAACAACTTTCTTTCGTATATCTTCAAGTTCATCCATTTTATATCGTGTATATTTTCCACGTAAATGTTCTGGTAATTTCTTCTTTCCTGAGCATGACATTTGTCCATAAACTAAACACATACAATAATGTGCACAATCTTTTCCAAAATTTGCTGGATTTTCTAATCGTGCTGTTAATTCTGAATCAATACGTTGTTGTAAATCACTTTTTCCCATAACACGTCGAATAGAATCATGAATTTCATTCGATGTCTTTTTATAACAATCCATATGAACAATTTCATAATTATTATCTGAAGTTGTTTCATTATCCAAAGATGAACGAGATAAATAAAATGAAACAAATGGTGTTGGTGTTGTATTTTTAAATTGAACACATTGAACTGTCGGATTTTTATATTGAATTTGTGCTAAATGCCAAAATATAAAACGACGTAAACCATCAGAATCCGGTTTATCAAATGTATAATTAAGAGTAAATATTCGTACTATTGGACGAAATATAATCGCACCTGATTCAAGATACGAAAGTGTATTACGCCATGGGGCAGCACCCCGTAAAAACATTGGAGCTGGCATCTATAAACATACATATATATTATAATGAATCCACTCGTTTTCTTTTAAGTACTTCGAAGCATAAATATCTCTATTTTGTCAAACATACACATTAAATAGACAAAGGAAAAATTACATGTAAAAAAAAAGAAAAGGATAATAATTGCAGTTTATCACATACAGACAATGTTTAAAATAAATAGAATCATTTGAAATAAGTAAAGGGTTAATGGAATGACAATTATTAAGAAGATTTTAAAAGAGTATATCATCATCTCTCTGTGCGTCATCTAAAATATTGGGTGCTTCTTCTTCTGCTTCATCCAAAAGACCCTGTTCAATTAACTCAGCTCGTGCTTTTTCTCGAAGAACACGAATTTGTTTTTTCTTTTCTTGAACTTTTTTAAGACTAAAAAAACAAACAAAAGGTTTACTTAAAAAATAAATTTAATAATTATTTCCTACCGATAAAATTCTTCACGCTCCATTTCATCAAGCTCCGAAACAATATAAGTTATCGTTCGCGTTATTTTTGGAATAATAACTAAAAATCAAATAACAAAAAATATTAAAATTAAATTCTTTTAATTAAACAAACCATGTTCAATAGCATTTACACGACGATTTGTTATTTTAATAACATCATCAAGTATACGAAATGATGTTTGAAGTGTAGCCAAATCAATTAGAGTTTTTAATGCTTCACCATAATTACGTCTTAATTTTTGTAATTGCATACCACCTCGACCCAAACCAGTTAATTCAAACGCTAAATGAAAATTCATATTTTTTTATTAGTTTATTGGTTCAGGGAAATCTTAACTTACTATCTCCTCCATCATTGAATGAATCGAACGAAGGTAAAATGACACCTAAAGAAAAAACAAATCTTGAGAGTGTGGTCTGCGAATAGGAGTGCAACGGTTACGGTTTGTCACCGCTTGACCGTCTACAGTTAACCGTTCTAAAGCAATAACCGGTCCAATAGGAAGATCAATTAAACGAAAACCGGGATAATAGAAAAACCAGTTAAACGAAAACCGGCTTAGTAGAAAGACCGATTAAACGGAAACGGGGTTAATAGAAAGACCGGTTAAACGAAAACCGGCCTCAGACAAAAACCGATCAAAACGAAAACCGGTATAGGTCGGCAACCGTTTTTATTTTTTGATAATTTTGTTAATTCATATAATTATAAAGCGATGTTGACATGTTGGTTAGTAATTAGAGAAGCTAGTAATATCATTTGCTTTATTGTTAATAAGAATAAGGAATATCACCATATAGGCATCAATATTCATGTTCTTATATCGTATTACTGTTATGCATCTATGAGTAATCGATTCTATGACGGTTACCGATTCAAACCGGTTATCGTTTTTATTACAACGGTTTTCGTTTAACTGGTCTTTCTATTGGGCCAGTTTTCGTTTAACCGTTTTTCGTCTTAGGCCGATAACTACCACCGTTGCACCCCTATCTGTGAATATAAAAATAGATGTTTTTAACTTACCGGCAACATTGTCTCGTTTTGTTCGAATTTTAATTTGTGCTTTACTGACACTTTGAATTACAACTTGTGTAAAATCTCCACTCATTGAAAATTTTGCTTCAGCTAATGAAAAAGCGGCTAATTTCATAACATCACCCATTAATGTTTTAGTCTAAAATTTATATGAAAAAACTTCGATTTTAATTTTAAAATTTTTTTTATTTCTTACATCAATAATTTTCTTCAAAATCGATCGAAAACGTATTGCTAATGCATCTGCTTTCTTCTTCAATAAATTATGGCCGGTTTGAGCACCTTTCAATCGTGCTTTCATTGTCGTCTGCGCCCTACAAAAGCAAGTCAAATGAAGAAAATAGAATAATTACAACTAAAACTTACATTCGCGATGGAAATATATTGTAACGATCTTTACTCGACATTGTTCAAATTACAAAAATCAAATGAATTATCTGTAAACATAGAATTTTATTTTCCTGATTATTAATACACCACGCGTTTTTTATTTGAAGAAGCAAAAGAAACAGAATACAGAAGTTAATCAAAAGACATACAGAAAACAACGACAAAAAAAAACAGCAGAAATTTGTATGCACCGATTAGTCTAACTTCAGGAAATAATCTTTGATAATGATTTTAGTCTTCAGTAGCAATCGGTGATGATCGACTAAAAATAAAATATCATAAAAATTGAATTAAATGAAAAAAGAAAGCTTTTACCCATCAGCAGTATGTCCATTTGGACTTAAACCACGTGATTCACTTCGTCTAATAATTAAAAGAAAACAAAAGTATTGTTTTGTACCAGAAGAAAACAAAGATTTTATTATACTTCTTTTCAGTATTCGATGATTTCTTTCTCGATTGTGAACGTGATCGAGAACGTGATTTTGATTGAGATTTATCTCGATCATCCTTTTTACTTTTTTCTCTACTTGTACGACGTGAACGTTTTTGATCATATGGTGAATCACCTCGACGACGATAACGATCTTAATTTAAGAAAATAAAATTTAAGAAAACAAACAAATAATTCATTACCACGTGATCGTGATCGACTATGTCGACGTTTATGTTGTCGTGAACCACTACGTGAACGGCTTCTATTTAATTAAATAAATCAAAACGAATAAAAGAAAAAGAAAAATAATTATTAATTGAAAACTTTCCATCCATATTGGTCTTGATCGAGCATCATTGCTGACAAGATTCATTCAACTGTAAACAGTTTTTCTTTTCAGATTCTGCTTTAAAACCAAAACAAAAATTCTTTCTTTTTTCCAACAAATACAAATCACTAGTGTGTGAGGCAACATAAGCCGATGCCAATAGTCATCAGTTGTATATAACCGAAAAGACCAAACAAATCATCATCAGTATCTCATCAAAACATAACATCCAAATCGTCAATCATCATTTCGAGAACGCGCGAAGCTACTAGAATCAAAATTAAGTGGAGAAACAAAAGTACAAATTAGTTTTTTTAACTTAAAAAAAATCAAATTTTACATTTTGTCATGCGCTTAATAGAACATAAAATCGAACTTTAGATAAGCAAAATAATGGAGCTCAAACAATTCATATATATCTTTCATTTTCTTACCTTGATCGTCGTCGATTATTTCTACCACCACCACCACTACCACCAGCTCGAAAAGAACCAAATGGTCCACTACGACCACCAACATTTCGACTACCATATGTACGAGTACGAGCCCACGTGACACCAACACGAGACGCACCAATTGTTCTAATATTAAAAATAGAATTAATTCAATTTGATTGATTTATCTTACTTTCCATCGAGTTCTCGAATAGCTTGTTCAGCATCGGATCGATGTTTATAATTAATAAATGCAAAACAGGGAGGATTTGTTGCTACCCAAACCTCATTAAGAGTTCCAAATTTTGTAAAAGCTTGTTCAATTTCTTCTCGTTTAACGCCAGCAACTAAATCAGATACATGTATACGATAACCAGCTTGTCCATCCCATTTCGATGATTGTGCACCACGTCCACTTTAAGAATAAAAATAATAATTTTTCAAAAAAACAAATTCTTAAATCTAACTTACGACGAACTGGAAGACATTGAACGCGAACGATCTCGACCCATTTAATAATAAAAAAAATATATTTATTATTAAAGTTATAATCTAAAAATAGATAAAATTTATGTATGACGAAACGTCAACTGACGAGATCAACGGCTTTTTTTTTTGCTATGGCATATGTTTGCTTTTTTTTCTGTTGTCTTTTCTATCTATTTATTTTATCTGATGTTAATTAAACCAATAGAATTGAATGAATGGAAATTATTTTACTAATTGATTTGTTTCATTAAAGAAAAATTCTTTCTAATTTTCAGCTTTATTTATTAAATCATAAATAATTCGTTTCGATATGAAATAGAATTTTATTGGAGGTTCTATACGATTTCAATGGTTATTTTCAACCAATGAGAGATTATCCTATTTTCCTTCTTTATAGAAAATTGTCTAATAATTATAAATGAATTTTGAAACACTTCCAGATGAATTAATTTTATTAATATGTCGATATCTATCATCATCGGATATACTTTATTCATTATTTAATTTAAATTCTCGTTTAAATCGTACAATTCTCATTTATCGTCAACATGTAATACTTCGATTGACAAGTTATAATCAATTTGAATATCTTTGTTTAAATGTTTTACCTAAAATAGGTTCAACAATTCGTTCATTAACTATAAATACTAATTGGACAGATTTAATAGCTAAACGATTTTATTTTTATTTTGGTGAACGAATGAAAGAAATCTTTCCTAATATTGAACGTCTTACTCTTGTTGCATTTAGTGGAAGTGAATTAAATGATTATATGATAAGTATATCCGATTTAATTTATTTAAAACAATTAACAATTCAAGATCGATATAATATAACAGAAGAATATAAACAAGTTTTATTTGATAAAATTCTTTCAGCAAATAATAATCGATTAGAAAAAATTTGTTTTAATCGTCATTCTGAAAGTTTATCAATTAATCCAATAAATTCAATAGTTTATTCAAATATTATTCAATTAAATATACATTTAGAAAAAATAACTGATCTGCAATGTCTTATGAAATTAATACCAAATATTCGTCGAATGAATATTGTTATTGATAATCAATCAGATGATATAATAATACATTTTCATGAAGAATTTATATTAACATATTTAATCGAATTTCATTTGGAATCATTTCGTCGTAATTGGATATTTGATGAAATTTATTCATTACTTAAACAAATGCCTTTTCTACAAACTCTTTCACTTGATTTATTTTCTCAAGATTTTCATTTATCTAATGGTCAACATATTGTTCCTATATTACCAATAAATACTCTACAAAATTTAAATTATGCTATTGAATATGAACCAGAAGTAGAAATTGAATCTATTGAGAATATCATATCATCATGGACATCAACACCCTATCCCATTTCTTGTTTAAGTGCTAATGGTACTACTCAGATATTTCTTCATACAATTCCATATAATTTTCCCTATCTTGATATTAATTCATCATATGCTAAACGTATGAATAAAAAACTTGGCGATTATAGTCCTCGTATAAAAGAATTACTTTTATTTAATGTATCGACATTAGCTGAAACATTTATAGCAATTAGTAATTGTACCAAAATAAAAGATCTTGCATTAGAAATCGGTGATGAACCCTCGGGTAAATACTTTTTTTTATTTCATGTGAGATTTATTTTTTTTATCTTTTAGAAATAATTGAAGATGAACAGAAAGAAAAAGAAAATATTTTATTACCCTCTTTGAATAAACTTCATTGGCTTTCGATTGATGGTTGTCCACCTGATGTTCATCTTCTAAAAGAAATATTAATTGCATCACCAAATTTATCTTTACTTGTTATTGATATGAAATATCTTATTCGATTATTTGATATAGAAGATAATCAATCGTGTCTTTTATTATTAAAAAATCGTATAAGAAATTTATCAATTCAAATAGAAGATGAAGCCGAAATGAATGACCTCATTTTTGAAAAATTATCAAAAATATTCATTCATATTCGTCATATAATTGTTGAAATAAAATTAACAAATGGTTTATCAATTGAAAATTTTCTTCTTTTCTTTTTTAAATACTTTCAAAATCATCAATTGATATCCATTATAGTACGAGGTTGTACAACTGAACAATTACGTAATAATCCATCTCAATGGCTTATTGATCATACTTATTTAAATACATTTACTAATCAATTTCAAGCGGATTGTGATGATGTAGAATTTAAAATTTGGTTTTAAATAATTTTAAAACTTAAAATGTGATATGCGGGATATCCGAAATATTATGACCACTTAAGAATTCTTGAGTAATCATGACTATTTGAGATATTTTGTATCTGTTTTATTTTTTGTATAAACAAGATTTATTAATATAAATTATGTTTTTTTTATAGATGTCAATAAAAAAGACAAATGATAAAGATATCTTTCGAAATGTTGTTGATATTGGCCTTCGAATGTATGGAGATGGACATTGTTATCCATCATGTACTGTTGATTATATAACTGAATATTGTCGTCAACAACTTCGACTCTATATTCTTAAACATAAACAATTAATGAAGATATGTAATAATAATCGAATATCATTTCTAAATACACTTGTATATACATCACGTCATAAAAAAGCTTGTATTAAACGGCTTCAACAATTTGTTCAAACTAAAGATCGATCAATAACACAACAAGAAGAATTAAATAATACTATTATTAAAGATAAAAAATTAACAATTACTAGTCGATTTACACGAATATGTCGTCAATTACACATTCCTATCGATAATAATAATTCAAATGAAGTAAATCAATTAATATTACTTTCATTTGATAATGTATTCTTATTTTTCAAATAGTCAATAATATCAAAATTAGATCATCAACGTTCACGTCAATATGCTCGTCTCGATGCTTATTATAAAAGTGATGAATTAACAGCAAATGCTTATTTATTATTTGTTGAAAAACAACATAGTTCATTTAATAGTCTTCGTTCATTATCATCAATTGATATATTCTATTGGCTTAATATAAATGATTTTTTATTTTCAAAAAAATCCATCTCAAATCAAGATCTTCGTTTAGCTGAAATTTGTTTATTTCTTATTAAAGAAATTCTTCTTAATCTAATGGATAAAGTTTTTCAATCATCTATTCCATGTCAAATACAAGATATATTTCGTCGTCAATATGTACAGAATAATCGTCGTTTATTATTTTCAGGACGAAAACGAATAATTCATTAAGGAGAATATATTATCCTAAAAATGTTCTTTGTTTCAGATAAACTCTTTCTAATGCCAAAGGCAACAGTACTTATTCAAGGTGCATCAAGTGGTATTGGATTAGAATTTGTTCGACAATTATTAAAACGTAAAACACCTACTCATGTTATTGCAACAAGTCAAAAACTAGCAGAAGATCGTTTAGCTGATTTACAAAAGGAATATTTAAGACATTCATTACATCGTTTAGATGTTCTTGAATTAGATGTTAGACATCAAGATCAATTCGATACATTTGGAGAACAAGTTGAACAATGTTTAAACGATTTAAAACGTGAACGAGGACTTGATATGCTTATTAATTGTGCACATATATGTAAATTTAAAAAATAAAATTAAGATTTTGATTATTTTTGTTTTTCTTCGAAGGGCATCCATCAAATCGAGTAGAAACTTCATTACAGGATGTTCTTAGTATTGATTTAAATGATGTTTATCAAGTTAATGTTGTTGGTCCAATATTAGTGACTAAAATATTACTTAATGCATTAAAACGAGGTCGTTCATCATTCGGTAATCCAGCAACAAATGCTCCTTATTCATCATTAGTTGTTAATATATCAGCTGAACTTGCTTCTATTCAAAATAATCGTGTTGGCGGTTGGTATGCTTATCGTCTATCAAAATGTGCATTAAATATGGCCACAAAAAATTTAGCATTAGAATTTGGACGACAGCCATTAGATGAAAATTCTATATGTGGATTAAAAAAAGATGAAAAACCTTTATTATTTGTTGCTATGTCACCTGGTGTTGTTAATACACAAATGATGCATGAATATAAAAAATTATTTCCAAAAGATGCACATTTCTTAACAAAAACTCAATCTGTTGAACGTATGTTGGCTAGTATTGATAAATTATCATTAGAAGATAATGGTGCATTCTTAGATTTCAATGGCAAATCAATTCCATATTAATATTATAACAATTTTTTTTAAACATTTTTATATAGTAATTTTTATCAACTAATTGTTATGAATCTTATTGTATTCCTTTTATTCCAGCGATAGAAAACTTTTTATATTCATCTTCTTTTAGATTTATTATATCGTGCTTAGAACTATTTACGGACAAATGTCAAATTTCAATTCAATATTTTTCTTCTTTTCTGTCTGATAAAAAAAATTTGCTTTCTATCAATTCATTCATTCGACTTTTAAGAATACTTCACTTAACGTCAATGATTACTTTTTTTTCTTATTATTATTAGTACTACTTGAAGTAATTCATTTTTTTTATTAGATTCATGTTTCTTTCAATGACCTATTTAACGGTTTCTACTGAATGACTTGAATATTTTATTTTAGATAATAATGTCTTTATTATTTTCGACATTAGAAATGCTTCCGGATGAAATACTTTTACAAGTTTGTCGATATCTTCATAATGGTGATGTTCTCTATTCATTTTTTGGTCTTAATTCTCGTCTTAATCAAACAATAACATTTTATCGTCAGCATGTTTCACTTCATCGAACATTTTATATGCAATTTACTCATATATTTAGTATAATTCTTCCTCAAATCGCATCATCCATACGTTCTTTAGTTATATTTGAATTAGAATCTCCATCATTTTTAACTTCATTTCAAAATAATCTTCTTTATCATAGTTTAGAAAAATTAACATTAGTTAATTGGACTGATGAAAAACTTATTTTATTTATTGATAAATTACATGGTATGAAATATTTTCATAAATTGACAATTCAAGCACTTGATTTAACTGATTCAATAAAAAATTTAAATCTCCTTCAAACAATTCTTGGTGCAAATGATAATTGTTTAACCTATGTTAGTTTTGATCATGAATGTGATCCATTTACTTTACCAGATGATGAAGTCTATCAAAGAAATTTTCCAAATATTATTCGTTTGGATATTGAATTACAAACAACGAAAGATTTTTTTCAACTTAATCATTTAATTCCTAATGTTGAACAACTTCATACAACGTTTAAACGTCCATGGATAAGAATATTAGAAAATCAACAAAGATTTTCGTTTTTAAAAGAATTATATGTTTATGCAATGAGTTGGTTTTCATCATTTGATGATCTTAAAACATTGATACATTCTTCACCGATCATAGAAAATATTTCATTAGTACTTGTTAGTCATGATTATTCTATGACGAATGGACAACGTGTACTTTCACTTCTTCCGAATTGGATAAAAAAATTTGATTATAGTATTTGTTATCAACCATCTAATACAGATGATGAATTTGATCCAATTAGTATTATTAATTCATGGAAATCTATTCCTATTGCTTATTCAATATCTGAAAATGATAAACGGATTTTTTTACATACGATTTCATATCAATCAAATCGTTTAGCACTTCGTTCATTATTTAATAAAAATATGTCAACAATATTGAATAGTCAGATTTATCGAAATGTTCGTCATGTACATATTTATGATACGATAACTTTAGCTGAAACTTTTGGTATTATACGACATTGTCGACAAATTATTGATTTAATTATTTCTATCCGAACGTTACCACCAAGTAATGAGTTTTAATTCCTTTCTTTTATCTCACTTTCTTTTTATTTAGGAGCAGAAGATCCACCAAAAACAACTGTTATCCTTCCTTATCTTAATCGTCTTGATTTTCTTTCTATTCAGGGTACACCGCCAGATTCACATTGTATAGAAAAAATTCTATTAATCGCACCTAATCTTGCTGCATTTTCGATTGATTTTGATTGCTTACATAAATTACTTATTGATGATGATCAATCGCTTATGCTATTCTATCTTCTTCATCGACGTATTCTAATTCTATGTCTTCGTTTTGAAAATACAATGATCAGAAATTTAACTGATGAACATATTCATTGTATTGCTCGAATATTTTCTGGAGTAAATCATATATGTTTCGATTTTCGATATTCACCAATTAAAATTGAAAATCATATGATATCAATAATATTAAATTATTTTCCCAAACTAATGGTTCTTAGTATATATGGTCAATTATCCGATGATTTTCATTTAAATAAAAAACATTTAAAAGAATATCTTGTTAAACAATCAACAGGTCGATTAACAGATATAAACAGATTTGAAATTGATCGTGGAAATGAAAGAGTTAAAATTTGGATGTAAATGAGAATTAAAATTATTTATAGTTTTTTTTTAAATAGTTTTAAAACATAAATTATATAAGTATATATTTTTTTTCATGACATAGATCGACAATTTGCTGTGAAATTATTCAGTAATAAATTTCAAGTTTTCGTTTCAGATTTAATCATGTCAGATTCAAAAGCTGAAGCTAGTACTGTGCCATCTCAAAAGCCAGTACCGAAAATTAAAGATATTTCTTTGATGAAAGCATGGAAAGATTCGAAAGTAAGTGTGAAATCCAACGATTTATTAAATCTAAAGACCATCATTATATATTAAAAATGAAGACACAGAAAGTGAACGTATTTTTACCACGATTAGGGATGTACCGAGCGCGAGCCTCTCGGGCTCAGGGCTCGGTCAGGGCTCGGTAGGCTCGGGGTCGGTCGGGATCAGGTGTCAGAAACTCACTCCTACATCAATATGACACCCGAGCCTTGACCGAGCCCCGAGCCCGAGCCTTGACCGAGCCCCGAGCCCGAGCCTAACCGAGCCCGAGAGGCTCGGGCTCGGTACATGCCTAACCACGATAATCATTTATTATAGAAAGATTGAAAAAAATCTTTCAATCATTTTATTTTAGGCGTATAGAGAATATACATTATTTGTTCAATCACTCAATCGAGCAGTTCATGGTTTAAAAAATTCTGATACTGTTCCACTGTCACCTGTATGTTTATTCTATTGATTATTTTTGTTTCTTTTTTTTAATATTTTACTTATCTCTCAAGCATAGACTCTTGACAAATTGATTATTTTACTTAATCAACTTGATTCATTTATTGATCAATGTCCACCGAAAGGTCGATCACGTTTTGGTGATGCTGGTTATCGTGATTGGCATGGAAAACTTGAACAGGTTTGCTAATTAAATCAAATTTATTGATAAATTATTTAGTTTGAAATAGGAAAGTCAACAATTATTAAAAGATGCTTTACCTGAACAATATCACAATTATATTGAAGAACTTAATGGTTATTTATGTGATTCATTTGGTAATAGTACTCGTTTAGATTATGGCACAGGTAAAAATCTGAATAAGTTTTAGATAAGATTTTTATTTTATTTTTCATAGGTCATGAATTGGCGTTTGCATTATTCATGTTGTGTCTATGTAAAATTGAAGCACTTACGGAACAAGATAGTCGAGCTATGGTATTAAAACTTTTTTCACGGTAATATTTTAAATTATGTGTTTTGAAAAGTTTAATTCTGTTTTCGTTTTAGTTATATTGATTTATGTCGAAAATTACAACGAACTTATTATTTAGAACCAGCTGGATCAAAAGGTCAATGGTGTTTAGATGATTATCAATTTTTACCATTTCTTTGGGGTTCATCACAATTAACAGATGACGGTCCTATTGAACCAAAACAAGCTATTGATGAACGATTTTATCGTGATTTATCTAATGATTATTTATATTTAGGAGCAGTTAAATATATAAATGAAGTTAAAACAGGTCCTTTTTTTGAACATTCAAGTACACTTTATGATATATCAAATGTTGCTCATTGGTCAAAACTTAATCAAGGGATGGTGAAAATGTATCATGGCGAAGTTTGTTTACAAATCTTCTTCTTTTTTTTATTTTTCTGTTTTTACAAATAGGTTTTGGATAAATTTCCTATTGCTCAACATATTCTGTTTGGAAATCTTATATCATTTGATCCTGTACCAAAACCAACCGGCGAAGGTCTTTTTAAAAAACCAGCACCTGTTGCTAATCAATAATCACAGTGATATAATCATAAACTTTTATTTTGGTTTATTTTCTTGTAAAATTGAAACAAAGTTAATCTTGCGTAATAAAAACAAAACGTCATTTTAGATAATAAATAAATCGATCAATATTCAAGAAAATCAATAATTAAATTATGCTAATTGTTTTATAAACCTAAAAGCAGTCGAAAATAATGACATAGTTAAACACTTCTCTCTTATCAGAAATTAGTATCGATATTGCGTTCATTTATGTATTTATCAAACATATTCTAAATACAAGTAACGCTCGTCCGAGGACTCGCTTAGCTCTTTCTCGTAGAAACCCATTTACTGGAACAACAAATGAAAACCGTAAAAAATTGATTTTCGATGTTTTTTTGACCCTGCGGACAGACAATCAGACAATTTATGTTTGCAAGACTCTTCTCTACGAGAAAGAGAATATGAATAGTGAATTCAGATAATATACAAGACGCATGAGTGTATTCTAGACTTGGATGTCTAAAAATGAATGAATTGAAAAAAATTATCAGTGGGGTTTATTAACAATCTTTTTCTTTGAAATAAATAGATCAACATTTGATGTTAAAGATCAATATAATATAAACTATAAGAGTACTATTAAAGTAATATATTTTGATTGAGGACATCTTTCTTGATTTGCCTTGAGTAGTTATACAAAACCTTGTCATATATTTTTTTCATTTTTCGTTCTATTCTTCAGTATAATTGCTTACACCACGTGAAACGCTATCAGTATTTTATAGTGATATTTATTTCATACTGATAACCAAAGGTAAGTCAATTTTTTACCTATATCATGATTATATTATGTCTTTAATTTATATAAAAACAACAGAGAATAGTAGACAAAATAAAATAATACATTTTGAGATACAACAAAAGAATTATTTTTGACCTTTTATTCCTATTATTTCATTAGAGTTTAAATGTTCTATGATCGATTATAAATATTATCTCCATATGTTATTTACTATACTTATCAATATCTTTATGCTTGAATACTTTTTTTAGTTGTTATTTATTCGTCTATTCTAATAGTTTCTTATATATCAAAATAACAGAGAAGAACATCATAACATATTTTATCCACGTAAGAAACCAGTATTAAAGAATTTCTCTTATAAAAATTTATCAACATTTTTACTACTACGATAAAAACTGATTTATTCGTATATAATCAATTTACGTAGGTATTCGTAATGCAGATTAAGAATTTATATTTTCGTCTAACACTAATCATTGAATTCCTTTTTATATATATTTTTTAGTTCTGTTTGATTAGATTGATAAGTGGGACTTTTGATAATTTTATTCTGTTCTTTTTTAAGGTCAATATTAAGAATTATCTAGTTTGAATATTTCACTTTTGGTCGTTCGGATTAACGATTCTTTATATATATCACCACTAATGGCATTTACCAAACAAAATAAGACTGTTATCATCGTTATCACTGGGTAAATATACTGTCATTTCTTAATCTACTTTTCGTTTATAAACTCAAATTTCACTCAAAATACCTATAATTTACTTATGAATGTATAGAAATTGATTAAATATGTTTTTTTAGTATAATTATGCTTATTCTTTCATTTCTTCCATTCATCATATCTATTGCAACTACAGAATCAACACCTACCAAGTCAATACCATCATCATTTTATGTTATTCCACTAGGTACAACTGGTGGTCTTGAAGAAAATAATCTATCAGCTTATTTAATTACATCAACAACGGATAATACTCCTAATTCAGCATATATATCACTTGATGGTGGTACTATTCGTCATGGACTTCAGTAAATAAACGAATAAAATTTTCAAATTGACAAAACAAAAATCCTTTTTTTAGAATTGCCGTTCAAAAAAATTCTTTATCATCAGATACTGATGTTGAAACATTTTTTCGTGAACAAATCAAAGCTTATTTAATTTCACATGCTCATCTTGATCATAATAGTGGATTTCTTCTTAATACTCCAAATGATAAATCAGGAAAATTTATAATTGGACTTAATGAAACAATTACTATTATTCAAGATCATTATTTTAATAATCAAGCATGGGCTGATTTTGGTCCTGCAGGCCTTAAAGTAAATAAATATTTCAAAATAAAAATATTTTAATTCTATTCTTTGTTTCATTAGACTTATGATTATCAAATATTAGATCCTTCATCAACAAATTCAGTTCCAATAGCTAATACTGATTTGAATGTACGAATTTTTCGTTTATGTCATACTTGTCCATATCTTAGTTCAGCTTTTCTTATATCTCGTCGTGATCAATCTAATGCTTCAGTACTTTATTTAGGTGATACAGGTCCAGATGATGTGGAAAAGATAGTACAACCAGATAATACAACATCTTTTCCTAGATATCTTGATAAAATGTGGAAAGATATAAAACCATTGGTTATTGCTGATCAATTAAAAGCAATTTTTATTGAAGTTTCATATCCAAGTGAACGCCCAGATAATTTATTATTCGGACATTTAACACCAAAATGGCTTTTAGAAGAACTTAAGAAATTAAATGCATATCATTCAATAGAAAAAGTTAAAATTATTGTAACACATATAAAACCAGAAAAAGGAGCACGAGAGAAAATTATTGAACAACTGAAAAATAATAGTAATCAACATTTTAATTTTATTTTTCCTCAACAAGGTGAAGCTATATGGCTTTAAAGTTTATTAACATTATTAAATAAATAATAATCTTTTATATACACTCGCTAGATTCATATTAGAACAAATATGTATATCTTTATGTTTGTCTTTAAATAAAATAAAAAATAATTTCAATGTATAATTTACAATAATAAAATATGTTTACCTTGATTATTTGTTTGATCAATAAAACAGAATTTATTTTTTTTGCCATAGTAAATATTTAATCATTTGTATGAGAATTCAAGTTAATGACCTAATGTCTTTAAATACTTATTATAAACTATAATAATAATTGCATTTTATTTACTTGTTTCTCAAAGAAAAAATATGATAGACTTGAATGCAAATTAACACCGTCTTTTTGGATATCTTAATATAAGACATGACATAAATTAGTTTTTTTCCATTTGAAGTCGATGGAGTATTATAGACAAGTTTACATATATCATTTTCTCTTGTAAAAATTACAAAAAAAAGTTTAATATTCAATCAATTATGATTGATAAAATAACACTAAAGTTTCTTATTATCTATATTATTACAATATACTTTATTCATTTATCTCCATCACATGATGGTGTTCTTGGACAATCAAGTCCTAATCCACAATCAGGTATGTTTATTATATGTGTATCTTCTTCTAATATATACATAAACAATTTAAGATATCAAGAAATAAGTAAAAGAATTTGTGAATTTATAATATTTTTAGTTCTTGAATGTTTGGAATGGGATATATCGTCAAAAAAAGTCATTTTTGGACGAGAAAATAAGACAGCTGGCAATGATGATAATTCACTTAATTTAACGAATAGTACTCTTGATATTAACAGACATACCGGCGAAATCGCTGTTTTAGATGATAATAATCGTCGTATTATTATATTTAATCCATCAAATTTATCAAGATTAATTACAATTCTATTTGATTCAAGCAATTCAACAGTATCAAATGTTACACCATCAACATTTGCTTACGACCGTAACTACACAATGTATGTTTTAGATGGCGTATACAAAGAAATAGTCAGAATGAACAATCCATTAGAGTTCGGCAAAAATTCAACAAAGATCTATGATTGGAGTGCTAATCCAATAGGCGTACCTCCTGCAGGAGGATTATGTATAGATAACACCGATGATAGTATTTTTATAAATGATGGTTATCAAATATTTCTTTATAACCAAAGTTACGCAAGTTATCCTATATATTACGCCGGTAAAAGTGCGCCCGGTAGTGCGGCTGATGAGTTTAATAATTCTACATCGATTGTGACTGATAATCTTGGAAGACTGTAAATACATTTTTTTAACATAAAGTCAATAATACTGATACATATCCTTTAGATTTGTTAATGATGTTGGCAATAATCGAATTCAAATGTTCGAATTTAATTCAAAAAATGGTACAACTCTACGAACAAATATTAGTAATGCTAAAGGACTTAGTTTATATTTACCAGACATTCTTGTAATCAATACAAATACTGCTGTTTATCTATATAATTTAACAGATAATATAACAACATGTGCAATTGGTTGTAACACTACTGAACTGAACAATACTCATAATGCATTGATCGATAATGAAGGAAATATAATTGTTACTGAGTCAAACGCAGTAGTTCTATATCCGATTATTCAACAATGTTTTGATAGTGAGTCTATAATTTTATAAGACTATCTAATTTATTGATAATTTATTTTAGTAACAACCGACTCTACGATTACAACAACTATGTCCACGAATACAATAACTACATCCATGACTTCAACACCTCTGTCTACGACTACGACAGCTACGATTACAGCAACTGTGAGTACAATAACCACTACTACATTAAATCTGCTCACGAACACAGTAAGTCCGATGGCGGGTGTGACAGCAACGACGATTACAACAACTGCAGGTTCAACAACCACGATTGCAACAATTGCGAGTTCAACAACTACGATTACAACAACTGCAGGTTCAACAACCACGATTGCAACAACTGCAAGTTCAGCAACTACGATTACAACAACTGCGGGTTCAGCAACCACGATTACAACAGCTGCAAGTTCAGCAACCACGATT